GTTATATGAAATAAATCAGTGATAAATTGTCTTCAAAATGATATAAAATTCATTATTCATGCATAATATGCATTTTAATCATTATCAGTTAATCTTAATATACAGGTGTATTTTCGGCCGATTTTACAAAACCCGATTGTGGACACGCGCTTGTCACATGTATGCCGCATGACCTTATTTGCGGGTCATTTGTTGCTAATTAATATTCATGATTTTTTGCAACCAATCAGAAATATGTTTACATTTCACCGCGGAATTTTCGTCATTTAAATATGTTTACAAACAAAAAAGTTATGACGCCCGATACTCGCCGACGATTTGCTTGAAAACTATCGGTAAGTGAAGAAAAACGAATAGTGTTCTAGAAAATAAATTGAATTATCTTTAAAATGATTCATAAATCATAAAATTATGTTGCCATTAAAGCACCCGCATCTACGATTAAATACAGCGAGTTGCGGAAATTCAACAGTCCATCAGAGTCCGCCATTTTGAATTCACCGACGCGGTGAAATCCGATTATTTCCATTACTGATTTATCACGTATAAACGAGTAACAAAATAAAATTATGGTAGATAAAGACTTGGTTTATAGTAAAATATATCAATATATAATCATTTTTTTAAATATTAGCACATTTGTCTTTAAAATTGAGATATATGTTTCGGCGGGCACCTGCTCAGTTTCGGCCAATTTTCAAATTCTAATTTTTTTTGTTTTTTTTTTACCGATGCTTCAGGTTTCAATGAGATATCGTATATTTAACAAGGAAATCATTTTTTATTAAATATTAAATTAATTTTTTACGGTTTTATAATTAATTAAAGCAGAAATTTATTTCTAATGAGCAATTTACATGGTGAATGAAGGGTCGACCTGCTGCCAGTGACAGTTTTAACTGAAAAAAATCTGTTAACCTCTACGCATATATATATAGGATAAATAATATTTTTAAACAATGTATTTAAACTTATTTTGCCAGCATTTCTTTTTAATTCATGTATGATTTATTATAAATACTAACTTTATACTTTATTTTTTTCCAGGTGCATGACAGACCTGACAAAAAAAAATATCATGAAATAATATTGATGATGACAATATTTGACAACACTTGGATCATTTGGACAAATATAAGATGACAAACCAATGCTGTTAATGAATAAATCTTGTCATATAGTAGTATACATTACCAAACACAACAAGAACAGTCCCAAAATTGTTAATGGGGATGCTGAGATGTCTGCTTTATATTCATTGAAATCCCAAATCAGCTATGTTAAGAAATGGAGTCCACTAATTTCAAAGAAAATGGGTAAAGATGAAACTCCTTTAAAAACAATCTGGAAAAGGGGAGAAGCAGATCCTTCAATAGCATTTAAAAAGTATATGATACCAACTGGCATTTATCTGCAAAATATATGATAACAGTATACATTACCAATCATTGCAAGAACTGCCCCAAAATTGTAATGTGGAAGTATGTTTAATTGCCGAGATGTATGCTTATTCATTGAAATCCGATGAAATGAAGTCAACTAATTTCAAAGAAAATGGTTAAAGATGAAGACTCCTTTTAAAACAAATCTGGGAAATGGGAGAAGCAGATCCTTATAAATAACATTAATTAATTTAAACAATTATGTCCTACCGACTGGCATTTATCGGCAAAATAAATCATATTGATATTATAGACCTCTTGACAAAGACAACTGATATCCAGGTGCATCAATTTATGTTAGCAATGAAAAACATTCTTAATTTTGATCTCAATTAATAGCAAATCAAATCAATTTCATTTCTTTTGGTCTAGTGAGGAATTTCGGGCTGTTTGACTTATGTTCAATTTAGAATATACTGCTATAATTCGAGACTGCGGGAGTTCTGGAAGAAGAGAGTTATTTACTAACTGCAAAAGAAGTGAATAATTATTTTTTGAGAAAAAAAAAGATAAAAGCATGACATTGCAGATGCTGTAGAGCAATTTGATATTCATTCATGTTGGATTTCATTATACAGTGCTGCTGTAGTTTCTTGTTACTTTATATATGTCGATAAATGAAAAATGAATAAATTTTTTCAAAAAATTTATCGATACCTTGCCCACTGTATTAGACTTAGTAATTGCTCTTCTACATTTAATGGTCTGTAAAATAACCCAGTTATATTCAGTAACACCTAATCTACCTATATTCCAAATTTCATCAAAATATCTCAAATAATAAAAAAGTTATGGTATTTTAAATGTGAAATTTGTCATAAACGAAGTCATTTCGGTTCCGTCAACGCGCAAGCATTTCTTATTGACTGTATATAGTAAAAATTCTTAAAAAATGCGCAAATTTCAACATTATTAAATGCCATAACTTTTTTATTTTTAAAGATATTTAGAAAAGGAAAACTGTTCTGAAATGCTTATAATGAGCACTATAAGATGAAATAAATTGTTTATAAATACAATAAAATAAAAAAATTAGTGTGGGGTTGCTACTTAATATAAGCCGTTTTGAAAAAAAATCACATTTAAACGTCTATAATAATACACAAGATAAAAATGTTCGCAGGAAAAAATCCACACAACTACCGTCAAAAACACCATGTACTTTATTCCGTTTCCAATATTTTCACATAATCCTTTGGCCCATCGACACAGAAGATATAATTCTTCACCATGATGGTCAATTTTAAACTTCAATGTCAATATAAACAATGCAACAGGCAAAATAAACACCGAGATTATCGCCGTTTTACTCCATTTCGACAAATTCAAACGGGGCTCACCAACTTTGACAAATATACATTCTATTTGGATTTTTATGCTCCACACCCCAAGTGTCTGTGATTTCTTTGATTCTTGTCCAATCTTATAAGATTTAAGGGTTATGCAACACGTTTGCTCATTTTAAACAATAATAGATACAGATTGTTACTGCCCAAATATAAAAGGTGTTACTTTGGAAAACTAACTTATAAAATCGGTAAGAAATCATGGCGCCTCTTCAGTTCTTTTTTTTTTCAATAATTTTTTGAGTTTTTGACATAGAACGAAAATTAAGATTTTAACTTTCTTGTAAATTTAGATTGAAAACCAGAAAATAGTTCCTAAAAAATAAATGTCACAACTCAAAACTTAAAAAGTTGGCATATATTGCGTAAATTCAGAGCGTATCGGTAAGCCGGGAGATGTACTGAGGAAACTCTGGACCATAACACATTTAAATTCTTACCACCGTTTAAACAATTTTCATAAATGTATTCTAGAAAGAAATTTAAGCATAAGATTTTCGTCTTTAAAATAAATCATCAAGTATATTTATAATTATAAACTGAAAAATAAATACATGTAGATCTAATTACAATCTAAAAATAACTTTTCTTTTCAATTTGGACCGTGTCAGCATGGAAACTTGTTTAACTGATTCTGGAAAGGAATCACGGCTCAAATTTAAATACTTACCTATAAATCAAATTTATTTATTTAAAACTTAATCTTATAAATATAAAGTTGACACAAAGAATTTAAGTAAGGTAGAAACAGGACTGCACATCAATTATTAATAGTGTCAACATTTCCAACGTGTATATTGGCCAGCGTACCGGTGTCGGCGTTGTGGAATAGTTGACTCATTTCAAAAATAAATATTTTTAGGTCGAATATATTTTCTATACCCGGGACAATAACTTCTCTGGAACATCGCTTAAACAACACCCAAATATCCAAGCCATTACGGCATGCTATGATAACAGTCTTTTATTACACGGATAAATGGTACATGTACACAGGTTCTTTCAGTACAGACAAACGAAAAATGGGCGTTCGGAGTAACGAGTTTTACTTTTCTGAAAACTGTTGAGGAATGAAAAATTAATGCAAGAATTTACAATTTGAATTCAAGAAACTTTCATAGCATAATGCACGTTTGAAAAACAAACCTTTCCTAGGCAAGGAGTTGCTGTTTATAATACGCAGCAAGTTGTGACTAACATAATTATACTAACATGGATAATACAACAGAGTGGTGACAATATAAATTTTAATGAAATGCAATATTTGTATATCCTTTAATAAACATTTTTGTAAAAAAGAGGACTAAATTAAAAATTTCTCCGCATCATTTTAATGATTTCAATCAATTAGAAAAATATTTGATTATTTCCTGGTGATTTATTTTAATGTAGCAATAAATATAATTAATAATAACAACATTAAGAATAATTTGTTTAGTTTTTCATATTTTTTTAGCCACGCAAAAAAAAATAATATGAAAATTACAGGATTCACGCACGGTACCGAACAATATCGATTTTTAGCGTACATGTTACATTACTGTAGCAACATCACAATATGGCGGCGTTGGTACACAAATGAGACGGTGAAATGAAACTAACGTGGTTTACTTTCTTCTAAGTTGATAGTCTGGCACTTTTTGTGCTGTTAATTCCTTAAAAATGTATTGTTGAATAAATTCTTAGTTTAAATTGTGTGCATTTTCACATTTACATCGAAATCCACGTTTCACCACAGAAAGGTCTCCTTTTGGTTTTGACGTTAAAGCGAGATTCTGCCCTAGAACGAAAATATCTCAGAATCAAGCTTTGGCACGTCAATATATTTTGACTAACCAGTATATATACTGGCCTTTTATGGGAACTATACTAAATTATCAATAAATATTTTTAAACTTAAAGATAAATCTGCTATAAGCTCTTTTACTTGGACCCCTGTTTAAAGACATTCATTATTAAACATGTGTGGCTACAGAGGGTATTTTCATTAGCTAAACTTGTTTCATTCAAGTTTCTATCTATTAGAATTTTAATTCTGTTTAGACCCCAGGGTCTAATCTAGGATGAAGGCTTTATCCCAAGTTTTTTTGATTATCCGAATGTTTTATCCGGAATCTACACCAAATTCAGCATTCTTAATAATAAACTTAAGCGTAATGCATATTACAAAGAGGGAGTAAATCGGGCATGTTAATCTTATTCAAACTGATACCTTTCTTTATCCGACGACGTGCTGGTGCCTTCTGAAGCCATAATTCACAACTTTCACGTGAATTTCGTGAAAATTTTCGCGCGGATTCGATTTGTCAACAAAGCGACTGACGTCAACAGTAAAACTACACCATACCATTTGTACATAGTCAATGTTTCCGACTGACGCCACCAGAAAATTAAACTATCTGATAATATACTGTAGAACACAACATTTCTCCTTCTCATTTCCCCTAGAAATGTTCGTGTATGGAATGGTCCCCTACCTATATAATTATGCCAAATGTTGCAAGCCGGAAAATTCATTATACATGAAGACATCTGTTTAAAATTATAAGGCAGTCGCATCCCTTCTACCAGATCTAAGTCAATACTTTCTTATCTTAGCCTCGTAGTTTCTGCTGTTATCTATCAATTTGCACAACAGCTAAATTCCCAGACAAAGCGCCTGCGGACCTTAATTATAAAAAAAAAAATATGGCGTAGATGTAGAGATGTGAAATCAAAACACATATATATGTGAATGCCTTTTCTTAAAGGAGCTCTACTGAGGTCAAAAAGCATAAAAACATAAAATTTGAAATTTTACCTAGATGAAGTGAAGCACTTATAGTTGAAATGGAAAACTCTGCAAAGGATAATAAGGAATATACTCAAGAGTTAAATTGCAAATTGATATTTTTATATGATTTTTAGCACAATTGCACAGAAAAAAGCTGTGTGCACGCTTTTCATTTTTGGGTTATTTTGCACATTAAAAATGATGATTTTGCTAAAAACGGGGTGAGGGGAATGATCTGAAAGTTTGCACACAAGTTAACTATTGGTTCAAACCATCACCAAATCGTACACAGATGTCAGGTAAAGAATTCCGGACCCGTCATATAAAAAAGACTCGGAGGAGTCACTTTAAGCATAGAATTTTCAATGAAATATAGATAAAATATGTTTTACTTATTTTTTTTAATTCATACCACGATTTATCAACAACAACAACATTTATTAACAATTAAACACCTGAAATTTAAGACGCCTATATATAGCCAATATTTACATACATATTCCGGTGTGAACTCGAAATGAAGCTATATATACATATATATATAGATACTAAATACAAAGCACACAATAATCAGAGACATGTATACTAATACATGATCGCATCCATCCTTAAATTTCTTAAATTATTCGCATTGAAGCCTGCATATAAATTTAATTTGCAACGTTGTTCACTGTATATAAAATTATGTACATTTAGAATCTTAAAGTATTTCTGTTAAATTACATGTCTGCAATAAGGGCAAATTAAGATATATCGCCCAATTTTGATATAAAGCCTGTGTGATGAAGTTCTTAACCTATATAATGCAATTCTGAAACTCTTTGGTTATAAATTCAAATAGTTTTCAAAAGTAATGTCATACTTAAAGTGTGTGAAAGCCAACTTGAATCACATATACTCGTATACCATCCTTGTATACGAAAAAAATACTATAAGTGTGGGCGTGTGTGCCCAAGTGTGTACGTGCGTGCGTGCGTGCGTGCGCGCGCTGCATGCGTGCGTGTGTGTGCGCGCGCGTGTTTGAATTAGTCAGTGATACTACTATTTAATCTAAACTGACTAATTTTTGCTTAACATATCAATGGGAAATTATAATTTTGTTTGTTTGATTTTCATATAAATCATTCCCATTGTTTTGCCATATATATGACATGGCCTTTCCGGTAAAGTGAAGTTTTTACGTTATAAAGGGGCTAGCTCTTTCAAGTGTCTATATATTAAACAAAATCATATCCTTAAAACATGTGAAAATTGCGCATGTTTGAAGATTGGACTAGCACCTTGTACATGTGACAAAAATTGTAAGCAATGTCTTTTTTTGTATAGGTTAGTGTTTGAAGGTCTTTTAAATAGAATTTCCCTGGTTTTTAGTAGTAAGCATTTACAAAATAACAGCACACGTACCAATGTATGTGTGACCGTTAATTTAAAACACTCAATCATTTACCTCGTCTGAATAATAGTTTTTTATATATTCATTATATATTTTATATATAATAGCGATTTTTTTAAATTAAAGTGTTATTAAAATACTGCCTTCCAATAAAATAATTTTAAACACTAATATTCAATAAGTTGTTTTTTTCCATCAATGAATCCGGTTTAGATACTAAAGAGGTCAGTACAATTTAAATTTCATTTAAAAAATATAACTGCCATAAAAGAATATTAAAAGCAAATGACCAAATATTTCATAATTAATTTAAAATCATAAAATATTATTCCTTTAAAATTATATTTATAAAACTCGCCACCTTTTAATTTACAAATCATAATTTTCAATTTCTTTCGCAAAGAAAATGGAAAATGGATAGTAAAATATGGTTTACTATTTTTCACACCTATCTGTGACTATTAATTTCATTAAACCTTTGGAAAGTAATAAACCAATCAATTATGCACTGAAGTCATTCAAGCATGTTGATAGATAACGATCTCTGCAAAGCCCCCAGACAGGAGATTACCAACTGGATGACAGGAATAAATGTTTTGATAAAGGAGTACACTACAGCCAATAAAGTTTGAAACTGACAAAAAAGATTCCAGCCTAGCTGTATCTATGAGCCAAGCTTGGGGGCTGCAGTCCTGAAGGCCGGGCCTAAATCTGTCACTGAAATATACTGTACGGGATACGGACAAAAGCCCCCCCTTTACACATAGGACAAAAGCCCCCCCCCCCAGTCCATGAAACATTGTTATTGAGAATCTTGCCAGTTTAATTCCGGAATTTGATATATTGAGACAAGTCAAATGCAATTGTTTTAAAAGATAACTTACATTAAGATTTAAATTTAAAGGTACAAAAGTTCTAATTTGATTTATTGTGTAATTCGTATATAATTCATTGATGATATGAATGTTTTTATGTTTATTATATATTGTTCAGTACAAATGTAAATGAATATTTTCAGAGAATCATTTATCAACGCTTATCAAGGAAATAAAAGTGGAAGGCGCATACTTGTCTATATTTATTTGAAGTATAACCCAAGTTCCCTAACACTGGGCGTGTGAAAAAAGATAGTTATCAGTCTAGTCTATAAACCTTAGGGGGCTTTTGTTTGCTGGACTGGGGGGGGGGGGCTTTTGTCCTATGTGTAAATTTCATGGGAGCTTTTGTCCACCAGGGGACTTTCGTCCGGGGGGGGCTCATTCCCTGCGGTCTGGAGACCGCAGGGTATTGGTACGCGTTTAACTTTTGAGGCATGGAGGAGCACGTGAGCTGTTTTCGGTACATGGAGGAGCATGTGATCTGTAAACCGTACATGATTGGTTAATTGACCCTTTCGAAAACCTGGCTAAATACCGTTTGCCGGTACGTTACGGATAATCCTCTAGGGAATAAGTCAGAATTACACCTAATTAAGAACAAAAAAACTATTACGTGATATTTTTAATTTTCTATAATTATAATACCGTTTAAGGTGGAAAAACTTAAATGATATGTTAAATTATCAATGTTTCTTTAATATGTATCTCAAAATGTTACAAACAATAAATTGTTTATACTGAAAATCTACAAAATTAAAATATTCGTAGTGGCATCTGCCATAATAAATAGAGATGTTTTCTGCGAAAACTTGTGTGTTTGCTTTTTTTTTGCTCGGAATTATTCATAAAATGGTAGGCCTATTTAATCATTTTCTTAAAAAGAAATAATTGTTTTTGTTCGACCTTCTCCGGTCATTAACTGTCACCAGTTTCCAAAGACCTTCTTCTATAGTGATCGATTATTGTCAACTATATTCCTGATATATTCCCCGTTTATTTATCCACCCACCCAAACAATGTTGAAGATAGTTAAATGAAATATCTTTATATCATCAAAAATGTTCCCCGCAGGAAACCATTTTACTTGTACTGTACATGTACAGCCACCGTACTGTATGGTGAACGTTTGTTTACTAAATACTAATCTCTAAACATGTAAGTTTGTATTTTGCTTGCAGTTAAATATAACATAAAGTATTTTTCAGAGATGTTGTTCTCAATTTATGGCATGTATTAAATACAAAATTTACACGCTGCAATGTTTATTTCATTTTTGGGATAAACTTTGGTACACATAAACTGATGACGTTTTAGTCCTTTCACGGCGGCCATAACATACCTCGTGGGCTACGCGAGTAAGTTAGTGAAATATAAACAGGTTTTGTGTAATATTGGTGTCGATGTTTCATATGAAAACAATGTTAATGCAGTCATATCATAACATGTTTCTTTTTAATAAGTCAAAATAATCAATTGTATTAATAGATGTTCATGTATGTTGGGTTTATGTTTGTGAGAGCTAACTTAATAATGTAGCCCCGGTCCAAACAATTTTGTCCTTTTAAGAACGTTTCATGTTGCTAACCGTTTTTAGTGGTAATTTCAAGCCATTAATCAGGGTATAAAGTTATTTACATGCGAATACTCTTTGTGTTTGTTATTGTTTGTATAATAAAGCTGTTGCGTACTGGAATACACCAGTTGGTCATTCTCTTGGAATAGTTTAGACCTGTAATCACATGTCTAACACACGTATCTAACACTGTCTATATTTGATACAGTAGATAAATACTACAAATATGGAATATATATATCTGCTTTTTTACATTTGGCAGGTATCTTGCAAAACATTTAATATGAAATTAGGCAAAGCCTATGAACGGAGAAGTCGGTAAAAAAATCCTTTCATTTTTCCGTTTTAAAGGTGTCATTCGGTATTATATGTACCCACTTCCGTTTTCACTCGGAACACTCGACGATTATTATTAATCCGAAAAGTTGAGATTTGTTCCGTAATTGGAATACACCGCCTTTTATCATTGAGTTACATTGTAAATGGCGGCGCCTAACTAGAACTGACACTGAAAATTTCATTGATAGGTATAGAATTCTATATATTTTTAATTTTTTTTTTAATTTGAATTTTCTTTTAAATATACACGTGTGGTCTATAGCCGGGCAAGCCAAAGCCCGGGCCCGCTTCGCGGGCCCGGACTTTGACTTCCCCGTAATATGAAAAACGCAAAGCCTGTGCTTACCTGTTACATTAGTTTCATCAATTTCATTTCATGTACGAGAGCTGCCTCCCTTTTGTGCATATGTCACTTCGGGCAACTTTTGTTATCAATATTCAAGTTCGAAAACTAGCTAAACACTGTTTTCCGGTACTTTCTGAACATAGCTCTGGGTAATTCACCTAATGGAGTGTGATAACGAACTCGTGTTTTTGGCCTTTTTTGAATTGAGGTGAAATAAAACAGTTATTTCTTTGTAAGAAAATAATTAAATATCATTGTTTTAATATTTCCTTACAAAAGGTAAAATAAATACACAAGTTGATACAAAAATTTCTCTATTATGGAAGATGCCACTACGACTGTTTTAATTTTACTGATTTTCATTATTTAATTTTTGAAAAATTTGCAATAGATATTAAAGGAATATTGATAATTTTCAAATACATCAATTTTTTCACCTTAAAGGGTAAAATAACTAGGGCTGGGTATTGATCAGAAATTTCCGATACGATATGTATTGCGATACAGACCAACGATACACAATACGTATTGACGATACAGTACAATGATGTTTCATTGTTAGGATGTACTTATTAAAAGTACTTTTTACATTTCATAGATGCCCTGGTGAAATATTATTGAATCTTTCTTATATCTTTTTTAGATTTTGACTTTGTTAATGATGATATATAATACAGAGCAGGTGCATAGGTACCTTAATTAGTACATTTGAGGTAATATTTTAAAAATGACATGATGGTCCCTTTTTTAGATAAAACAATTATTTTGAAAAAAAAGCTTTGTAGAGAAATAATTCAATGCAAAAATATAATTATGTAAATACTAGGAAAAGTTAACGCAGAAAATAATTAAAACATCACTATTTATTATGGCAGGAGGCTAGTACTGTCTACAAGTCAACTGTTCTAAATTATAAGATCTTTATAATAAAATCAATTTTTTTTTAGAATTTGAAATATATACGCTGAGAAAGTATTGGAACATTGAAAATTTTCTAACAAATCATGTTTTTTTCTATCTTAAACGGTAAAATAACAATAAAAATATAAATATTAGTCATGATGTTGTGGTGTCGTAATCCGTAACGTACCGGGAAACGGTGTTTAGCTACATCTTCGTGCAGTCACATTTATTTAGTTAGCAACTACATCTTGGAAAATTAATAAATTTGTAGGATTTATGTGTTCAAAATATGTGTTTAAAAAATTACAAGTAAATGTTTGGTCTAATACAAACTACTGCCGACCTGAAAGTAGTTTTTACCAGTGTTAGAAATAGGAGATTGAATGGCCGGATAAATTTTGTCACGGATTTATCCGTCATTTTGTGTATTGACATATTCGTTGTTCCACCTGAACTAATCAATGCAGCCTTTCAAATATTGATGAGGGCCTTCTTAACACATTTACTTTAGAGAAAATTCCACACTTTTGACTTTAGTGCGGACATTTTAAAGACGATAGTTTTAATGTAAAGCCATCATGTTTATAAGTGTTATTAAGTTGTCTCCCTTTGTATCGGTATAGCTAAAACCCGATAACCGTACCGTATTGAAAAACGGAAAATCGATAAATACCGATTTACCGGTATATTGATCCAGCCCTAAAAATAACAGGCCTATTTTGGGAAAACGCCACATGGCAAATTTGGGAAAATTGTGTCGTAAAATTTTCCAATTTGGGAAAATATGCTAGCATTCAAGGTGTTACAATTGTTAAAATAAATCTTAAAAAAATGGTACTGTTTATATAAACTGTTCAGCTTTTTCTATCATATCAAAAATACAAGGACAGGCTAAAATGTGTACAAATGTAAAACTGATATCAATTAAAAATCCTGTTTTTATTCACAAAACGTGAATATATTCCGTAACGCTATTTTGCCTTACCAAAATTGAAAATGCGGCACTTTTTCTTTCAAATTGCTGACTTCTACATTGGGAATATTTTTTTGGTTTGGGAAAAAAATCATAATTATTTGGAAGGGGAATGGGGCCAATATTCAAACCCGTGGAATAGGGGAAAAAAGGCCTGAATAATGATAGAGAAATAGAAATATCATGTAATTGTGTTATGTACTTCATTAGGTGTAATACCCCAGAGCTATATCCGTAACGTACCGGAAAACAGTGTTTAGCTAGGTTTTCAAAAAGGTCAATACAGCGTAGTTAACAACAGTATTTTAAATTTTCCGTTTAGTTAAGCAGAAATATATTTAATTTTTATAAAATCAGAACATCTTTTGAAATATCAAAGATTTTAACACTACTATTCTTTACGCTTGAATTTTGATTTACTAGTGTGTTTCGATTTTGCAGAGGTGGCCAGATTTGAAAAAGCGTCTTATTAGCAAACATGTCTGAAAAACTTACAAGAATGCCGCCAAAACTATCTATTTATAAGCACTAGACCTTTAACCTGTCATAATATCATTTAACCCATAACCTAACAAAACAACCAATCAAAAGGCTGGTTATATCCCATAATTAAAAGATTTTATTCGTAAACAATTTGCTTAATACATATCATGCTTTCTAGAGCTCTGGCATACCAAACAAGAAAATTAGTCATTAAATCGAATAACAGTTTAGTGATGAGCACTAAGATAAATGGAGCCTGCTGCTTCTCAGACAACTTGTCATTGCTTGTTTTATGTAATATGTCTGAAGTACCAATTGTTATGTGCAGTAACGGGGTACACAACACTTATTTGTTATTGAATAGTTGTTTTATATCTTTCAGGTATGATCATGAATCCAGAAAAATTAAAACAGCTCCAAGAGCAAGTACGAATAGGAGGAAAGGTATGCAGGAAATAAAAATTTACAATTGATGCATGCATTGTCCTTTAGATCATTTGAAAAAAATCGCAAGTGATTATAAAAAGATGACAGAAAGCAGTCTATGCAAAAGACCTGAGATATTTACCAGATCAAATTCAATTTCCCCATGCCTAAAGAAATTGGAACTGTTTTTCACTACATGTATATATTATTGCAAGGGCATATGGCCCTAGCCTTTCTTTGGGGTGAAAAATTGTGAATGAAAAGAAATTTGGGGAAAATTCACTGGAGTATTGACAATAATGCATCAAACACTTTGAAACAATGTTTCATTAATGAAAAGACACTTATATTAAAGACACTCTTATAATAAAACATAAGTGGATTTCTTTCTAATTTAAGGACCAAAAAAAGGAATACCAATATTGTTTCTGTTTACTGAAAACTTAAAGATTTAACTGTTAACTGTTACATTGATGTTTGTACAATGAAGAAAAGTTATCTAAACTAAATTATTTTGAAAAATCAAGACTTACTATTTATTATAAAACACAGATTTGAAGGTTTTACCTATCATTTTCCAGGGTACTGCAAGGAGAAAGAAAAAGGTCGTCCACAGAACTGCCACTACTGATGATAAGAAGTTGCAAAGTTCACTTAAGAAACTCTCTGTAAATAATATACCAGGAATTGAAGAGGTTTGTACTATAAAATTGATTGTCATATTAAACAGGACCTTTTTCGCATGTATGAGAAGTGGTCCTTCCCTGAAATTTTTGGGGACAGTAATATATCATTTTGCAAAAGAGGAAGATGCAACTTAAATGAATTGAATATTACAGGAAAACTGCATGGGTGCCTGAAAATGACACTGCTATAGGTGGGAAAAAAGCCAAGGTTAAGAGAGTTATTGTACTTGCCCAGCATCATACTTTGGCTAAGTTTTTTCTTGTAAGTTTGTATCTCCAAAACTACTGAAAGGAATGGGTTGAAACTTCACACACATTGTTTTACAATCATGCACTGAGAATAGTCAAGCACGCTGTCCTAATGACAACTCTTGTTATAGATAAATTATAAATATTTAAAATAATGCACCACTTTTTCTCCAATTGACCTAAACACATAAGGTTTTATGATTACAACTTGTCCACAATTTGTAATTTTCTTAAATTTCTTTAAACATCTCCTTAGCACTGTGGATTTTGACTTAACTCCTTAGGAATGACCTTTAAGTGGCTGTCTACTAAAGGTTCCAGTCTGATGCACAAGTTGATCTCAAGATTTGTTTTCTATTTTTGGAAGCTACAGTGCGCAATGCTTCGACATGTAGTATCAGGAAAAGTTATGTGAAATGTGCCCATTGAGTTCACTTAGTTAACAATTACATAGACTTTTGTAGGAAAAACATTTAAATCATCTTCTGAAATTACATAACAAACAGTGTTCGCGTTTACTGAGTAAACATATCAATTTACTCGCTAAAATTGCCAGGGAGGAAAGAAAAAAAGGGCTGTTGAGTCCCTGGGACGAAACACTTTTTCCCCGATAATTGGTCAATTCTCTCTTAAGTTTTTTTGCTCTGCTTGAAAATGATTTTCTATTCACTTTGAATAAATTGTATTATAAGAACTTGACTTTCACCTCATTTTCATTTGTTCCTTTCTCATTAGCAATGCAGATTTATATCCCAAACGTAGACTAGGAGCAAGTGCTCGGCCTCGTTTTGGGCCAACTTATCAATGGTATCCGCGAACATCAACAGTCTCAAATTTGATTGTATTATGAAGTTATGCAAACATTGACATTTTTGTAATTGAGGACTCGTTCCATTTGAATTGGGACGTAACAGATCTATTAGCACTGAGTCCCAGGTACTCAGTAAAGTTAGGGAAAATCGCTAACACTGACATAGTAAAAGACATAGTGCCCCAATGTGACCCAGTGACCTACTTTTGCAAGGAGGACAAATTATTTAAGCTAGAGCCAACATAGGTTACTACTCTAGTAATGGATTTCGAGTGATCAATCTAAAGACATTATATGTCTCTCTTTTTCTGCTGTGTAGTAATTTAACAACTAAAGGTAATTAAAATTCTCTATCTGATGATTACAAAATTGGTTACTTTACTATTAACAGTACATAATTGTTTGTTTTATCATGCACTTTCAATCTACAGATGCCAAGTAATTTCCTTTCATTTAGTTTTGAATATATTTGAAATTTCACGTCAGTAAAATTCAACTAAATATTCTCTTTTATACAATGTTCAGGTTAACATGATAAAAGACGATGGTCAGGTGATACATTTTAACAATCCAAAAGTTCAAGCATCTCTGGCTGCCAACACTTTTGCTGTCAGTGGACATGCAGAAATGAAGCGTAAGTATTTAGATTTATACATCACAGTCAGATGTAACTTAAATATTTCAGCTGTTTCATGAATTTATTGTGAGGAGTGGGTTGAAGAAAAATTTCCTGATAAATACTGAACAAGTTATAGGGTATAAAGCTATGTCTAATGAAATGTTTTTAAAAATTTGTATAGGGTAAACTTATGTTTCAATAATCACGTATTTCTCGTAGAAAAAATAGCATTGTAGGATAGGCCTCATACTGGCTGAAAACTTTTGGCAAGTAGATTTAAAATCTTGTAAAAAAAAAAATTGCGCTCTTGAATGCTTGAAATTAAAAGAGACATTCATGAAGATTGTCTTATTCCTGAGAATGAATGTCATATGTTAGCTTGAACTCAATCATATTAAGTGTTATTTTGTTTTACAGAAATATCGGAAATGTTACCTGGAATCTTAAACCAACTTGGTGCCGAAAGTTTAAGTAGTTTAAAGAAACTTGCTTCTACTGTAGCAGGTGGGGACTTTTTGCGTAAGTGTGGAGAAAAAAATAATGAGAAATTCTGATACTTTAAATCTTCAGTGGCATATTGGGGGGGGGGGTATTTATTTTATTGCAACAATTCAGCTATTGCCATTGGATAAGTCAGAATCTCTCATATTTATTATTGTGATTAGAGAACATTCCCAAAAGTGTCAAAATTAGAAGAATTCATTAAATATATTCTTTGATTATCCTTGTTGTGCAGTTAGATGTGCCCTTCATAATTTACAAAGTAACCACTTAAGATTTAGGGGAAACCAGCAGTAAAGCATGAAGCATTTTATTGTTGGCAAAAGTAAACTGAAAGAGTCTGGGTCTTAGCTGGCCCCCTTGGGCTTAAGGAGAATACTGAATTGAGATACTTTTTGAATTTCCTGATAGCTGGTTAGCTGTCTATGTAATGGTTTCAAAAAAATATATAAATTGTGTTCAAATTGCTTTTGAATAAAGTAGAACAGTTTTTATATATTGTTTTGTTCTTTATTCACGAGATCTTTAATGGCATCTTTTGCTGAAAAACATAATTTAATTGAAATGTTTATCTGATCTATTGTTTGAAATGGTATAAAATGAAGTGTCGGTTCTTAATTCTTATATTAAGTTGAAAATGAAGTAAATTAGATTGGATTTTGCAAAATGGCATATTGACTTAATTGTTATAACTGTTTCCAGGGGGAGGAGATTCCAGTAAACCAAACACAGAAGATATAGATGATGATGATGTTCCTGGTAAGATATTAAACCTTTCCATATATATTTTATTTCAGCCAGCTTACAGAATGTCAGTTGTTCTACTCATATGCCTTTCCATGGCTGAAATAATGCACAAAAAGACACCTGAGGTCTTCTATCAGGAGACTAAGATGTGGACAGTTGCCATATGACCTTTACTGTACTTGTGTGACGTGAAATCCATAACTAATTAATGTTTTATTAACTTGTACCTATTTTAGTCGGAACTGTCACCTGTTGAATTAAAACACTAAAATAAAAGAATAAGTTTGTGTAGTCTAAAAAAACATTTAAGACATCATAGTAGTGTTCATAAGGAAGAGATAATTAAGTAACATCTGTTCTAAATGATGAAAACTTGGAATTACCATTTGATAAATTATGAAACATAGCAAAGCGGCTTTTTATTCTGAATAATGCAGATGTAAAAATGTTGAAAGTTCTAACAATATTTATGACCTAATTTCTTCCCTAAAATCTGCACTAATGATGAAAACTTGGAATTACCATTTGATATATAATGAAACATATCAAAGCGGCTTTTTATTCTGACTAATGCAGCAGGTGTAAAGATTTTAGAATTTCTAACAATATTAATAACCTAATTTCTTCTTCCCTAAACTCTGCATTAATGATGAAAACTTGGAATTACCATTTGATAAATAATGAAACATATCAAAGCGGCTTTTTATTCTGATATATGCAGATTTGGAAAATTCTACGTTTGGACATTTAATGGTAATATAACAATACATTTTACACTGTTTATTAAGGTTATGGTTACTTCAGTCAACATATAATTTAGGCATGGTGGCCTGGCAGGCATCTTTGAAGAATCTGCAAATTTAATTTTGCTATCGAGTGTTTTAGAAATAAAATTTTCAACCAAAGTTGATTTTAGACAGTGGGGAGCTGTTTTTGACGTACAGAACCACCTGTGCAGAGCTTGACCCTTTAGGAGATAAAGATTTTGGTTGTTATTGGGTATCAGTATTCGTTTTTAGCTCGACTATTCGAAGAATATGAGAGCTATTGTAGTCGCCCCGGCGTCGGCGTCCGCGTCGGCGTCTGCGTTGGTTAAAGTTTTTTGTAAAGTCAAATATCTCAATTATTACTTGAGATATTCAATTGAAACTTACAATACTTATTTATAGTAACAAGGTACATCAGATTGACAAGTTGGATAACTCTGCCTACAATATTGACAGAATTATGCCCCTTTTTAACTTAGACATTTTGGTTAAAGTTTTTTGTAAAGTCAAATATCTCAATTATTGCTTGAGATATTCAATTGAAATTTAAAATACTTTTTTATAGTAGCAATGTACATCAGTTTGCAAAATTGCATAACTCTGCCTGCAATATTTGCAGAATTATTTGCCCCTTTGAAACTTTGGTTAAAGATTAAAGGTCTTCAAAGATATTTACTGGAAACTTTACACATGCACTTAGAGTCAGAATTTGAGGGTCATAATTGTATGTCACTGATCAAGTTCCATAACTCTAGTCTCATTTAGACTGATTCATATCCCCTTTTCTACTTAGTCTCTTGGTTAATGTTTACATGCAAGTTTTACATATCTCAATAACTATTAAAGATATTTATTAAAAACTTCACATATGCATTTAGGGTCATAACTGTAGGTCACTGACAAAAATCCATAATTCTATCTTGCATTTAGGGCTGATTTTTCTCCCCTTTTTCAACTTAGAAATTCATGCTTAAGTTTTTCTTGTAAGTTGTTATCTCAATAACTACTGAAGGGTTTGTGCCTTTTTCGGGACAATTTTATGCATTCATAATAATAAAGCAGTGATTTACGTGATAAAACATCTTAATAACAAGCCTTTGTACCTTTTCTGTCAAATTTATTTATTCATAGGTAATTAGTATTATTATACTCAATAAAACACCCTTGTGACATTACCTTCCGAATAGTCAAGCCAATACTGTATAATTAGACTCTCTCTTAGGCCTATAACATGAATTTATAAAAAAAAATTAGCCCTTTTGTGAACTTAAAAAATTAAACAATATAAAGGCTCTTTTACTATCAAGCACTTAGAATAGTCGAGCGTGCTGTCCTACAGACAGCTCTTGTTCTAGAAAATTGTCACCGAAATTGAAAAAGTTGGCTAAGGTCATATTTTTGGGAAACTGCATGTTTTCAAGAGAAATTCATTTGGGAATTGGCCTCTGTTATATAAGGTTAAAAATAACTAAGAGGGCTGCTGTGCAGAGCTTACACTGTGATTTTGGAAAAAAAACAAAGTTGAAATAACTCCATTGGAATATTTGCTTGCATGATGAAAACTTGGAATTACCATTTGATACATAATGAAACATATCAAAGCGGCTTTTTATTCTGATAATGCAAATGTTCAGATTTATTAACAGATTTCTTTTCTACTATAGATTTCTTTTCTGCTTCAAAATCTGCATTTCATGATGAAAACTTGGAATTACCATTTGATATATAATGAAACATATCAAAGCGGCTTTTTATTCTGATAATGCAGATTTTGACATTTTGTTATGTTTGAGATTTACATCACGCTGGCACTGTATAGGTCATGGTGACTTTTCAGTTTAACAGCTACAGTAGTCTGTCAACAAATTATTTCAGGCATGGTAGCCTGACAGGCATCTTGGTAGAATAATCAAATTTCTAGCTAGCTAGATAATTTTTTTATTTAAACAAAGTTTGGATTTTAAGACTGAGGAACTGCCCATAACATAATTGTGAAGGGAAAAAAAGAAGTAAATAACTTCATTTTGATAATCTGCATTACATGATGAAAACTTGGAATTACCATTTGATATATAATGAAACATATCAAAGCGGCTTTTTTTTTCTGACTAAATGCAGATGTTGAAAAATTTTTTTAGACTTATGCCACAAGTTCCTTTAATACTGTTGAGGTCATATGATGTTAAAGTTTAAGAAAGTCCAAGATGCTCGTGTACATTATTTCATGCATGGGCGTGCATATTGGCAAAGTCACCAAACTTCGAAAAGCTGCTTGAATTGTTTTGTCAAAGATTTCATTGTATTGTAGAATTAAAACAAATTGAGGTACAACTGATTTTATGTATATGACCTAACAACCTCTTTTGGAAGTTCATAGGGAAAGTTATATAAATATCTGTGCATGATGAAAACTTGGAATTACCATTTGATACATAATGAAACATATCAAAGCGGCTTTTTATTCTGACTAATGCAGATATTGAAAGTTAAAGAAAGTTCTAACCGTAACCTAATTTCTTCTACCTGAATATTTGCATTCATGATGAAAACTTGGAATTACCATTTGATAATAATGAAAAATATCCAAGCGGCTTTTTATTCTGAGTAATGCAGATACTGAAAAAATGTAATGGTGCATTTTCTAGTAACACCAACAATATTAAGATCCAGTAGAATTCAAATTTTTACTGGGGGAAGAATACCTCAGATACCTCTGCAGGAAAATACTTTGTCAGTGTCAGTATTTAAAAAGGATTGGACAACAAGGGTCAAGTGCTTTTGAAAATAGCAACCTAAACAACTCAACCATTGAGTCCCGTTGTAAAGTTTTCTGGAAAAAAAAGTTAAATTGAAATAACTTTGTCAATATGGATTTTTGAAATGTTTGGTTACTGATGAAAACTTGGAATTGCCTGACAGCTTCTTTATATGACGAAATGAAACGATACTTGCATTAATTATTTAAACTCGATGAGGGGTAAGAAGTGATTTTAAGGCTAAAAACGCTTTGGATGTTATGGATCTAATTTAGATTGAACTTGCAAAGTCTGCATTAATGATGAAAACTTGGAATTACCATTTGATAATAATGAAACATATCAAAGCGGCTTTTTATTCTGAATGATGCAGATATTGAAAAAAGAATTCGACATTTGGAATCGTGTTATTATTAAAGTCCTGCCCATTCCAGGTATACAGAGTTATAGGATGACTTTCCAGTTATACCTGGTGCAAGCACACCCCCATATGCCCTTGAAATAATGTCAAGTACAAGTAAAATAGTCACTGCCTGATTTTAATTATGTACAGCCAATCGAATTATTTTTTTGGGTATTACTGTGGCCGCTTATGAATCTTGAGGAAATTTAATAAATAATTTTGCGAAGACGTGAATTGTCAAAATTAATTGGCAGCTTCTTTTGTATTTGAAAATCTGAAAAATAAAAACTTGGAATGAATTGATATATAATAATAAATGTCAAGCAGGTTTTTATTCTATTTGAGTAAAAAATTTGCATAAATGATGAAAACTTGGAATTACCATTTGATATATAATGAAACATATCAAAGCGGCTTTTTATTCTGATAATGCAGGTGACAAAATTTTAGAATTTCAAACAATATTAATGACCTAATTTCTTCTTCCCAAAAACCTGCATTAATGATGAAAACTTGGAATTACCATTTGATATATGATGAAACATATCAAAGCGGCTTTTTATTCTGAATAATGCAGATGTAAAAATTTTAGAAGTTCTAACAATATTAATAACCTAATTTCTTCTTCCTGAAAACCTGCATTAATGATGAAAACTTGGAATTACCATTTGATATATGATGAAACATATCAAAGCGGCTTTTTATTCTGAATAATGCAGATGTAAAAATTTTAGAAGTTCTAACAATATTAATGACCTAATTTCTTCTTCCCAAAAACCTGCATTAATGATGAAAACTTGGAATTACCATTTGATATATGATGAAAAATATCAAAGCGGCTTTTTATTCTGAATAATGCAGATGTAAAAATTTTAGAAGTTCTAACAATATTAATAACCTTATTTCTTCTTCCCGAAAACCTGCATTAATGATGAAAACTTGGAATTACCATTTGATGATAATGAAAAATATCAAAGCGGCTTTTTATTCTGAATAATGCAGGTGTAAAAACAATATTAATAACCTAATTTCTTCTTCCCAAAAACCTGCATTAATGATGAAAACTTGGAATTACCATTTGATATCTGATGAAACTTATTAAAGCGGCTTTTTATTCTGAATAATGCAGATGTAAAAAGTTAAAGTAGTTCTCTAACTTATATTTCTTCTTCCCTAAAATCTGCACTAATGATGAAAACTTGGAATTACTATTTGATAGATAATGAAACGTATCAAAGCAGCTTAAAGAAATGCATACATTGAAAGATAATCCGAGTTATAATTAAAGTCCTGCCCATTCCAAGTACTATTTACATGATTGCTTTCCAGCTATAACTGGTGCTAGAACATGTACATTCAGCCCCTTGAATAATGTCAAGAAAAAACAACCATTATAGTCTAATAGACTTTCTGTAAACTTCTTGGATAACTCCATCATAAAACAAAAAAATGCAATGCCCATGATGGTATTAAAAGCAAGTTGTGAGTAAAATAATCACTGTCCAAGACCTAACTTACTTGTATAAGGAGGCCTTTTGAAATATTGAGAAAAGTGGAAAATATGTTGCCATTATATATATTGCCATTACCTAGGCAGCTTCATGTGTTGAAAGAAAAAAATCTGATAAACTTTTTCTGAGAATATTAAATGTAAGAGCAAATGTTTTTGTATTTGAAAATCTGCATTAATGATGAAAACTTGGAATTACCATTTGATATATAATGAAACATATCAAAGCGGCTTTTTATTCTGACTTATGTAGATTTTGAAAAATAATTTTTTTTCGATCATTTGAAATTGATGCAACTTACTAACTGTAATCGTGCTTGAAAATTCTGAAGAATGTCTTAACAAAATCATAGTAACTTAATGGTTGCAAAAATCTGCATTGATGATGAAAACTTGGAATTACCATTTGATATATAATGAAACATATCAAAGCGGCTTTTTATTCTGACTAATGCAGATAAAATATCTATTTTATGCCCCTTGGAGCAGGAAAGCATATTGATTTTGGTCTTTTTTTGTCGCAAAACACCTTTACTATGACAGTCATGGTCCTTCCATGAACTCAACCTGCCAGACCCAGTTAGGGTCAAAATCTTTGTTTTATATGAAAATCTTTTATTTGATGTTATTTCTGAAACTTTTATAACTACAGTCGAGACTGCCTGAGCGACCCCCTGATTTAAACGACTCCCTGTCTTATCCGACCTTGTTTCAGTACTCCCAACGTATTTTCCTATATAAATGGTCTGAATTAAACAACACCCTGTCATATGTGACAAGCGACCCTAATTGTCTGGTCCCAATGCAAATGTTTGGTCTGATTTAAACGACTTTCACACCTTTTAATTGTCCGTTAATCAGATAAATAATACCTATTATAACACCCAGAGGGCCAAAATAATTAAGTCCAATTATAATCCAGTAGCAAACAAAGTCTACACACCTCTATCTCAATTACATAGTGTACATGCAGGTATCAAGTGACTTGGCGTCTGTTCATGATCGACGTATGTGTAATGTACATGATGGCCTGAGTAAACTGGGTTTAGACTCGTGTTAGATTTTTTTTGTTAATTATAGAGTGCCCACGGAAGATTTTTTAGGCAGCATTTTTTTAATTTACCTTTCTATGGCTGCATAATTAATACGGAAAAAATATTGATACCAAACCAGAAAAAGTTTTGGATATGGATATGTTACACAATTTTCTCAAGGTTTTATTTCATAAATATGATGCTCAAATTAAGATTTGTCAATATTGTAAGTTCAAATAAGCATGATTTATAAAGATATCACCCAATTTAACATTTCATGTAAATAAAAGCTATTAAAGGGAGGTAATTAGAACTTTATTTTCTATAAATTCTAAGTCAAATTTTCCAATAAGAAATCAATGCATGTAATTTATTGATTAAATATAATGTGCACAAATATTTGCAGTACACATTTAACATATTCTTTGATGTTGGAAAATTGTTTTATTTGCATAATTATATCCATATATATATTTTTTTTGCAACTGTTGTATGCACACAATCAAAAACATACAAAATCTATAAGTCACAATGGTATATAGACAGATAGATAATATTTAAATTTAATTTTCTATTTAATTTTCTATGAGACTGTATTAAGAGACTCCCTGTCATATGTGACCTTTTTCTGAAGATCCCTTGGAAAGTCACATATGACAGTCTCGACTGTATTTTCACAATGAATGGATCTATTTTCAGAACTGGTGGAAAACTTTGATGAGGCTTCAAAAGGAGAAGGGGACTAGAAGTTATCATTTCTACATTAGATGTTTTGTAAAATTTGTTTTTCATACTTGACTGCAATCGGAGAGACTGAGAGTGTGTATTTAAGTGATAAGTTCACTGTGTGCAAGAATACTCCATCCCCCTCAATACATACAGTTAATATATCACAATAAGAACAAATTTTAAAACTGATTTTTACACAAAAAGAAGAAAAATTAAATCCGAATAACTTACAAATTGGTAACAAGTAATTTATATTTATATATTATCTGATCTATCACAAGTGATATTGAGACTTCTCATTTTAGACTCAAGCTTCAAACTTGTATTATTTACATTGTTGATAGTTGAATGTAACGTGATGAACATCGTTGTCTATCCTCACGTATGTTCATTTATCTGTAAAATAAAACTTTTTGGTAATATTGTCTTGTGTTTTGTCTTATCCCTCTTCAAGTAGTAAATGGATATGTTATGGTAATAACTAATTCATCCTTTGTTTAGAGAAAAGTTGTGTATTTAAAGGAACTCTGTTTAGCTCACCTGTCACAAAGTGACAGGGTGAGCTTTTGTGATCGCTTTTCGTCCGGCCTCCGTCCGTCCGTAAACTTTTGCTTCAAATGACATATCCTCATAAACCACTAACCCAATTTCATCCATACTTCACCGGAATGTTCCTTTGGTGGTCACCTTTAAAAATTGTTCAAAGAATTTAATTCCATGCAGAACTCTGGTTGCCATGGCAACCGAAAGAAAAAACTTTAAATATCTTCTTTTAAAGAACCCAAAGAGCTAGAGCTTAGATATTTGGCATGAAACATCTTCTAATGAGTGTCTACCAAGTTTGTTCAAATAAAAGCCCTTGGGTCAAAATTGGCCCCACCCCAGGGGGTCATTGATTTTCCTTATATGCATATAGTAAAAACATAAAAAATCTTCTTTTAAAGAACTCAAAGAGCTAGAGCTAAGATATTTAGCATGAAACACGTTCTATAATAATAATAATAATATCTTTATTTAAAGAAGGTTACACATTAAGAACATACAATAACAATCATATATATCTTATTTCCAATGTGGCCTTCTGAAATAGAAAACAACAACAACAGGACATGCATAGGTAGAAAAATAAATGTATAATATGTAATTTTTAGAATAATACAACTCATATACTTTCGACAGACACTCGACAATTTGTTTAAACATATACGTATATTGCATCATTCGTTCGTTCATTTATTCATTCATTCACTCACTCACTCGCTCACTCATTCATTTATATGAACATCAAGATATGCTTTGTATTTTTCTTTAAAACATTTAAGGTTATTAACATTACAAATATTTAAAGGTATATTGTTCCAAATGTTCATGCCATAATAAGAAAATGTGTCTTTAATATAATTTGTTTTAGGTCTTGTCCATAATACAATATCATCTTAAGTTATATATTTTGTTGTCAGATAAAGTCATCAGTTCTGTCATATAAGTTGGTGCCATGTTATTTAAAGTTTTAAAAACAAGCACCGCCGTGTGGTATTTACATCTGTCAAGGAACGGTAACCAGTTAAGAGTTTCGAATAGATTTATTGACGGAGATCTTTGTGGTTGCTGTAAAATGATTTTAGCAATTCGTTTTTGTAACTTACAAACATTATTTATGTAGTTTGTGTTTCCTTTACCCCATATAATACAACAATAGTCCATAATGGGCAATATATATGCATTGTAAAACAATAATTTCATATCAAAGTGCAAAAAATACGATATTTTTTTCAATAAGGCAATTTTTCCGTTAATTTTTTTACAAACATTGTCGATTTGCAAGTGCCATTTTAAGTTGTTATCTATGCAAATACCCAAGACTTTTTGATCAGTTACATTTTCAAGAGCTATTTCATTTATCTTAAGATACAATTTTCTCATAATATTTACTTTTTGTCTTGTTCCTATTACCATACATTTTGATTTATCTGGATTTAAGGCCATATTATTTATTTTGCACCATTTGTCAATGTTATTTAAATGATCTTGAAGTTTTATTTCTACTTTTGATATATTTTCTCCGGACTCATAAAGAGTAGAATCGTCTGCGTATAAATCAATTTTTATATCATTACCAATGAAAGCTATGTCATTTATGTATATTAGAAATAATAAAGGTCCTAGTATTGAGCCTTGTGGAACACCGGAAATTATTTTCATTGTCTGAGATTGTAGATTACCTATCTTAACCAGTTGTATTCTGTTAGAAAGATATGACTTAAAAAACTTAACGGAATTTTCAGAAAAATGATAAAGTTTAAGTTTATGCAAAAGTATTTCATGGTCAACCAAATCAAAGGCTTTCTTTAAGTCTAAGAATACAGTCCCGATAATTTTTCCACTGTCAACATCTTTTAACCAAGTATCTATTAAACTAATGAGTGCAGTATTACATGAATGATTTTTACGAAATCCTGATTGTTTATTATGAATTATGTTCGTTTTTTCAAAGAATGAGTGTATTTGTTTGGCAATATGGCGCTCAAATATTTTGGATATAGTTGACAAAATTGATATCAGTCGATAGTTATTTGCTTCATTCTTATCCCCCGATTTAAAAATAGGTATAACTCGAGCTCTTTTTAAATCATCTGGGAATATATTAGATTTAATACTATTATTGATAATTGATGCAATTATTGGTGTAATATAATCTCCACAATATTTGATGATGTTTGGTCCAATTCCATCTAATCCTGTAGTTTTTAATATTCAGTTTTTCAATAATAAGTTTTACTTCAAACGGTGTAATTAATTCAATATTAAATTCATGATATATTAGCTTTTGGTCTAAAGTTTCTTTCAGTTTTGAAAAATTTGTATTTGAAAACTTTGTTTTATGTATGACATTCGAGATATTGACAAAATACTTGTTTAATTCATTTATAATATTTACATTTCCGTAAATTTCTTTATTACCTGTCACTAGTCTGTCTGGCATTGTAATACAACCTTTTTTATTTAGATTTGAAACGTCCATTAAATTTTTCCATAAAAATGCCGGGTCTTTGTTATTTTTAATAGCATTGTTAAAGAAATCTCTTTTACTTTTTTTAATTATTGATGATATTTTATTTCTGAGCAATTTGTATTGTTCATGTTTCCCTACTTTATGATAGTAATCGCGTTCATGTATTAGATATTTTATCTCATCAGTAAACCATTCCGGCCGGTGTTCACGTTTGATACGTTTTTCTTTTATTGGTGCATGCTTTTTCAAGATAGTATTTAAAATGGAGTAAAATAAGCTAAGGGATTCATTCGGATTAATTATGTGCTCGACTATTTCAAGATCGGATAAAGCAAGGTCTACCTGAAAATCAATTTCATTGAAGTTTTTAAAACATCTATATTTAATCGAATTATGTTCATTAATCAATCGGGTACATGCTTTCGTTGATCTTGAAATACCTATCGCATAATGATCACTTAATGAGGTATCAGAAACAAACAATTCAATAATATATCTGCTACTGTTTGTATAAACATGATCTATAATTTTTTGGGTACGTTTTGTTATCCTAGTAGGATCTGTGATAAGTTGTTTCAAACCATATTTCGTTATCAAATCACCCCATTTTGTATTGTCATATTTTTTCTTTTTACTCATTGGATAAAAGTTTATATTGACATCTCCTAGAATATGATATTCTATATTTGATATATCTATTATACTTAGCTGTTTTTCATAATCGTCAATCCAAGATTGGTGTACATTTGGTGGGCGATATATAAAATTTAAAAGAAAAGGTTTGCAATTTGGGTAAATAATTTCAAACCAAACAGATTCTAATTCGTCCGTTTCTATATCGTAACGGCGCCGATATGGCACCTTGTCAGCAATATATATTACAATTCCCCCGCCTTTGTGACAACTTTTACGGTCCTTTCTTTTGTGTGTGAAATTGTTTATATTTAATTCATCGTCTGTTGTATCATCACCAAGAAATGTCTCAGTAAAGCCGAAAATATCTGGCGAATTTAATTTGTTTAATAGATTGTATTTTATTTCGTCTATTTTAGGCATTAAGTGATTAACGTTAAGGTGTGCAATATGTAAACCTCGTTTTTTAAACTTAGAATTGAACAATTTATTATCTGGAAAATTTGATTTATGGAGCGTAAAATTATTTAGTACTTTGCAATTATATTCATCATTTCCGTATTTATTGTATGGCACTGATTGTTCAAAAGTAACAATTTGATTATCAGATGCAATAGTGTCTATAAATATTCGTTCTTTTACTATCAAATCGATAATTTTTCGCGTATTTAGACATATGTGTAAAATATCAATTGTGGAATACAACATAAAATCGTAACATACATTATAAACAATAGTAAAAGAAAGAGTGTACATGCCACCTAACATAATACAAGTTTTCCTGCAACCATTTTGTAGGAACATATCGAAACCGACTTTTTTATTTAACGGAATTAATTGAAAGGTTCTTGTGTGTGACTGAAATATTACTATATAGTTATTTCTTATTTGAGATATACCAGATATGTTAATGTAATATATATTAGAGAAAATCAAAGTCAAATTATCTACATTTGTAAAACTATTTGTTTTACTCTCACATACCTCGATCCAGTAATCTGTTGCAATACACATGTTACTGTTATTTGATGAAATCTCATTTTTGGATTCTTTTTCTAACAAAGTAGTCTTATTACGTTCACTTACATTGTTTGTGTTCATTGTTAAATTTATTAAACATTTGGAATTTGTCTTTGCTATAATAGTTTTTAGAGTGTCTGTCCGCATTATCCTAGTTCAGATACCAACAGTCTTTAGACTTGTGATTTATTCTTCCGCAGATAAAACACTGATCAAAGCATTCCCTACTTCCGGTTCCGCCATATCGCATTTCACTGGAAAAGTCGTACCCGTTGCTCTGCTTCGAAGAATGTTGCCACCTTCTTGTCAAGTTTTTGTTCATGCTTCTGGTTCTATCTGTTACAGTTGCGCGCAATGGGTGTCTACTAAGTTTGTTCAAATAAAAGCCTTGGGTCAAAATTGGCCCCACCCCGGGGGTCATTGATTTTCCATATATGTGTATAGCAAAAACTTAAAAAACCTTCTTTGAAAAAATCCCAAATAGCTAGAGTTTAGATATTAAGCATGAAACATCTTCTAATAAGTGTCTACAAAGTTTGTTCAAATAAAAGCCCTGGGGTCAAAACTGGCCCCGCCCCAGGGGTGTCATTGTTTTTAACTATATGTGTATAGTAAAAACTTAAAAAATCTTCTTTTAAAAAACCCAATGAACTGGGGGGGGGGGGTGAGAAGGTCATTGTTTTTTCTGATATGTGTATAGCAAAAACTTAACATCATGAAACATCTTCAAATGGGTGTCTTAATTCCAAGTGTGTTCAAATAAAAGCCCTGGGGTTTAAACTGGCCCCGCTTCGGGGGCCTTTATACAGGTGAGCGACCTCAGGGCCATCATGGCCCTCTTGTTTTTGTTTAAACATATTTATTTAAGCTCGATTGCGAAACAAGTTCTTGCAACTTATATTAATCACTTCGAGTCTGCTTCCTGGAACCAACCAGTACTGGTGTCATATGAAGAAACATGGTCGCGACCCGAGTAGGGCTCGAACCCAGGATCTCTGGGTTGAGAGGCAGACACCTTAACCACTAGGCCACCGCTGGGTGGGGGGGGGGGTACAAAGGCCTAACAAAAAAATCTGAATTTTTTACACAAATCAGCTGGGACACTATAATTGAGATATGCAAAAGATATTTGTAATAAAAATGTAAACTGAATTAAATTGAAAATACTGCATTTTTGTGCTACCCTTGACCTGATTGTAACGCTTCTTAATTTTAAATTATTTTTCACATATTATTATCTGAAATTTTACACCAAGTTATTAGTCCACACTTAAATAAATCTTTTAAAAATATTTTTAGTTCTGACAGGAGGGTCATGTGTAAAGGACAAGCATTCTTGCCTTGACAACACTTGTATATATTGATCTTCTAATGATACAATGTAATTGCCCAGAAGTTTAGTTCCTCCGGGAGATTAAAGGGACTCCACTAAGGTTTTTTGACATGATGAGACTGAAAATATTTTTTTCCAGATAATTGTACCATTTGATGTAGGTTTAGACCACTAATCTTTGTGCAAAATTTCAGATGATTCGTGCACACCGTTTTTTCCAGAATAATTATTCAAATTGTAAAAAACTGACCCAAACTGAAAAGCGTTTAAACACTTTTCACTCAAATTAGGCTGAGAAAAGCATAAAAATACGATTTTCAATTTATTTCAAAGTATATTTCTTAACTTTCTTTGCATATATTACTGTTTAATGTGCCCCAGCTCATTTATGTAAGAAATTCAAATGTTATGTTTTTAGACTTTTAAACCTCAGTGGAGTCCTTTTAACTGTTCTATCCTGATGGATGCAGCATACGGCATCAATATTTCTTGGTTGCACAATTCTTGAGATCTTCCATCCAAATGAAACCATAAAAAAAGTAATTCTGGCTCCATAAATCTTGCTTAAGTAAAGAAAAATCTTGCAGTACGCAAATTTGTTACATATATCATAAAATAAGTAAGCACTTTCGTTGGGTAAGGAGTTGGATTGCTGAAATTAGTTGTTGGGAACTCTTTATGGTGGTGGTGTTGGTACTTTTCTCCCTGGATCATAGCAGTAAGCCATTGAATTTACCAGAGCACAGTTCAGCCACCCAGGCTGTCAAGCAGTTTACCAGTACTTCTGTACATGCAAGAGCAGAGGTACAGTGAGAATGACCGTAGAAAGGATTTCTTGATCAATCGTAACAAAAGTGACTTGCGTCCGGAATCGAACCGGGGTCGCCAGATTCTACAGACCCCCTGTATAAATGGTTGGACCCCTTTAATAACTGAACTTGCATCCATCCATTTGACCCCTGAAAATTGATGGTGATGTAAATCCCTACTGAACTTGTGCTTTTGACTGTCACACTTTTGATCAAAACAGGGTCATATCAAATGTGTATCCTTACAGGTAGGTAATAGAAAGATACAATTTCATTCAATTCAAATTATTCACAATATCTTGTTAGTAACCCTCCAGGGTGAGCCATCATGAAGTGAACCTATATTTTGTGTCATCAACAGTCAATTCCATTTAAAGTTCTTGTCATCTTGACTTTCATTAGCAATTTATAAATTAATTTATTGTGCAAATAATATATATTTACGCAGCAATTGCCTCAATTTCGACTTGACCACAACTGAAATTTTAAATTTTATTTGGGCAATGGTACGAACCACCTGGAACAAGCTCTGCACCAAGAATGGCAATATTTTCCTCAAAATCGCTTTAGACGCCTTACTGGTAGTATGAGAAGGGTTGAGGCTATCATCCGGGCACATTGGCTACATAATGTCATTTTAGGTTACTTTATCGTCAACATATACCAACAATATCCTTCAGTAAATGTTTTATAAATGCTACAACACCTTACTTATTAACACTTGCTTTTTTGATAAAATTTGAAAAACAACACATTTGCTTATGCTTCAATAATTTGGTTAAAAATAAACTAAACTCCTAAATTTAATGGTTTATGATTACTTAATTGGTATCGCTACTTATCAAATTACCATTTCATAGCTCAACTAAGTCGTCATCTCATGACAGTGCTTTCAATCACAACCAATCGGTTTATAATTCTGGATAGATTTCTTTCTCTTTGGTACTGTTAATCTGCCCAAATATAAAGTGCAAAAACAAAGGATCTTCCCACTTTTATGAAATAATAATACATCAAAGGTTATTATGCTCACTTCTACATATAATTTTATATAGATGATCAGCATAGGAATAAACAAATGTATATTTTTTTACAATTTTAATAAATTATTTGATAAAACAAGTTTTATATGTAACAAAAATATATGTTATCACAGCTTCATGGAAACAAATGTTTGAAAATTGTATATTATAAAAACATATTGCAGTTTTATTATTACAACATGATCACTTTTATCAAAATAATATATTTCTTTATTTAAAATAATTGTCTCTTTGTTAACAAAGAAGTATTTTGAGGAAGAATGGTGTACATATAGCATCCAACTTGTATTAACTAATCTAGACAACTCTTTGAATCCCACAAGAGGTGAAACTCTTGTTTCAGCTTCCTCAATCCACACTGACCCAGCAGTGTTATTACTCATTTAGAGGTTTGACAATAATGGTTCAACAAACAAAACAAAATATGGTATCTAGTAAAACAAAACCTTGAAATTTTGATTGAAAAATCTACAACAAATCTTAAATGTACTGAAGCAACAAAGTTTAATCTGAATACTAGTATGTAACATTTTTCATCTAAAAGGCTAGGACTAGCTCTTTAACCATAGGAATATCGAGTTCAAATCTCTCTAAGGTTACAACCATATTTCCTTATGTAGCTATGATCTGCACTGATTACCTCTCTGAAGCAGACTTTAGAGTGTTTCCTTTAAGCTTCAAGCTTTCATCACAATAATTTTACAATAAAAAACATCAAACAATCCTGGAAAGACAAATAAAGAACACATGGAGGACTAAAATAAACCATTGTAACATTTTGTCTGATAATCAGTCTGAACTTTGACACATCTTGAAACTGAAGTATGAAAAATATCTCTATTTTAGAGATACAGTGTGCCAGTATAATTACACTATACTTTATTGTGAAAAATATGTCTCAATTCACAGTGGTTAGTTATTAAGGATTATTCCTGACATTCATTCCACATTTATTCATGCCAATGATTTGATTTGACATAATAAATTACTGTTCTGTTCAGAATTTTCAGATATGATACCTACTTTTCTGAATAAAACTACATGTGTATATAAAAAAAAATATTTTATAAAATCCCAATATTTATCCCTGCAGAAATGATTAAAATCATTTCATAGAAGGATATGCTAGAAGTTTTGAGACAATTTGGCTTGGTAATGGTAATTCATTCAATTTTGTACTAGGAACCCAAGAAAATATGGCCCATTTACAAAGGTCAAACAGTGAAATATACTGTGGCATCTGATACACTCGAATTCTCCCATCACTTGCAGAGGTGGCAAGTTGATTCCCAGTTGTTGAAAATGAAAGACGTATCAAATTTGGTACACTATACATGATCTGTTTCAAATTTGGACTTTCCGAGTGCATATCAAAGTTACGAAGAATGGTTCCATCACATGGGTCCAGTAAGAAAAGGCTGAAGTTCCTTGTTGCTATGACAACATATTTTCCAAATGGGTGATATTGCAAGCAATCGATAGCATCTCTGCTAAGGGCATCTGTTTGTTCAACTATCTCCTTAGACTCTAGGTTTAGGAAGTAAACACATCGGTCATTGGTCCCAACAGCTAACAGTTCATGACAAGAACATGGATTAAAATCAAAAGTAGAAGCCCAGCTGGGGAACACTTCATCTGGTAGTACATCTGCTACAATATTCAACACCAGTTGTAAATCTTTGTTTAATATGAACATAAAGTTAATGGAAGAACACACTGCAATAAGCTCGCTGTCTGGTGACCATTTACATTCAACATGTTCGTTGTAGTGAAATATACGGAAACCTGGTAATAGTTTGCTTAAATCAACCACTCGATCATTGAAGGCAAAGCCTTTGTCTATCATAGATACCAGGAGTTCATACTGTTTAGAACAGCTCATCAGTACAGCCATTAGTCTTCCATTAGGGGCAAATGATATAAACCTGTAGTTACACATGCGTAAGTCTTTATACTTGTTAAACACATCTTTATGTTCCACAGTCTCAAGTTTGATTGACTCCGGTGAAATATAACCTATATAATTCCCAGATGGATGCATTTGAAGTTTGGGAAGATTTGCCATCTTTGTGTGTGAAAATGTCTCACCACCTGAAAATATAGAACAAATGCAAAAATATACTATGATATCAAAAATACACAAACTTAAATACCTAGCAACGTTTCTGTCTTTATCTTACCTTACAATATAAATGTAATCCATATTTCAAAAACCAGGTTTTTGAGGTATTTATACAGCTCACAATTTGTTGTTACAATGAATCTTATCAAATATATTTATTGCAACAATTTTGATAATAACAATTTCACTTTTCTTGACCTACTATGATAAACGAATGACAGACTATTCTCTCCCTTACCAGTTCCTCTCCCTGACGGTTCTCTCCCTAACCGTTTCCTCCCCTGACGGTTCTCTCCCAAATTTGAAATATGCAGACAGTTCTCCCCCAAATTTTATATGTTAGTTATCATTTTAGTTTTTACTTAATCTAATAATATTTCTTGAAGATTATTAAAAGAATGTATTTGATATTAAGTAAAGTGCATTTTATGTTTATTTGATTCTGAAAAGTGTTTGTAAATTTAACACCTTTTTCATATTTTAATCTTATTAACACCTTCATTGTGAGAGGTGTCTTTAATGGACAGTGATTGATATACATACACCTGTAATTATGTGAAGGTCTAGTGATATTCATTCATTTGTTAAATAGTGAATAAGGTGGTTACAAGTATGTTATAGAAAATAAATAAGCAACAACTGGTATGCAATCACATTTCACATTTACTTTTATTCAAAATTGATTAAAGAACATGTAGTCATTAACATAAAACAATATATATTACCAAATAAGTAATAAAAATATTTGTTTATCAACTCCTTTTCACAGTTATTTTAATCATTAGATTACACCTTGATTCTTGAATAATGAATTAATAAACTCCGTAATAATCTCTGACAGCAAACTTAATGCACATGTGTATTGAACTCCTTTCTTCATTATAGAAAAGTATGAAATTTAGCAATTAAAATTTATAAATCATTTTTTTCTTATAATTTTTTTTCTTATTTATTAGAAAAACAAAACAACAACAACAAAAACCTCACCTAAAAATAAATATCGAATGATTATCCTAATCAAGTAAATTAAACACATTAAAAAGTATACGTTAGAGCTAATAAAAAATATCAGAATAATATACTAATATGCTAAAAAAAATCTTTTTATCTAATCTATATCAATTAATCATGAACATGCCCATGTATTAAACATCTAAATACTCCAATAAAATTTTTTTTTCTAATTTATATCAATTAATATTATAATTTAATAATAAACTTATCCATTTATTAAACATCTAAATACTTCAATAATAATATATTAATAAAAATAAAGATGGGGAGGAACTGTCTGCTTATTTGCAAATATGCAGACCGTTCTCCCCCAAAATAGGGAGAGAATCGTCAGGGAGGAAACGTCAGGAGAGGAACTGGTAAGGGAGAGAATAGTCTGACTACCATGATAAACTATGTAATAGAAAAAGCATTGAATCACGAGGCTATCTGATTTGTACGAGGGGGCGTAGCCCCCCCAGTATTTATCAGATTGCTGAGTGTTTTGATGTTCTTTCTCTTTTGTATCATAGTCAAACATATAAACACGTTCCCTGATGTCACAATATGAAACCCCAGAAAAAATGAACCAATGAACGAGCATCTGAATATGATATTTCTATCGCTTTCCCTTTCCCCGTCGTCACAATATGTAAACCCCAGACAAAATGAACCAAACAATGGGCATGCTCTGCAGTGTGGGTAACTAATACCTGCACTCCAGTTAACGCACTTTGCATGTTAAGTATACGATTTAACTCTGACACATTTTAAACAGAAAGGTCCCCAAACTATGATACAAATATACATAGACATACTAAGTTCTGAGTAAATCTTTCAACAGTGGTCAGTTTAATCTACATAATACATAAACTGTATACTAAAAACAGATTAATTTGATACTAGATAAAAATGGCAAGGACATATTTTCATCATCTTAAAAGCATCCACCAGTGTTACTCCTGTCAGTGTGAATTTTATGCAGTCAGTTTTTGTTATTAAAACATATATGTCTACATAAGTACATGTATATCATTTGTTAATATATTTTTTAAAAAAGTATCTTAATTACTTCTGTTTGGCTACAAAAGAAAATTAACTGATCTCTACCACTGTGATAATATGATTTTTGTGACATCTAAAGCAAAAGCTTAATTTATAAAAAGAATTAAAATGTTTTGAGTGGTACTGACATTAATGTCAAGCCTTCGCCACCATTGCAAAGCCATATAAGTCTATAGTCTTACTAGCTAGACTATATATCGATGGTTACTAAAACATTCAAATTATGATATTAAAGTCACTTTATATACACATAACAATGGTTGGTTCCAACTTCAAAAGTAGAGTGGCGGCATGGCTGAGTGGTTAACGCATTAGCCTAAAATGTAATGATCCCTAGTTGCATGGGTTCAAACCCCATTAGGGGCAAGTTGTTGTTTCCTTGAGCAAGAAATTTTACACTCATTGCTCATTCCAGGAACAGATTCGAAAGTGTGTCTAACAGCTTATAGCTTTCTATACAATTGGACTAAAATAAATTCTATTGTAAACCTGTCCTGGTGTTGACATTATGTATTACTCTTTTAATGTTGATAACAATTCTGTATAGACCAAAATTCAAAAGTAAGAAAATGCCAAGGATTACCACAGATTTATATTGTTATTAAGATGGGTACTTGTAATTATGCTTTTTAATTTCTCTTTTGCTGCTTGCATAAACAGTTTAGTAAATAAATTTACCAAGCTTGGTCCTCTCTAATTCCATTTTGATAACTCTGCCATTTGGTGCATGCCTTAGATTGACCCATGCATGCTGGCTTCTAGGTTCAAATGGTCCGGAAGTTACAAATAATACAGTGTCATCATGTGGGAGAAATTGAGCATCAGTCCACCAATACAAATCCTGTGCCACTGCCTTTTGATGGGTAACTGAAAGATTACAACTACAGATATAGAAAACAGTATTGAGTAATCATGTTAAAAACATGTCACATTAAAAGCAATTATACCTACTAAACTATGGAGTGTGAAATTAATCCTTACATGGGTTGCAAACCTTTTGAACAAGTTGTACTTTAAATGAAGATTGTATTAATTTATGTATGGGCAATATCTTTTCTCCTCTATTGAAGCAAGATTCTGAACAAAACAAAAGTATCCCAGAATCTATTCAAGATGTTTAAATTATTTTTGACTTGGTCACAACTGTGTCATCATATTGCTATCACATCAGTAATTAATGTTTCACTCAAGAATTTGGTTCTCAGTTGAGCATAAATGAATCTTTATACTAATTACTATTCTGACATAAAAAGTAAATAATAGGACACTGTAATCAATCCTATCAATTTTTTCACTTCTCCTAATAGGAGAAGTGAAAAATTTAATCACTTACAATCCAATAAGAGTGAGAATGGTTCTTTCATCAGCCTTCGAGGAAATGTCCGATACTTGTGATCTGGAATACATTTTATAAAATCTCCTCTCTCTTTGTCCCTCACAGTTTTATACTGTATTCCCATTGATATACCCATCCTTACACCCGTATACTGAGTCCTCTTCTAAGTCTAGTCTATGTTCATAATTGGTCTTTTCTGTCTGAAATGTGGTTACCACTATACTGTATATTTCTTATTTGAAAATATAAAGATATGAGCCGTGTCACAACAAAACCAACATAGTGCGTTTGCGTTTGCAACCAGCACGGATCCAGACCAGCCTGCACATCCGCGCAGTCTCAGCAGATCAGGATCCATGCTGTCCGCTATCAGTTTCTCTACTTGTAATAGGGTTTGTAAGCGAACAGCATGGATCCTGATCAGACTGCTTGGATGCGCAGGCTGGTCTGGATCCATGCTGGTCGCAAACCCATTATGTTGGTTTTGTCACGACACGGCTCATATGTGTAAATTTAGATATTTGTCTTCTGTGGTACATTTGCCACATTTAAATACACATATTTTTTTGAAATTATAAGTGGCGCGATAGCTCAGTTGGTTAGACCACTGACTGTCACTCCTGAGGTTCCGGGTTCGATCCTGGGTAACACCCTTGGGATTTTTCAGAAACACTTTCAGTGTTTCCCACCTAACTAGAGGTGTACTGGTAAGAAATCCAGGTAATCTTCGCATGTATCAGTGCTATATACACTGTGCATGTAAAAGAACCAAGGAATCTTTTCAATAAGAGCTAGGGACTAGTTCCCGGATTCCCTTGTATCTCATAGCTGTCTCTGGAGTCTGCTTAGGTAAGGACCCTACTGGAAATAAGTGCAAGTCGTAGGTTATCCTTGACCGCCCGGTCCAAAGAAAATCAAATCAAATATGCTTCAGAAACCAATCAGTTTTTTTCTTCTTTAGAAAGGGCAAAAAATAGAGCATGTTAGATACTTATCACCTGCAGAAATAGCGCTGAATGTGAAATTATTAATCATAAATCTTAAAATGTAGCAAAATATAAATGAAGTAGTATTTGTTTTCAAAGTATACATCTAACTTCAAATTATGGTTAAATCTATCTATAAATATTCTGGATCACTGTAACTTGTGTATAAAATAAAGTATGTTTAACTCTTCAAAAATCGTATGCATTAGTTTAAAATTAAAAAGAACGAGATAAAGAATAAATGTCCATTAATTGTCAAATTATTTATTTCCGCCTTACTGCAGCAGTGGGTACCTGTACTGTACACACCTGTGTTAAATTGGATAGCATCTCTACTTTACTAAACTAATTCGGAAACTATGACTATCCGAATAATACCAAAGTCTTAACTTTTTAAAACATAGCAATTTACATTTTCTCATTCATATACGTATATTTAACGACAACAAAACTGACAAACTAACAGTGCAATTGCGCATATTTTTCCTTTGATAAGTAGATCTACGTCAAAGGACTCACCTGTTTTGTTTACTTTTTGGGTAAAATAATTTTTAATCAAATATCGTTGTCATCTTCAGTTATTTTTACTTCATTTGAAATAAACACAAATATGTTAGATTTGATCAGATATATTTCGGTGTAGAATACATATACAGTACATGAACATTTAAAATAAGGGATATTATCTCGCGAGAATTCTATATTCATTCATAAGTTTTTACTATGACACGAGAAACTCGTGCAGACAGTAATTTGTGCGAGCGCTATCTATGTTTACAATAACATAAATTTTATCATTTATTGATTTGCGTATACCATTTTTTCATATTCACGCATGTAGAGGTCTATATATTTGTCGTATATGAAAATGAGCTGTATATGCTTAATTCTGTTCTGTTCTGTTCTACTTTCTTCTCTTTCTCTCCCTTTAAAAACTAAATGCGGTAACCACATGTTTGTTTTTTCTCTAAGAAAAATCTATTTGTTTAAAACTGTAGGTTATAATTATCATATGTACCTAATATATGATTTATGGACGTAGTATTATAATGACCTTTGTTGATATACAACCATAATTTACGTATTCTAGTGGTGAGAGAAAAGTTGTCCCCATGTTGTTTAACGATACTAGTATGTGACGATGCTTGATTTTGATATTTTCAATAAAAAAACTCACATTTTACATTATTGTATTCAGTTCTATCTTGTAAAGTGACCCGAAAAGTATTTTGTTGTTGTTGTTGTTGTTGTTGCTGCTGCTGCTGGTGGTGGTGGTGGTGGTGGGGAAAAATGATATTGGGACAGAATCATCCCTTACAAACCATAAGCAACGACTATATATCTTAACAAATGCTGATAATGTACAGTGTCTGGTGGTGTTTTATTGACTGTTATTAAAACACCACTCGTATGGTCAGTTGAAAAGCAGTTGCATCAATTGTGTAAAAAGGGAAACAGTTTACAGTATTTGCTAAAATAAGTTACATGTAAATGTAAAACTTGACTTAAAAGTTTGCTAACTCTCCGTGGAAAAAGCATAGAAAACTGTCACCATTTTGTGTTTCACATTCCTATGAGCGGAGTGAATAGGCCGAGTCTTTAATTCAGTTTGTATAATTTACAAAAAAGCATGAGTAAATCAAATATGGAAACATATAACAGAAATACATTGTAGATCACTGTGATGCATGAAATTGACATGTATAAACAACATGAGCTGATCACCCGGATAGGGTTTGAACACAAGAGAAGTACTTTTTTGTTGATATCGCTTGCATAAAATGATTACAAAATCGTTAATTATGTGGTCACATGACAAAAGCAAAGAAATCAATAATAATAATAAGGAGTTTAAAAATTGTTGTAGTTTTAGCAATGCACCTGGTTAAGGTTTGATTTAATGATTGCTTTTTGTGTTAGAGTTGAGACCTCGTTTGTTGTCATTAATCTACTACTAATCTGTTGGGACATGATTGTGTATCAGTCTGTGAGATTTTATATAGTATGGTACGTAACCCTGTCAACAGTTGCCATCATAACTTCTGGACAAAAACCTGCAATTGTTGTGTTTAGGTCAATCATTGGTTACCATCATAAATATTCCAGGAATTAGTCTGTTTAATCCTGGTATGGTAACCTGGTCAGCACTTGTCTTGATAAATATATAGAAGGTGTATATCTTTGTCAATTAACACTAAGGTAACCTCCAAATATGGAGAGATAAGGTATTTCTTATAAATACTGATGCAAGATTTGTTTAAGGGCATGTGTGAGAAAGAGAGACATTGTAAATTTAAGATGTTAGATTAGAAACTTAGAAATATTTTATATACAAATAAACGATGTTAGAGCATTGAGAACAGTTATTGTGTGTTTTATTATATGGGAAATTTAAATAGTAATGGTGAGTGAGAATTGTAACTATAATAATTACAACGGAGTAGTAGTTGTAACAAGATGTATTATACTCAAATTCCATATTTGAAAAAAAACCTGATAATTACTATATAGTCTATTTTGAAATGTAGAATAAGCATCTTTTAAATACACACAGAAAAAATATTTTATATTTTAAACTCTCCCCACTACAGATAATCACAGTATGATTAAATAGTGTCATTAAAAATACCGGCAGTTTTTATAAGAATAGACCAACTTAATTTGACAAGTAATAGGGAATGGATCTTCCCAAACATAGTTCATACAGTCATTTATTCAAATTAGACATACTAAGGAATAATTTACTAGATTTTAATAAATTTCTGCTATAAAAGAGTTATAGAAGAAAAAACAAAAACAACAAAATGATGTGTAAACATAACAGCTCAAAATATGTAGTATCACATGTATATTTTTAAAAATAAGGATAATAAGGTGTACCAATTCATATTAAAATGCGTTATGTATTAACAGCTGGTAGTAACAGTTCTTGTCTCTTTTTATTGGCTACATCAGTATATTTTCCTAAATCTGCAAGTATAACTTTATTTCCGGATTGTAATACATTTGAGCCGTGTCACGACAAAAACAACATAGTGGGTTTGCGACCAGCATGGATCCAGACCAGCCTGCGCATCCTCACAGTCTGATCAGGATCAACGCTGTTCGCTTACCAACCCTATTACAAGTAGAGAAACTGATAGCGAACAGCATGGATCCTGATCAGACTGCGCGGATGCGCAGGCTGGTCTGAATCCATGCTGGTCGCAAACCCATTATGTTGGTTTTGTCGTGACGCGGCTCATATACTTATTTATTCATGCAAGGTATAATATAGATTCGATATTCATTAACAAATATATAAGGATTGTAAAATACAGGCTTGTGAAAATATTGCAGTTAAAAAGATGTATAAAATAATTCTAAATGATTGTCAAAGAGGCAAGGTAAATTAGGTATCTAAAGTAAGTCTTTGTTAGAAAATCATGACTTTTTATATGTATGGAACAATCCTGATATTATTAATATTAAAACGTTTCCTTTGTTATTCAAACAAAGACTAACTGGCCAGTTTGTTCAGTCATGGACTGCCACATTGTCTGTTAGTCCAAGTTTATGTACTTATAAATTATTTAAAAAATGTTTTAAATTTGAATACTATTTAACATTTCACTTAAACTTCGTATTCCATTGACTAAGTTAAGCTAGACTATCTTCCATCAATTACGAATTTAAACAGGTCGCTATGGCAATAATAGAATTGAGCGTAACCGAAGACATTGTACGATTTGTAACAGTGGTGACCTAGAAGATGAATATCATTTTATTTGTATCTGTTCAGCATATAATCAAATCCGAAAAACGTTATATTAACAAATTCTATTTCAATAGACCAAGTCTTGTAAAATTTATAGAACTTGCAATCTGTAAACTATTCTGTAATAATAAAACTATGCAAATTTATACGAGAAGCATTTATAATAAGACAAAACATTGTAAACAACTATACTTAGTCATATTTAAGCTTATTTCCTGTAATCGTTTACATTATATCTAGTTTATATACTAATTTCCATGTTACATTTGGATTTGTAATATAAATATCTGATATTGTGGTGTACATGTATTGTAAATATGTCTGTGATATAGAGGATATTTGTTTAGTTCAGTGTAATATCGGAATATATTTCACCGAGTGAGCACCAAAAGGTATATTTCACGAGTGGCGCAGCCACGAGTGAAAATATGAACTTTTGGTGTTCACAAGGTGAAATATATTTCGATCTTACACTAAACTAAACAAATTTTCTTTTTATTATATGCAAAGAAACGTTTTAAAAAGACATTAAACCTAATACTGAATGAAAAGCGCGCCAAATAATAATACAACGTGACGTCATTTACGACGTCACGTCATTAAGTTGGTACCCAGTTCTGTGCACGCTGGTATTTCACTGAAACAACGTAAGGGGCTTAAATTCAAAACAGTGAAATTATCAAAGTGGTAATTTCACTGTTTCAAACAGTGAAATTACCAGTTTTATATCACTGATATATTTCTATAAACCACCGAAAAGCATGTAATAAAGATAATTATCATATGGACATGCGCGCACAATTTTTGAAAAGTGTATATAGTTCATTCTCTTGTGTAAGCTCATTATGCTTATTTGTTTTCAGTGAGTGCAACCATTCATGTCTTTTTTATTTGCCATGTGTAATATGTATATAAACATGTATGCTAATTGTATCATGTAACAAGAAACATAACTTGTTTTCGTTACTAAATAAAAAATCTTGAATCTTAAATTAAATATAGCAATAACACTTGATAACGCTTTGAATATTTTGATAACAAGGAAAAACTAAAATAAAATGACATTCATCTTTAATTTCTGGCATAACTGATATAATCTTTTAAGCCTCGGTCTCACTTACTCCCGGCAGAGCCCAGGACCATCCCGGTAAGTTACCGGGATGATCCGGGACGATCCGGGATGAAATTATTGTTGCGGTCACACTTACCCCGGCAGCACTGAGGTAGTTCCCTACTAACCACCCAGGATGCGCTCCGGATCATCCAGGCAGAGCCCAGGTGAAGCTACGGTTCATGCCGGTGCTTCCCCGGTCGTTCCCGGATGACGCCGGAAGAGCCCCGGTTGACCCAGGCAGAGCTCCGGTCGATCCAGGAAGAGCCCCGGCAGAGCCCAGGACGATCCAGGCAGAGCCCCGTTAGAACCCCGGTGGATTGAAAACGCCCGAAAATGATAACATTGATACATAATTTTTATTGAATATGATATCTTTTGTTTCAGAATAGTAATTCATGATGATTTTCTGAAAAACCCTTATGCCATACTGAATAGAAGAATGGGAAGGCTTTTAATACAAACAAGTGCAATCATCGCAAATTGTCGTTATTCTTTTGAAATGATCCGGGCTTTGCCGGGGCTCTACCGGGATCAACCGTAGCTCTACCTTTATCCTCCGGGGCTCTGCCTGTAGTTACCGGGGCTCTGTCGGCATATACCGGGGCTCTACCGTAGCTCTACCGTAGCTCTACCGGCTATATCATACCCCGGATCATCCCCGGTTTGTGCCGGCAGAGCTACGGTGCTTTCCCGGTATAACCCCGGTCGTTCACGGCAGAGCTAAGGATGAAGCCGGCAAAGCTATACCTTCCCGGATCATCCCGGACCACCCCGGTGATATTAAATATTTTATTCCATCCGGGGTCGAATGCCGGATGTTCCCGGATCATCCCGGATCATCCAGGACGTTGCCGGCAGAGTTACGGATGTACCCCGGTTGTTCCCGGTCGTACCCCGGTCGTTCCCGGATCACCCCGGACGTCTACCGGGGCTCTGCCGGGATGTAAGTGAGACTGTAGCTTTAACGTTTCTATTACGTCCGTATCTTCCGGTTTTTAATCTTTAAAGCTGCGGGAAAACTAATTCTACAAATATTCATACGTAAACATTTTCAATTAATATTTCTGAAATATGGTATTTGTTATAACTTAATAAAGTGTTTAGTACGATATTGTTTTTTATGAATTGATCTGACCTGTCGTGTTTCTTCTCCTCGTGAGGGATTTGGGGAAGTCGCAGGGTTGGGCCTTTACCATGCGATGTATTATATAATCACCGCTATTCCTTGGGATGGGAACCGTAAGTATACGTAGCTTTGAATAGCGCCTTTCTGTATTTACTTAAAGAAACACTATGTCAATTCACTATTTTTTCAACAAGAAATGTGTTGAGATTCATCTCTGCATGGCAGTTCTCTTGGAAACTTGATCTGTATGAGACAGCATGCTATTATTTATAAATAAAATGAGCCGCGCCATGACAAAACCAACATAGTGCGTTTGCGACCAGCATGGATCCAGACCAGCCTGCGCATCCGCGCAGTCTGATCAGGATTCATGCTGTTTGCTTACCAACCCTATTACAAGTAGAGAAACTGATAGCGAACAGCATGGATTCTGATCAGACTGCACGCATTATGTTGATTTGGTCATGACGCGGCTCAAATGTGATTTGTGAATGCATTTTTAAGACACGAATTTTAGAAATTATAAATACATCTTGGCGTGGACACAAGAAGTGCATTTGTCTGTCGGAGTCAATTTCATTTTAAAAATTAAAGTATTTAAGAATTAAAGAATATTAAATAATGATTAATTTTTGTAAACCTTTCCATTGTACAACTATTATGAATTATGATAGAATGGTCAGATCTATAGCTTAAATCTATATCACAACCTCTTATATGCGGTAATTAAAAACTTCAGGAATAAGAAAAAAAGCCATGTAAACTCCCGACAGTTACAAATATAGTTAACAAGAAAAAACAAATTCACTTATAATTGTCACACTCTATTTCTGTATCTTGTACTAAATTAAAATTACCACACCAAATAAAAATATAACCATTAACATCATCTTTTATACGAAAATATTTCCATAAAACTACGGTTGGTCTGTAATTGGACTGTAAACATTTATTATTGTGGCTTGTTTTTTAGTTTACATATAAATCTAAACTGATATAATTTCCATTTAACCTACAAATGACCGATACACATTGATGTCTAAATTCCGTTTAAATGAAATCCCTTCACCTCGAGCGATAATTCTATTGATGAATTCTAAAAAGCATTCAGCGTTTCATGTGTTTTTCATATTTTCGGTAAAATGAAAACTGTAAAATTTAAACATGCCAGACCTCTTTTTTGTATCATTAAGACCTCTACAGTCCAAGAAAGTATATTTATTTCACTTGTTGTCAAAAACGGCCATCTCAATTTCATTTAAAAAAAACAACATGTATATTAAAATCATATATATATATTGTGTAGTACACAATGAAAATGCTTTTAATATTATGAGAATATTGAACATTGTTGAGTACAATACTGAGTTGTAAGAATGGTACCGCTAGCTGCTGTGTACGAGTCCAATAAAATCATTATTGTATTGAACTTTGTTTCACACTACTATACCATTTTTTAATATTTTTAAACACTTTCGAATACAATATAGATTTGATATGGATTTTTGGACTCGGGATATGTACACGAAGCTAAATTGATGAGATTGGACCCAATAATCATTTCTATTGGAATCACGTTGTGCAAACGCTTGAAGTTTATTGTTTACATTTTATAAAGGTGTGGCATTAAGTTTTAATTGATAAATTAAAAGGTTCATTTAGGGGTTACATGGTTAAAAAAGTGCCAGATACGTTTTTGAAAGGTGATAGTTTTATTTAAAAAATTGCCTGGCTTTTATGAAAAACAGTCAACATCTATAGGATACCGAATCATTTTCTTTTTCTTTGGGTGTTATTTATCTCACATCATTGCGTATTTTTAAAAAGTGCGTCAGCAAAAATACTTTATGTCATTGTTTGCAACACTTCAATAATAATCAAGAGATATCGATAAACTTTATGTAAAGTGATGTTTTGAAATTTCCCGTTTAATAATATCTGTTTGTATTAAATAAAATTGTTTTGGCGTCTTAAGGTAAAAGGAAGCTCCGGGTAATGTTTTCGCCAATAAAATCGTCAAAATATGTCAGCTGAAAGAAAGAATACAATAAAATCGTGTAATAAACTGTTTACAATAATTGGACATCGATGATAAAATATTGCATGCAAGAGATAAAATAGCCATAATTTCTTGTCCACACAAGCAACCTAACGATATCAAGACGGGTAGTGTGGGCATAGAAACACGGAAAAAACTGCTGTATCATTAATAAGTGTAAATTCTACAGTGAGGTGGATTTTAACATTTCTTATTCTGATATTATCAGGGACATTTCTTTAACTTGAGACTTAGATAAAAAGTCATAAATATATAAAAACATGCATTTGTCGCGTTGGTTATTGAACGTAGATTTTACGTGGAATATCTATTTCAAACAATACATAATACTTTCTTGATGTCAAAATTGTTTTTCAATTTTATCATAATGAATTAAACTTGTTGATTTATTACGGGTACGACTTGGTTTAAAACACTTGTATTTCGTTCATCATGCTATAAAGTCATTAAAATGGCGCGCCAACATACTTGAAATTTCACATGGTAAATTATTTTCGATGATGCGTATGATTAAACTAACATTTTGAAATAAAAGTAAAGTCGAGTATTTGTTTGTTCAAAAGCAAAGAAATCAATGGAGTGGTGAAGTTTGGTTCAAAAGTGGGTATTGTGACACAAAGATGATCCATACGTTACGTTAAGGGGAAATTATGAAATGTGAACGCAGGATAAAGGATAAACAAGAAGTAGCAAAGGAAATCTATGGAATATTTAGTTAACGCAACACTGAATTGTTGACGTACATTCAGCAAAAACAAATAAAAAATAAAAAGGCAGACGACAAACATGGACGAGAAGCAGAAGAGTATTCTAGATAGAAACCAATGGTTGCTGCTAGGAAATATCGTTATGACAGAAGATTTTTTTCAAGCTTTAAGGACAGAAAATGTGCTTCCAGACACCATGGTGAAGGATATTCGGGTAAGACGGGGCAGACGACAAAATGCGCGTGCTAATTTTCGTAAACATAGACGAAATAGTTCATGCATCGGATTTGTTTGAAATATCTCATTTCAGTTTAGGCATTACTGTTTGCTAACTATATAATGGTTGTTTTTTATGCCAAATATCATATAAGCGTTAACGATTTATAAAAGTTCTCAGAAAGTTTGTTTCTTTGTCAATATTGCGTGTATCTATCTAAAATACTTTATTTTTCTTCCGAATATCATTTCACTTTCTTATTAAGTACCAACAAAGTTCTAGTATGATATTACAATCATTAACTTCTAAAAGAAATAAAATGATATATAATATTTTGCATAAAATAAAAAAGTAATAAACTCATTGCACATATACATCTTCATTATTAACCAACAAATTCGTAGAATAAATATTCCCGTTGAATGATACACACCACTTGACTGAAGCTTCTTCTTAGTATTATGTATATACCTTTACTTTATCATTATCATTAAAAAATATCAAGGAAAATAACATATATGATTATGATATTATTTTGATAATATTTGTAATTTGATAATTCATTTAAAGAATGCATGTCGCCACGCAGTGTGCTATATGCGACAGTATTTCAGGATGGATGTATGCGGCAATATGCCATATATTTGTTTCGCATGGCAAACTGCCGCTGTCCATCGATATATACTTATCGACGGAATGCGGCAGTTTGCTTCACATTATTTGTCTCTGCTTATACAAAAATTGTTATCTTACAAAATCAAGAGTAATGAAGAAAAATTTACGCTTGAATTATTATCATTATCATCAGCGACTAAACATTTAGTATTAGTTATGATAGATATTCACCAACGAACTTAAATTCTGTTCTAATGTCCTCTAACTAACTATGAAAAGGTAACTATGAAAAACAAAACTATGAAAAAATGATATCATTGATATATTTGATAGACCATGACGTAATAAAAATATAATAAAAGGTAATATCAATACTTTTCATATTAAAATGTAAAATTATCGATGTATTCTTTTTTAAGGACAAAGCAACACAATATGAGAGGAATACCAAGTTATTAGAGACACTGCGTCTTCGAGGCGGAGATTCATACAGGAAGTTCCGCCATGTTTTGTACTTGACGGGTCATCTTCTACTGGCCGACCATCTGTATGGGGAGGGTAAGACAAACGAAATAAATTGAGCCGCGTCACGACAAAACCAACACAATGCATTTGCGACCAGCATGGATCCAGACCAGCATGGGCATCTGCGCAGTCTGATCAGGATCCATGCTGTCCGCTTACCAACCCTATTACAAGTTGTGAAACTGATAGAAAACAGCATGGATCCTGATCAGACTGCGCGGATGCGCAGGTTGGTCTGGATCCATGCTGGTCGCAAAAGCATTATGTTGGTTTTGTCATGACGCGGCTCAATTAGCATTTACATAATAAGACGACATTAAATGAACGATGCCAACATAGAAAAAAGCTTCAACTAAAGTTGAATTTTAAATTGTTGATCTAACGGTTGGCGATTTACTTGCGTTTACTCAAATGGCATTCAGACATACCAAACAAATATCGTACTAAACACATTCTATAGATATAGTTATATCAAAACAGACTTTTGTTAGAAACCATATTTAAGAAATATTGATTGCAAAGGTATATGGATGAATATTTGTATAATTACAAGATCTGCTTATAACTCAAGGATTGAAAACCGGAAGATACGGACGTAATAGAATATATAGAAATGAAAGATTATATCAATTATGTAACTTACCAGAAATTGAAGATGACTATCATTTTATTTTAGTTTGACCATGTGAAGAAGATTTATCAAGCGTTATTACTATATAAGACCTTATATGAATACTTTTATATATTTATTACAATCAGAAAATAAAGCTATATACTTGTAAATTTAGGAAAATATATAGATGTAGCCTATAAAAAAAGACAAGAACTGTTACTTCGAGTTGTTAATACATAACGCATTTTCTAATGCAAATTCATACAACTTATTATCCTTGCTGTTAAAAATATACATAAAATACTCTACTTTTGAAGCCGTTATGTTTACACATCTTCTTTTTTGTCTTTGTTGTTTTGTTCTGGAACTTTATTTCTATGAATGATAATGATTTTGTGATGTTCTTTTTTTCTCCTTTATTTGGAGCTGTCTGCTCTCCGTTTGCAATAATTTTTTTAGAATGTCTTTTGTAAAACTTTTTATATCCTTATTATTATCATTTTTGTTTTCTTTGCTTTTGTCCAGTGACCACGGAATAATTGTATTTGTAATTATTGTAGGTAACAAGATACTGTAAATGTATAAGTTACCGAAATAAACCATTACTTCTTCTTCTTCTTCTTTAAAGACGCAATTCTTTTTCAGATATCGAAACAAAACTCCTTCGTGCGGACGAAGTATTTGGAAAATTTCCGAAGGTTTTCAACCATGTTAGTGATGACACAAAGACCAAGCTCCTGAAATACTTAGAAACAAAGGTAAGATGAAATTACTATGTTGTGTCAGGTAATGAAGATCATAGTTTTCACTTTAAATGAAAGAGTCTTTCAATTTATTAGTGTGAACTTACACATTCAAGATAGATTGTATTAGAGCTTGAAGTTTGAAACACTCTCCAGTCCCTTCCACTCGTGTCATATGAGGAAACGTGGTCGTGGCCATAAAGGAGTAGGACCCACAAAGGCATGGGTAGAGAGACAGACACCTCAACCACTTGGCCATCTCCAGCTCGTTATTGAATCGTAGTTTATACAGATTCTATTTATCTTTATTTACTTTTTGGCCTTATAACCTTAATATCAAAATACTGATGTCACAATTTGAGAAAAAGTCTATACATAGTTTCGTGGTTACAACTATATCGGCGTATACTGACGTGAATATTGTTGAGTGAGACTAAAAAAAGGATTGGAGCACCACACTAAATACCATATTCCGGTACATACCGGACAAGACGCTTGAATGATTAAATGCTAAAATCTCATCTTTTCACCTTACGGAATGAACTTTAAAACATCTAATTCATCTTTTCACACCGATTTATATATGATAATGAAAGAAAAATGTAAGAATCGCCGAAAAAAACGATATTAGTTCATTTTGTGAACATGATTTCTGCAAGCGTCTAGAGGTAATGCTCCAATCCTGTATTGAGCTAAATCCAATATTGTTTAGTTTTAATTAAGTTCAAGTATACATTTGCCATAGGGCTATATTTTATATAATGGTGATTCCCAGCAATTAATTTCTTAATGAATGCTATAGCATAATTGATTTTTGTGCAATAAACTGCACAGTGCCCTTAGATATATCAAATTGATCACAACAGTAGTTAGATATTAATAACAGCAGTATTTGTACTGCTAGACTTGACGAGTATGCTAAAAACCGTTTATATTGCGTAAAATCTTACTTTTAAAATCTTTCAACACGCATGTCAGTAATCTTGTACAATTTGTAGTTTCAATAGATTACTAATGAACAAAATAATGTACATTAAAATCCGATGAGAGGTATTATTCATATTTTGAATTACCATAGCAACAAATCCTAAACTTGCTTATATTATTCAGAAATTCATGATATTTATTTTACGTAATTTTTGCCATTATGTTAGGTAAAAGAAAGAGCTATAACAAATGCATGGCTTACATCGGGACAAGAGAGGAGCGAATTGTTGGAAGCAAAGAAAATTCATTACGATGCCGAGAAAGATTACAGGATAAAGCTGGAAACTAAAACAAAAAAGGTAGTGACTATAAATTTTTCAGACAATAGTCAAACGAATGTGCACATTGCATGGCTATTCTAATTAGTACTCTTAATAGCATATTTGTTGAGAAGCTGAATGCTTTAAGTACGATTACTCAAAATCATTTAGGTATTCACCTTTTAATCTTCATTCCTGGTATAAGTTTACTAGAAGATAATATAATTATAGTGTATAAACTATAGTATAATTTAACTAGTAGGTGATATTATATAAATAACACATGGATTTGTGGGTAACAGTTAAAATATTATCCCGAGGAAAATACTGTCTATGCCTCGGGTAACAGTATTTTGACGAGGGATGATATTTTTACTGTTACTCACAAACCCATGTGTTATTTATTTTATTACCCCGAACAAAAATACTGTGATGATCTGAAATTGTCAACTAAATCTAACTGTAACAAAAATAAACCAAAAGTAACAAACTGTAAAACTGTGTAACTAAACTGTCCTTACCTTTTAAGTTTTAAGTGTACTTTAGGCCTACTTGAGAAGTTTTCTTTTTCTTTTATTCTTTAAGCAAGTGATGATATCTACAAATCATAAACATACAATAAGCTAGGTTTTATTTAGAAAACAAAACACTAACCCATTTACACGGTTATGATCTGTGAAATCTGATCCTTCTGTTTCCAGAATATTCTTAGCATGGTTTTTGACAAAATAACGATGATATCCTATGTCTGTCCACCATATCTGTAACGTTTCACTGATTAAAATTGTTAAATAATCCTTTGTTGCATGCTTAAATCGTCTGCATGTTCCAGTTTGACACATAATTATTTACATTGCAATTACTTCCGTTGAAAACGGATGTTCACTTTTTGACTATTCAACAAAAAGATATTTTATACGCGAAAAGCACACCAGTAGGTTGCAAACAACTAAATTTTATGAGTGTCATAGTTACTCCAGAGAAGAAATTGATGTCCTATCGGGGTTTAACGTCGAAAATAAGAATGAATCGAGAATAAAAATGGCGGCCATTTTATTTCATTTTATTTAGAAAATAGACCACGTGACCAGATATTATACTGTTAAAAAATACTGTTACCTATGTAACAGTACAAAATTCTTAGTCACGTGGTACACTTGCAGTAACAGTAAAAATAACTCCCACAGGCCTATGGCAAATTATCATTACGAAAAAAGTGAGGGGTAATAAAAAATACTGCTAACTTATCAAGCAGGTTATATATATAGTGTAACTTAACTAATGTATAATGCAGATAAAGAGTAACCTAACGAGTAGAAAAATTAAATGTAAAATAATCTAACGAGTAGGTAATATAAAGGTTATCACTAGGTTATATTAATGTAGTATTATATAACTTGAGGTAACTAAATATTGTGAAGCTGAACTAGTAGGTGATATAAGTATATGTATTATGACACTAAACCAGTAGGTTATATAGTGTAACTTAACAAGTAGGTAATACATGAATACATATAGTGTAACTTTACTAGTAGTAAATGATTTAAATAAAGTGTAACTTAACTAAAAAAACTTAACTTGTGGGAAGTATATAATTATATATAATGTACATTAACTAGTAGTGTAATGCGAATTTGGAAATATATGTAAACTATGATTGAAGACTATTACCGAAATATGTTGATAGCATGCGTAACTAAAAAAAATGTACACAATATATATACGGTATATTTATAAAATGAACTTCTCAGATATTTCATTTGACGAAAGTGAATAAAAATGATGACACCTACAGTTAATTAAAATAGAAATTACGACTACATTACATGATGCAAGTCTCTCGTATTGATATATTTTCTGTTTCTTTTTTTTTAAGATGGCCCAAATGAAAGAGGAACTTCAGCGGTTAAAGGAAGATATAAAATCAAAAGACGGAGAAATAGTACGGTTGAAAAAAGAAATTGTTGAAAATCAAACAATGTTTAAACAAGATTTAGCAAAACAAACACGCTTCAATGCAGCAAACAACAATTCAATTATACAATTGAGGGATAGATATGATAACTTTAATGAGCGGGTGCGAACAGTCAATATTGCTATACGTCAGTTTCTAGAGGCAGAACAAGAAGACATAGAGGAAGATGTAGAAAATATCAAGATATCTGTCTTAGAGAGGAACGTCAGGCGACTGATACAACTTGCTCGGACAAATATTGAACATACCAGCAGCAGTATGAATGAGAAAGAGGCGGTTGTATCACTTTTACGGACTTCTTCTAGACACAAGAAACACAGTTTGCCTGACATAGTAAAACAATACGTTGAAAAACAGGAACGGGCAAAGATGGCCCTTGCAAATGAGCTGGAAACACTTCTTACGTGTATCAGAGGTCCAAAATTCAAGTTGACATACAAGACGAAATCAGATCTGAAATTTTTGAAATCTCAGATGTCGATGTTAAGGTAAGCATTGTACACATTTTCTTGATAAATGCGTGGATATTTGATTAGTAAGCTCATTAACTAAAAATTAAACTGGCGTTAGCACGTCCAACTTTTGACAAATATACGAATATAGATATCTATATTATGAAAATTACTTAAGTATAAACATATTAAACATAATAAACAAACATTTCAATATTTAAAATCGTTATATTTTTACTATACGAAATGTACTACATGTACTGTTATGCGTAAGCAAACACTTAATAGACTTATAAGATAAAATGCAATTTAAACTTCATTAAGAGTGCGTTTATTCCGTTTTTACGTTGAGACAATCTCACTTTCTATGACACATACCCATTCTGTTTACTCCTCGTAAACACTATTAAAACTGTATAATATTAACTTTAAAATGTACTCTGATTTTAGGGAAGAAGTAGAGCACATGAAGAAGAAAATAGAGTGGAAAGACTCCCAGATTTCCGAATTAATCAAGGAAAAAACTTTAGGAACGGACTGTGAGCACATGTCCCAACAGCAACAAAGCCGGACTGTAACATTCCCGCGCCTGTCAGTGTCGTCTGCTCAACGCGATTCTCCCGATTCTACGCGAGAAATAGAAAGGGTGTATCAACAATTTGATAGGTCTGTAATTCTTAATAAAGCTAAAGATTTGTTCTGATTTTTAATGTTAAACAGTTAAGTAAAGAACACAATACATGTATTTATATCATCTTATAGAACAAATTATTTATCCATTTTGATTTAGCACGCGAGAAACGTTATATGCGTTTTCTGGTAACTAATATATATCAAAATATAATGTATTTTTTATGATCACAGGTTTAATAAGGAAGCACATTCCCCTCCTCCAAAGCAGAGTAGAAGAAGGAGGGGCTCATTAGCTGAAGTGGATTTAGAAAATGGACGATCGCCGTCTCCGGTTTACAGAAACAGGCAAAATTCTAAGTTAGACGCCAGTGACCTTGACCTTTTTGGGTCTACCGGGTCTACCGTACATTTTCGAAGAAGTTTTACTGATATTGCTTCATCCAGTTTCCAAAGTCTTTCAAGTAAATCATGTAGTTCGGTTGATAAAGCATTTACGCCAAGACAAACGTCTGATATGAACGATAAAATAAAGCTAGATTTGAAACGCAGGAGGGAAACAAAAACTGAGCCGGAAGCTGATTACGTTAGGGAAGGGAGACGACCCTCCCTGGCAGAACTTATCACAATATATGAGAGTACCAACGATGGAAAAGACGCAGACAGTCATCAACTAGAAGACAAACATGAAAGAAGATTACCTGTTCTACAAGAAACCTGACTTAATGTATAAATTCTGAAATATTGAATATACGAAGGACGGTCAGAAAATATCCGGACTTTTGACTTTCTCGAAAACCATTCAACATTTTTAAAAAAATCTCTCTACTCTTTTTCAAAATATTATCCACCTACGTCTACGCACATTTGCTATCTTTGTGGGAGCTTTTGTATTCCCGCTGTGAACCATGACGTAGACCTATGTTTTAGGTACTGTGTAACAGCAGATATCAAAGCCGCCCTGGTCTTATATTTCTTTCCAGCAAGCAATTTTTTCAGTTCTGGAAAAATAAAAGTCACAGGGGCGAGGTCTGGGCTATAAGGAGGGTGAGACAACAATTTCCATTTGTAAGAGTTGATAACTTCCACTGTAGCTGCGGCGGTATGGGAGGGGACGTTATCGTGAAGAAGGAGGACATTTTTCTGTGCTAACCTTGGACGCATTTGCTTCAACTTTTCTCTGAGATTTTTCAGAATTACTTCAGAATAGTACTTGGCAGTGACAGTTTGACCTTTTGGCATGAAATGAGTGAGTATCATTCCACGTGAATCCCAAAAGGCAACAAGCATGACTTTGCCAGCCGAAGGAGACAGCTTAAACTTTTTAGGAGGTGGGGAAACAGCTCGTTTCCACTGCTTTGATTGAGCTTTTGTCTCAGGTTCGGAATAATGAACAAAGATCTCATCTCCAGTGATAATGCGGTTCAAAAATTATCTCCTTCACGATTAAAACAACTTAAATGTTCTTTTGCATTGGTTACTCTGGTTGCCTTTTGATCTGCGGACAGCTGTCTAGGCACCCACCTGGCACTTACCTCGCTCATGCCTAGGTGTTCGTGTAAAATCTTGTGTGCCGATGCCTTACTGATGCTAAACTTGTTGGCTACCTCCTCCAAAGTTACTCTACGATTTTTGTTGACAAAAGCTTTTACATTTGCTACCATTGTTGGGGTCACCGCCTCAGCTGGCCGCCCGTCCTAGGCCTGTCACAAACACTTGTTCTGCCTTCACGAAACTGAGAAACCCAGTTGTAGAAGGTTGAACGTGATACACATTTATCAGAAAATCTTTTAAGCCTCTGAAAGATGTGGCAGGGCTTTTCACATTCAGCAACCAGAAACTTTATTATAGAGCGATGTTCCTCTTACAAAGAGTCCTTGGTAGACGAAACACCTATCATATATCAGGGGGCAAAATACTGTGTACACAACTATCATTGAAAATAAACTGACCACGTTATTGGGCGAATGAATGTAGATTTCACCAATATATAACGTGTGTATATAGCTTCACGTGGAAAGAGAGGAGCATGAAAAGTCTGGATATTTTCTGACCGTCCCTCGTATAATTTGAAGGCGTTTTTATATTTGATATGTTTAGAACAAGAATTCGTCTCATTTGCACAGTTAACTTTACAAATTTTATAGCAGTTTTTTTTCAGTAAACATATGTAAAACGAAACTTTCATGTATAAAATGTATTGCATTCCATCACTTTTTGTCTAATTATACTCATTGGAACTGGCGAAAATTGTGTATACATGTCCATGTAGATTTTTGTTATATTTGTGAATGTTATCGTATATTTGTGATTATTTGAGACAACTTCTCACTTATGCTTCTATTTCGAGATATATTAATAAAGTGGTATGATTGTCAATTTAAGCATTCATAAGTATTGTCGAAATTATTTTTTTTACTTTCTTTTGCGAGGGGACCGTACCCTGTTTTTGTGTAATGTAAGTCACGTGTCACATTGAAGGTTCCATGATAACTGCCGTATAAACAAATCCGTGGATATTTTTAAATTTAAATTTTTACCATTTTCATGTTTAAATGTTGAATTCTCTTTAAGCCGATGCTAGGGGGCATATACTTGTCACAACTGTACATGAACAGGGTTAATGAAACCTATGATATTTTAGTGTTTGGGGCGTCCTTTAAAGTCATTTTTTTCTCTTTTATGAACAAATTTGTACAAATATTCTGGTGAAATTTACATTGCGGATTTTAAAATGGCGAGGACACTAGCTAGGATCCTGGGTTCAAGACAAATATGAGTTTCTCCCTGTTTCCTCATATGACACTAGATCTGGTTATTTTTGTAAGCTGACTTGAAAGTTAATTACTATCGTCATAATTTATTGTTTTATACTGTAATTGGGCGTGCGTAAACTAAACAAATTTATAAGAAGAACACCGCATGATGCGTGTTAATTTTTGCACAGTAGGGGAGCTGTGGCCTAGCGGTTAAGGTGTCATGGGTTCGAGCCCCTAATCGGGTCACGACCATTTTTCTTCATATGACACCAGTACTAGTTGGTTCATGGAAGCGGACTCGAAAGCGATTTATATAAGTTGCAAGAAATTGTTTCGCAATCGAGCTTAAATAAATAAGTTTAAACCAACTTATGCATAAATTAAATTTGCTCTAATTTGTATGACATTTTTTTATGTGTATGATAAAGCTAGTATATTTATTATCAACAGAAATGACACACCAGTACATACCGAGATAGTCCTTAAACTTTAGTAACGCGCGAAAATGACGATATGAAACATGTACATCATGTCATATTTTGTTATACTAAATGTCTTCAGAGCTTGATTGCAGTAACAAACATGTATATTCATTACTCAGTGTGTTGTTAAATTATGAACCATTACATCATATCACTGTGGTAGCAGCTTTCGATATTTTGTGCCATGTACTTCAATGTGTATCTGTATCCTATGGCATAATTAATTAAGTTGAAAAGTTATAACCATATTTAAATCATAAGCGAACAGATTTAAACCAACTTCATCCAGTCTAAATTTCTTCACATGAAAAACAATGTTGCCCTTCGTTTAATTAACGTGCATAGTTTAGTAGCTTAAAGTGTCAAATAAATGTCATGCGCACATTTAGAAATATACATTAAATGTATATATAATTATATGCCTAACATTAGGTTCACTTGCAGATATTATCATTTTATAAATTGTACAAATTCAACGTTAATAAAACTGCTTCTAATTGATATTAAAATGTTTAAACATGCATATCACATATATAACAATGTCTATTCTAATTAAATGAATTATTTATAAATTCATTTATTGGCAGTATAATCGTTATGTCTTAATGATAGACTGATTATTTACGTATTGTGATGTACATTACTAGATTAAATGCATAAATTAAAGACTCAAAATATACTTAATTCTCATAAGCTTCATAAAGTATGCGACTAAATTGTATAAAACTATACAATTCTTTAATTACACAATTCACGGGCATCACTTTCTCACATGACTTGGATAACTTAGCCTTACATAATTAATCTATTGTCTTGACATCCCGCAATATACACGACTTAATTAAATTTATACAATGAATAACGCTTGGTATTTAAACTGTAGGCAAAGTGTACCAAAAACATAGAAGGTATTCCTAAATTAAATATAAGTTTTTGATATGTATTGCGTTACAATAACTTCATACAAAGAAACACGAAATATTACATAAACAAATCTTATAAATAGATTGCTTATATATGAGAAAGAAAAATGACTTTAGTTACTGATGTGGCCTTATTTTTTTGCTCCTCAAATGTAACTTACAGACAATTGAATTATTCACTCGCCTAACAATTATTTGTATTCAAATCATATATATACTCACATATGCCGTGCGACAGATGCTTCGTTGGTTAACCCGGCCGTTTTGTATATTTCATTCATTAAACCAGATTTAATTTATCATAAAACATGAAGGAATCAACGGATACTAGAATCGCGTTGGTGATTTTGTTTTGGTTACATACGATAAGGACTAATGTCGCTTCTCAGGAAACTGTAACAGGTAATACATTTATATTTTTATTTGTTAACTCTTGTTTTAACATATCAATCTATCTAAAAAATGATCATTTAATAGCGTACAAAGAAAAAAAACGCAATAATTCACCACCTGCATGTGTAATACATATTTCTAGTGAAGGCGATAGCAGATATGCCTTTTTATTTGGTATTTGTTCAACTATTTCTTGGTAATGGATATATTCTGAATTGATTATACCTTTAGCTATTCGTGTAACTGAATAACTTTTAAAAGCTTTTTTTTTTCATCTGAATTTACGTGTGACTGAATGCAAAAGTCATATTTCTTTATAATTTAAGTGTAACAATTTTTGTTTAGCTGCAGGACATTGATACAAGAGTAAATAAACATGTTTATAGCATATTTCGTAGTTATTCATAAAATAAGTCATTTTTATAAGTTCAAATTTGAAAAGTATGTCATATAAAATTTTGCATGTACAACCGCAGTACATTTTCTTTAATTTAGATGGATATAAATATGTGCAATAAAGTTACTTAACTTGCTTAAAATACTTGATTCAAATTTGCCTATATGTTATGATACAAATATTCCTATATTTCATGGTACAAACATTCCTTATATCTTTCATATCAATATTCCTATATTCTATGAAACAAACATTCAAATATTTTATGATACACACATTCAAATATCTTATGATATAAACATTCAAATAATTTATGATACAAACATTCCGATATTTTATGAAATAAACATTCCCATTTTTTATACAAATATTTTGAATTTACTTTATGATGAAACTACTTGCGCAAATCAAACGTCTGATTGATTTACAAACAGTGAAATGCCTCTGGACAAAAAAAGTATCTTTCCATACGAGGTAACATTTGGTGTGAATAAATTAAGCAGAAAAAATATATATAACGCATTTACCGTTTTTTAACACGGTAAAGTGACATGTGTTGAAATGACATGAAATGATCTTTTTCATTCGAAAGAATATTGATAATTTTTATATAACATGTGATAGTTATTCATGTAAACCAAGGTCTTACATTACGAGTTTAATTATCTGAAGCATATGTCTACAGATAGACGCTGATGATATCATACTATATATTATATATCATATTATATGCAAGATATCATTATGCAGTATTACACATATTGTATACAAGATAAAATAAAGCAGTATTACACATATTGTATACAATATATCATTATACAATATTACACCGATTGTATACAAGACATCATTATGCAATATAACACATATTATATATAGTATATCATTATGCAATATTACACATATTATATACATTATACCATTATGCAGTATTATATATATGATATACAAAATATCATTATGCAGTATTAAAGATATTATATACAGGACATCATTATGCAGTATTACACAACTTTTATACAAGATATCATTATTCAGTATTAAAGAGATCATTATGCAGTATTACATATATGATATACAAGATATCATTATACAGTATTACACATATTATATAAAAGAAATCATTATGCAGTATTACACATATTGTATACAAGATCATCATTATGCAGTATTACACATATTATATACAGGACATCATTATGCAGTATTACACATCTTTTATACAAGATATCATTACACAGTATTAAAGCAATCATTATGCAGTATTACACATATAATATACAAGATATCATTAGGCAATATTACACATATTATGTAAAAGAAATCATTATGCAGTATTACACATACTGTATACAAGACATCATCATGCAGTATTACACATATTTTATACAAGATCCCATTATGTAGTATTACACATAATCATTATACAGTATTACACATAATGTATACAAGACAGCATTATGAAGTATTATAATTCAATATAAATTCACACATCATACATATGATAAAAATCCGAATTTTTTGTGTATAATCTTACTTGGTTGAAGATTAATTAATTTGGGGCTGGGTTTAATTCTGGGTTAAGTAACATTCTTATGTCTTTTGTTTTATGTCTTATGTTCAGATCATATATATCTACTACTCGTATTTACTATTAGTTATTAAAAATGAAATTGTTGACTCATATGATGTCACATTAAAAATTGTTTAAAGTAATGCATTTTCCCTGACGTGTTTGTAAGTCAAATTAAATTGGCTTGTTCCCTTTCCCCCCAACCCGGGAAATCGGGAGGGGCTTGGCGTTAAATACCACTAAAACCCCGGAGGGTCCGGATTTGCACTTCTGTCCTTTTCCATAAAAAAGGTCCTAACTCACCTATCAATATGTCGTTTTTGTGTTTGTGTGTGTGAATTAAGCCAAGAAAAATGTAAAAATATATATTTCAGGCGCAGATATAGGTTACAGTTGTACACAGGATGTTCAATGTACGACAGGAAATGGAGGAGAGTACTCAAAGTGCAACAAAGATCTGAACATTTGTATATGTACCATTAACCACCTAGGTATGAACCTTATAATCCATTTTGCAACAATCATTTCTTCAATGTTCATCAAGATGAAGACCATAATTTGCTGAACTTAACATCACGTTTAATTGATTTGAAGGGATTATCTTAGATAAGTAGTATTAATTGGTAAGGTAAGGTGATATTTCAATTCATATTCAAATAGACATTGTATTTGTATAATCAGCGTATAGAGACAATTCAGATAACTAAATAACAATTAGCATTCAACAGATAAGCAGATGTTACAGCGTAAATTCTGTATAACACAGCCTTTGTCACAACAATGGTCAATGTTCGTTTCTGTAGGGCTTATTGACACATTGTTTATCCGTAATATATAGCCTCAAAGAATGATGTATGAGTATATATATTTAGACATATATGAAGATATTAACAAATACATAATAATTATGTAACTGTTAAGGAAAGGTATATTTCAAGCAAACATAAGAAAACAAATATCAAGTTATTGATAAACTTAATGTTCACTTTTTACACATTATGTACATTAAGATAAGTTTATTTTATCGGATAGAGCGACAACAGATGTACGTGTCAAATCAATAAAGAATATTAAATGTATAAATATCGACTTAATAAGAATAAAGACACATATTGTATAATCTACTTTTGTTTATGTTTTATTTCCGTGCTATATGGTTTGTGAATGATTTTTGCTAAGTTAATGATACAATGCATTGTCTTTTGTTGTTTCTAACATTACAGCAGTAAAGCGTTTACAACAGGGATCTACTTAATCAGTCTTAAACCGTTGAACAGTACACTGTCAATCAAACATTGCACTTCATTTTCGGCGACAAAGACATAACGTTTCAGACAAAATGAACAAAACCTTAATTATCTGTCAATGTTTAAATACCTTCTTCATTCAATTCTCAGGTCATAGACACTGCATCTTAAATCAAGATAGGTCGCACATGTGATTTGCCCTTGTTCATTTTAAGCATAATGAAACATTGTCGTGGCAAACGATCATATGGCATTTCGATTAATTTCAACCAATAGCACAGTTAGATAATTATGAAGGTTACGTTTATTGGAAGACGCCCACATTCGCTTAGGACAAAGAACCATGCTTCATTTTGATTTAAACACGCTATTCTACTACAAAACCATTTGTCAAAATTTTTAATCTATAATATTGTTACATACGAAAGCAATTCAATATGTAATGTAATATGGTCAATAAATTTAACAAATGCGTAAATATTTTACAACTTTTTATTTCAACCCTTCGAAATAATCTCCTCCTACAAAATTACAAAGTTTCAGATGCTAAATCCATCTTTGAATGCTTCAACATAGTCCTCCTTAAGTGTACCTTTCAATATCTGAATAATGACCTACCCAAGTCCATTTCTGCTCTTGTAGCGTTGACCTGCAAGATGCTTTTTTCAATCTTGGAAAGAGGAAGAAGTCACAGGTTGCCTAGTTTTGTAAGCTCGTATTTCAACACTTTTAACTGAGCATTTTCCAGTCATATATTACATGAAATAAATATTGTAAGGTATTATTGATTTTGACTAAAATTTTTAATTGCTTGAATACAAACATGATTTTGGTATCATTTAAAAGCAAATGCATTGAAACATATCACATTTTACACAAACACAAGAATCACGAGCAAAGATTAGAAAATATACTACATATTGCATTACATATTGACCCACCATCGAAGCTTACATCTAAAATCAAGTAAATTAATAAAACACAATTTTAATGTTAATGTTTTCACTCATATCAGTTCTAGAGACCGTTTGCACTTTTTTTCAAAGTAAGTTGTTAAGATAAGAAAGTTTCATTGTCTAGAGATAGCTGATATAATTAAAGTCGGTTTTCTTGATGCATAAATTCAATCAACCTTAATAAATGATATAAGACGTAATTTAAAAATTTACTCTATACACCCATTTTATTACGTTTTTTTTTTTTAAAAAACTTTTTAAGCACATTTACATATTAAATTTATTTTGAAATATGTCTTTTAAATGATGATAACCAATTTAGGAAATCAAATAATAAAAAGCGTTTAAAGATAACAATTGATACAACTAATATTTTTCATCTATAACACAATCAAAATCTAAATAAAGTTATCTAAGGAGCATATTTGAAGTTTGATATTGGCAGTTTCAAATTTAGGTGATTTAGGTGGTGGCAAAGTGCACCATGTTCTCATTTTAACATCCTCTGAGTACTATGTTTAATTTACAGGACATTGTCATTTTCTTATAGTATTACTATACTTCAGGTGAGGATAAATGTCTTAGTGATAGCGATAAATATGTAGAATCATGTAGAAGGCAGACGCTGTACACCCAACCGAAAGTATGTACTCTAGAATGTTCACCAAAAGGTAAGAATATATGTGATATTAATGTATGTTTAAAATATGAGAGAATGCGAGCATGGTTCACCTGTAATGCTGTTTTATTCTTCGAACTATTTCCCTGTTAATATAAACTTAATTAAGCAAATTGTCTGTCCGATCAGATTTAAAACTGCGGTCCCATGCATTAACCTTAAAGACCATTTTTAACATGTGTCATTTAGGTTTTATACTCCTCAAAACATACGAACAACTAGTATAACTAATAACTATAAGTAGCTTTCGCTAAAATATTTAAAGAAAGGAACCAAAATATCCCTTTTTATTCATGAGAGAATTGATTTGGCATCTGAAATGAAAATAAAAAAGAGAAGCAAAAGGTATGTGATGAAGAAGCCAGTCACACTCTTTATTTCATTTGCCAGAAAACCAACAGCTGCCAGTTATCATTTGATATCTTCAATAATTCAATGTCCAAGAGCATGCACACATGAGAAAATTAAATTCAATGACCGGGTAAATGCACAGAAAAGAAAATCAATTTTAAAACATGTCATATTTCTATTAGTAACATTTAAGTTTAGTGATCATTCATTAATACTTATTTGATATTGATAATGATTTACTCATCAGAATATTTTTTTGTTCATGACTCAAAATTTTTATGAAATGTAGTTTTGCTATTAAACGATATGTTGAACACAATATGAGACAATACTCGTATATATAAGTCATTGACTTAATATTTGTATAACCCATGAAACAACCAAATAACTTAGTCTAGTTTTCCCGTCGGTCATTAATGAATTTTCTTTTCCATTATTAATAACATTATTATGTTTATTATTTGCCTTTGGTGTCACTTTTCGTATAACATGTTTTTTACTTCTACATCTAAATGGGATCTCTTTATTGCCTGTATATACTGTGTGATAATACAATATAAATATACACTTCAGCAAGTACAAATGTATGAAAATGAATTACTCTCTTGTGCTAAAATGGGAGAATGATAGTTATAGTTAAGCTGAATTTAATCTGAAACATAGGTATATAGTACAATAGATAAATACAGAATCCCTAAAGAAAGCCCAACACGGCAAAATTGAAAATGTTGCAGGCTCGGTTTGATTGAGCCTGTTCATGGACGGTACTGGAAAGTGCAAATTACCGCCCACGCCCCCTAGCACCGGCTTAAGCAGAATTCAACATTTAAACATGAAATAGTAAAATTTTGAATTTAGAAACATCCACAAGTAATAAAAAGCCTAAATGTTGCTGTGTAAAGTTAATCACCAATGTTTCTTCTTATAAGGAAACACTAGTTTAAACACACGCAGTAGATAGCTATAATATATAAATAAATTTATGACATTAATTTATTAATATGCATAATGTTACAACGGCTTACATGTTCACAGTTCATGAAGAACAAGTTTATTTAAAGGAACAATAAAATGGATGGACGGCGAAGATTGGTACGGTGAAGTTTGGAGACCTTTTGCGACGTTTATTGTGGATAGAGAGGTACATGTTATTCTTGCCTCAATTAAAGTGTCTTATCTTCGCCAAAGCTGTGAAGCTACATTTACATTTTTGAAATTAAATGAAAAAAGATAACGTTAAAATAGAAACATAGAACACTTGAACGAATTTGTTAAGCTTTAAGTTTTAAATAAAAAAATATTGGTCCATATCATGTAGTCGATCATGTTCACAACACCGTTTTACTCAACATTTGAAAGAATATGTCCTCACTCATTGCGCATTATACTTTATAATTTATTTTGACTTTTGACAGACAAGTGCTTGTTTCGACCCATATAGAGCATTTAACACAGTTCCTGATGGTTTTGAAATTAAAGAATCTTCAATACCAGGAATTGGACATGGTGTCTTTGCAAATGTTTATGTTGAGCAAGATACAGTAATAGGTCCATACAAAGGTGTTTTTGACCCAGATACAGAGAGTGCTGAAGAGTCGGGATACAGTTGGAAGGTATGAAACATTTATCCATTAAACACCAATATGATAATAAGCTTCATATAGAATACATTTCTTCTAACAAATAGTATCGAATGTGTTGTTTATAGTTTGACTTCGGAGTCCTAACACAAGACAAAGCATGCATAACTTGAAACAGTACAGCGTCGGGCAGTAAACTTGAAACAGTACAGCGTCGGGCAGTAAACTTGAAACAGTACAGCGTCGGGCAGTAAACTTGAAACAGTACAGTGTCGGGCAGTAAACTTGAAACAGTACATCGTCGGGAAGTAAACTTGAAACAGTACAGTGTCGGGCAGTAAACTTGAAACAGTACAGCGTCGGGCAGTACATTTGGTAAATCAGGACTACCTCCCTTACAGCCGTGTCACAAACATACTCAATCAATTAGGATAGCTCACATTAGAATATATGAGGTCTGATATCCGACTCATTATGTTTCACAAAATAGTGGATGTGCTGAATGCTTTACCCTTACACCTATATACCCAGATAGAGAAAAAAGACATATGAATCTCCCTTCATTCCCACAGATCCATACACTCTGTAATTATAAGTTTTTGTTCTTTCCAGCTACCGTTGTACTTTTGAAACCCTCCCTCATGATATTGTGCAAGTTCAAAACCTGAAATTTTTTTTAGCAGGGTATGACCAAACTTTCACAAAATGCTTCACACAACACACCTTTCTTAACCTGTACATTCTACATTGTTTCAACACCATCAGCTGTCATTCGTTCTTACAATGCTTACATATGCTTCTTTATCTCAGATAGATACACGTAAAGGTGAGGATCGGGCTAATATTGAATGGGTAGACGCTAAATATATAGCACTTTCTAACTGGTTAAGATTTATCAATACTCCTAATTCTGCTGAAATGGAAAATGTCGTTGCAGTTCAATATAAAGGTAATAGTTATCATGTAGACAATCATGTGTTATTATATTATACACGCTTTAATCAGCAGCAATTATTAGGCCAATATTTCTTCTGGTTGGTTATGTTGCATTATAGATACCTCTCATAATGCCTTTATTGTTAATCATGGGTTTCAATAATTCAATCAACAGTTAACATGGTTAAATAAATAAATGAATTGATTAATTTTAAAAAGAAACAATTGTTCAAAAATTATGTTTTTTGAACTTTTTTCCCATTTTGATAGTTTAGTATTTGTAGAACAATCGTTTCTATTGCAGGTCAGATGTATTATCAAGTGTTTAGGTCTATACAGCCGGGTACAGAATTATTTGTGTGGTATGGTGAGGCATACGGAGATTTTCTAGGAATCCCGAAATTTGATTCTCCAAGATACTACTATGCGTTCCGTAAATATAACAATTTTGAAGTATCCTGATTTCTTTTAGTTTCACACAACACTAAAGTTGATTTCATGCATGAAATGTCCATTTACCTTCTTGTCAGAAATGAAAAACTTTTTTCTATAAAAGACAAAATCTTTGTTTGTATACAGACATTGATTTTTTTTTAAATGAAATCATGCTTATAAACTAAAGGAAATTTTATGTATTAGATTACATCAAAAAAGCAAAATACCTCAAACGATACTGTAGTTTTAAGTTGAGATGCTTGTGTGGGTAATTACCAAGGATGGGAAATTAATGTGTTTTTTTATTGTTGGACAAAGCGGGGTATGCAGGAGGATCATGTGATGAAGATGAAGAAGGAAGTCATTGTCTCTTTGATGTGTACACCGTCTGTGCTGATAAAACATGTTTCTGTAAGCCAGGGACACACATTATAGCCGGAAGGTGTTTTGCAGGTTTGTAGGAGCTTCTCATTAATATTTGAGCCGCGTCACGACAAAACCAACGTAATGCGTTTGCGACCAGCATGGATCCAGACCAGCCTGCGCATCCGCGCAGTCTGATCAGGATCCATGCTGTTCGCTATCAGTTTCTCTACTTGTAATAGATAATGATGCCATTAAAATACTTGGAGATGAACATGTATCTTATGTTTTTGTTGATAAACTATTTGTTTGGATTTAGCTTGATGTCAGGAAGAATAAGGTCAATATTTTTCGAAAGTTTGCTCCAAACATATACGCACTTGTTATGTCATTATTTATTATCACGTACATACATTTATAATTAAGTTTGAGCATCAGTACAAAGATATTAACGGTGCAAGGGAGCGCACTTTGAATTATCCATTTATCGACCATTAGATGAACAGCGTATGTCTAAATAAACAATTAATATATTTATTTACATATAGTATGGTTAATCACATTGAACATACAGTTTCAAACTATTTGTTACAACTGAAACTGTTTGATTTTACTGTCTAGTATGTCTAGTATTCCTGTGGGAAGAAGAAAATGCGCGATGATAACATAGACTAGATTGAAATAAAAAACACACTTATTTTATATTTTTACTCTGAATTTCTAAATGTTATTTAAAATCCTTTAAAGGATATGTAACTAAATCTAATTTACTTATATTTTAGATGAATCGTTAAGCGGATTTTGTTCAGGTTTGGAGGGAGAAACCTGTCAGCTTGATGATAATGCGGTATGTCATCGTGGGATGTGTATATGTAGAAATGATTCTATACCAGCAAACGGTGCTTGCAGAAAAGGTACTTGAACGTTGTGAATAATTAATTTCAAGTTAATTAATGTGCTTAAAAGTGATGAAAACATTGCACCATATTATTAAAGACAAGATATTAAAATGAATTCAACATAAGCGCTATACGATAATGGAAATACTATAGATAGATAATAGATAAATTATTTATTACAGTGACATGTAAGTGTTACAACATACAATATGAACATATTTTTACAAAATAAGTCAACACCCGGCCCAATGGGCATATAAGTCACCTTAAATAATAGACTAAATTAAGCACTTTCTATAATTTGTTTACGTTATTATATTTATTGTCACTTCGAAACATGATTTGATTTTTACGAGGAAAATCCAGTTCTTTTTCTTGTTCTTTATCTTGAATATAACAATCCATAAGAGTGTTAAGCGATTGCAAACAAAAACAAAATATGCCCGACTTTCGAATAAGTGTAGTCGGTCAACTATCTACGTGGGATTATATGTGCTAAGTATCTTTTCAGAAATTGGGCAAACATCTAAAAAGAAAGATTCATTTTTTTCTGATAATTATGATAATTATATGATGTTCCTTGTTTATATTTGTTATCACATATACAAGAAATAAGTGCATATTTCGGTAAATTTGTACAAATACGTGATGCAAATTTTATATTAGGATGAAATACAATGCATTCAAAAGAGGGCTTTTATATGTGAACTTATTTCTTACAGATGAAACTTACGGAGGGCGTTGTACACAGGAAGATGGTCAGAAATGTTTATTAGATGATAACACGGAATGTGTACATGGTATATGCCAGTGTAATTATGGTTCCTCGGGAATAGGAAGTAAATGTGTCATAGGTATGATGAGTTTTGCATTTATTTTGAAAATATAAAATTCATTGCATTAACTTACGTCACATAAAAAGTCAACAAGATCTACCTAAAATTATTCAACATCAATTGTACATACTTTAATGTTGCCCAAATGTCACAAAATGTTGTCATATTTATAAATGAGCTGTCATTCTTAATATCCCTTTTCCCCAAATTCTTAAATGTTAAAGTTGTAAATGAGACACTTAAAGTTTCATCACTTTTAATAATGCATTACACTCCACAGATGAAACGTATGGTGGTCGGTGCCTGGGTGAGGATGGGGCGGCGTGTGCAAAAGACCCGAACGCTGAATGTTGGAGTTCCATCTGTATATGTAAAGATGAAGCTAGTTTCATAGATGGAATATGTCAACTAGGTAACAAAAATAATAAGACATCAAAAGTTAGATGAAAATGACAATTTCTAGCTCTGAACAATTATCGCAGACTTTGTTTGATCGGGTACGTAAAAAGTTTCTGTAAAAAGTTGGCCCGTACTCCACTTCAGTGTTGTTATATTTTTCTGGTCCTTCGGGATCATTGATGCCAGCACTATTATGTGTTGAGAATCGAATACCGTTCAAGCCGGTGCTATGGGGCGTGAGGGATGTTGCACGTTTTCAGTATCCATCATGTACAGACTCAATCAAACCGAATCTGCAATTCTCTTGTAATTTTGTTGTGATAAATGCAATTGAGGAATCACTTTTTTCCAGATTTTTAAACTCTACAACAGCAGGTGGTGTCAAGTGCTGTGTGGCAGCTGTAAAAAGTTGCCCCGTACTTCACTTCAGTGTTGTTATATTTTTCTGATCCTTCGGGATCATTGATGCCAGCACTATAATGTGTACCACTCAAGCCGGTGCTAGGGGCGTGAGGGATGTTGCACGTTTTCAGTATCACTCATGTACAGACTCAATCAAACCGAGTCTGCAATTCTCTTGTTGTGATTAATGCTTTTGAGGGATCATTTTGTTTCCAGATTTTCATTAGCTTTATATCAAATTGTATTACGTTTACTATATGCATCAAAACCGTTAGATAAGACAATTCATTCAGAAAGAAACTGCAACTGTCTTATTACGTAACACAATTTGTTGAAAACAATGTTTTTATATAGGACGCATAATATTAAACAAATATTGGGTATGTCAGAAGAAATCTCCCTAGCTTAGTTACACCTTACTTTTAATCATATTTTATTGCTTTTACATTTTATACAAAAACAGATACATTGTCACATGTAAACATACTACAAAACAGTAACGAATACATTTACAGTTAATACATGGATGTTATAGTTATTATAAAAAAGCAAAAGGGTCGGGCCACAAGTTTTGACAACATTAGAGAATTGGCCCTTCCCACAACGTCTAACTTGTAGTAAAAAGATGTGCATAAATTCAATTGTAATTGGAATTCCATAAATGTTTATATCAGCAATCAATATAATATTATTTGAGAAAATAGAATTTGATTATAAAAATTGTTCAAAGACTAACAAAACTTGAATTAAAAAGTAATAAAGAAAAGGAAAAGAGAAAGGAAGAAAGAAAGAAAGAAAGAAAGAAAGAAAGATTTATTGATTGAATAAATGAAAGAATAAGCACCATGTAGGAGATTGCTGCCCAGTTCCTGTCCTCAGCATTTATATATAAGTTATGGAAAACAATTTACAAGCGTAGTTGGAAAATTAGTCATTTTCAAATCTCCTTGAATACTTGATGAAATTTTGAACGTGAAGGAATAACATATTATTGTCTTCATCACTAAGATGAGTGATACCGAAAAGCAATTTATGGGCACTAAGAGGGTGATAATCACGAGTATTGGTAAATAACGTTAGCCTTTGGTTTATATACAATGGACACTTGAAAAAATAATGGTCTGCGTCTTCAGAATAAAAACCGCATTCACAATTTGAATTGTCACGTAAGTGATTGTAGTGCAAATCAGCATTTAAATTGCTACAATTATTTCTTATACGTGTGTGGTGAATTTGTAAAAATCTGTCACCAGTAAGGAAATATATCGGAACTAGAGGCGGCGTAAAGATTTTTTTAATTTTGGTTTTGAAAGATGAAAGTGTAGGAGACGATCGCGTTTCAAGATCTAAACTGTTCCATAATTTAATGGAAGATGGTATCACTGATTTTGAGTAAATTTCCGATTTCACGAAGAAGGTTGGCGATAGATACTGACCTCGTTAGACCAGTTACAATTCGAGCAGCATCGTATTGAATGCTTTCAAGTGAATTTTGTTCATACACAGTACAACTGTCCCACACTTTAGATGCATATTCAATAATTGGTCTTAAATAGGCTATATATATTTGATTAAGTGTTTTCCTTTTTAATTTAAACTTTAGCATTCGCATTGAACCAAGAATTTTAGAGGCAGAATTAGTTATATTCGAAATATGTTGATGCCATGTACCATCATCACTTAATGTAACACCTAAATGCTTGTGAGAATGAACAAAATTAAGATGATTATTTTGGAAGTAAATATCAGGGGTGTCGCGATTATTTTTGGAAAGTGAAAAATACATAACTTCAGTTTTAGCAGCGTTAAATGGTATTAACCACTGATTTGCCCATGTTGATATAATTTCCAGGTCAGCGTTTATAGTACTTTCTATATAAGTTTTATCTTGCGAACTTATTGCTAATGAGCTATCGTCTGCAAACAACCTTGTGACACTTGTAAGAGCGTCAGCTATATCATTCACATAAATAAGGAATAAAAGAGGCCCTAAAACTGAGCCTTGAGGCACACCAGCTGTTAAAAATTTCTCATTAGAGTATGTAGTACCTACAAAAACTTTTTGTTTTCTATTTTCTAAATAATTTGAGAACCAATTTAATAAATTTCCGGTAAATCCGTATTGTTTCAGTTTGAAAATGAGACCCTTATGCCACACTCTATCAAAGGCTTTACTTATGTCACAAAAAACTAAACATGTAGCTTTTCCTTCATCGAAAGCTTTACATATTTGATTATAAATGTCTATTAATTGGTACACGGTTGAGTGTCCTGGAAGGAAGCCTGCCTGATTTCTGTATATTAATTTATTTTCATGTAGAAAGTTGTAAGAATACTTAAAAATAATACGTTCCATAATTTTTCCTACACAACTTATAAGAGATACAGGTCTGTAATTGGATGAAATAGATTTATCGCCTTTTTTAAATAATGGCATTACATTAGCAACTTTCCATAAGTTTGGATATGTGTTATTTTGAATGGATCTATTAAAAAGTATAGTCAAAGGCTCACAAATAGTGTGACAAGTTTCCTTAAGCATTCTATGACTGATTTCGTCTGGTCCGCTAGCTTTATTTACGACGAGATTAGATAATATGTCTATAACATCTTGATTTGTAATATTAATATTGCTTAAATTTTTATTTGTTTTTGGCTCGAATTGAGGTAAATTAGTATGAGAGTCGTCAATATTTGCAATTGAAACAAAAAAATCATTTAAAGTATTGGCTTTGTCTAGATCAGAAAATGCTAATGTGTCCGTGTTTATATAAAGCGGAGGAATATTTACGCAACTCGATGAATTTTCTTTAACTAAAAGTTTTACCAATTTCCAGTATTCTTTTTGATTATTTGAACTAAGGTCGTTAAGTGTAAGCTCTATATTATTAAAAAATATTTCTTTAGCATGTTTTTTCATGTTATTAACTTTATTTCTAATTCGTTTATAATTGTTCCAATCAGACAGGCTTCCTGAATTCACAGCTTTACGTTTTTGTCTATCGCGATGTCGTGAGGTTTTTCTTATTTCAGAGTTGTACCATGGTCTGTCGTTTGGTCTAATTGTTGCTAGACTAGTCGGAATGCATGACGAAGCTAATTCTAACAATGCATCTGTAAATGTGCGTATTATCACTTTGTAAAAAAAGACCAATCCATCGATCGAATTTTATTGTTTAGTTCATTAAAATCTGCACGTTTATAGTTCCATACTCTGCGTTTGAAAGAAGTCGTAGGGTGAATGTAAGTTTTGATAAAAGAAAAGGTTCCGAAATGATCACTTATACCTTTGTCCGTTTCGAAAATACCCGAGTGTAAATTTTGATTATTGTTTGTTAATGCAATCGGATCTAAACGTCTTCGAGCGGATCTAAAAGTCTTATACGCGTAGGTTCACTTATAACACTATTCATATCATTAAGCATTAATATATGTCTAGTATATCATTCACGTTAAGTTGATCTCCATTTACATCTCCTAACAAAATAATATTACTTGAACGTTCTAAGACCCTATCAATGCAACTATTAAGCCTTTCCCATAATTCTACAGGCGTTTGTGGAGGACGATACAAATTACATATAAAAAATTTGTTGGAATCAGTTTTTACTTCCACCCAGATAAATTCTGGTAAAATGTTTTCCAAACTCAATAGTCTTTTAGATACGAAGTTATTAGACACATAAACTAAAAGTCCGCCGGAATGGGAAGAATTATCTTTTCTGTATATTGAGCTATAACCATCTAATGTTAACATGTCGTCGGTAACATCTGGGGACAACTTAGTTTCAGTGAAACATAAAACGTCGAAGTCAAGAAAATTATTTTTTACATAATCAAACTTGTTTCTAATACTTCTTATATTTTGATGAAAAATAGAAAAAGACGCAGACTCAGGACCTGGATTCAATTCGACATCTCCAGACAATAAAATTAATATACTCAAAAATAACAAATAATAACAATTAATCAATACAAATGTTATCTCCCTTTGACTGCAATCGTTAAGTATCAATATAATAACACAAAATGTAAAACCAATATCACTATAAATGTATTGTATCTTAGCTATACTTAACTCCAAAAAATTAATGAGATGTAATACTAATTTAACTAACGATAAAATGAGTTCTTGAAAAAATGTAACTTTAAATTGTAAACGCTTCTTAAACCGTTGTCTTCCATTATTAAATAGTCCTATAGCCGATCGATAAGCAGTACAACTGCTAAATAAACTATGACCGACCGTAGGACTGAATAATAAAAGTTAATATCATGACTGAGACCAGGTAACGGGCAGGCAACATAACACAGTGCTATATTCAGAGAGACAGAGGTAAGCATAAATAAAATAACAGAAATGTAAATACTAAACATAATGAGATAGGAATAAACTAGTTCCTCAAGTATGATGATAAAGTAGAATAAAATAACTTAATTATGGTACAAAAGACAGTACATATATGTAATGGACAAGATACCAAACCAGACCAAATAATACATAAAAGTACAACTAATTGATTATTTTGTTCACATTTTGCAAATTTTGTCATAGAATGCGCGTGTGCATGTGTGCGTGTGCGTGTGTGTGCACGTGTGTGTGTGTGTGTGTGCGTGTGCGTGTGCGTGTGTGTGTGTGTGTGTGTGTGTGCGTTTATACACTACATGTACTTACAATAAATTTGAATTGACAGAAACGATATCGTTTTTTGTTACTAATGTCAGAGATTTTATGGTGACAAAATACCAACATTCAAAATCTATTTTAATTTTCAATATTCAAAGTTATAATTTTTACTAATAAAAAGATAGAAAAAATAAGAGTACACAAGAAACTTGATCAACTTACACGAAGTCTATAGCACAAAGAAATTTACAAACTAGCTACAAATCAGAATACTTTATGCATCAGTAAAGAAAGAAAATTTTACAAACAATAACAACAAGGAAACACCAAGCATACAATACAAATTAAACAAACAAACAATCAAAAGGTCCAGACTGACATTTATTTGACAAAAATCTACATACGGCCCTAAAAGAAAACAAAAAACAAAAAAACAACCTTGTAATACTTATCTTTTATAAACAACATGAAATCAATCGTTTTCATAGACTGTAATACACCACTGGTTATTAATTACATTTGTTCGCAAATTTTAAAACTTAAGTATTAATTTATCAGTAAAACTTAAATGAAAAACAGAGCATAATTTAATTACATTTATAATCTGACATGGTGAAAAATACTTGATGTAAATTTACAATGACATAATAACCAGTTTTCTGAAACACCTTACTAGTAAATGAATTCGCCAAGTTTTACATATGAGCCGCGTCATGACAAAACCAACATAATGGGTTTGCGACCAGCATGGATCCAGACCAGCCTGCGCATACGCGCAGTCTGATCAGGATCCATGCTGTTCGCTGACGTAGAGAAACTGATAGCGAACAGCATGGGTCCTGATCAGACTGCGTGGATGCGAAGGCTTGTCTGGATCAATGCTGGTCGCAAACCCACTGCCATTGTCATAACGCGGCTCAATAATATTATTGTGGATATTGATTATATATATTTTAATAATTTATAACATATTCAAGATGGTTTATTAAGCGGCGCGTGCAAAGACGGCAACTGTCTAGGGGAAAACATGATTTGTGACACAACCTCAAATACTTGTACTTGCCTGTCTGGACATTCTCCAAACGATGGTCAATGTGTGAAAGAATAAATGGTAAAACAATACGAGACACTTCCATTTATCTTGAATTCATAAAACATTTTAACAACGTATGTTCGTATTTACTTAGACACACTTCTTATCTTTATAAAGTAGATAATTCAGACATAGCTCTTGTCACATTTTATTACAATGTGACTGTATTATTTAAAGCATTCGTCGATAGTATGCAAAGTCGCAAACTGTTACGTCTATATATGATACTAATAGAAGTATGCATAATTCGGAAACAATGTTGTTGTTTTTTTCTATAAATACAGACTATGTGTGAAATAATATGTTGTATTGTTATATTTAAGACAAAATTACCTTAGTGTACGCACATTTCTAAAAAGAAATGCATGAAGTTCTAATAGGTTTGACATTTGTAAAAACATTATTATTTATGAAATTTATCATACAGAGATAATGGGAAGTGAATATTCTTACATATAAAAAATTGTTACACTCTATTTTCAAAAAAATATAGATATAAACATGCCGTCATTTTTTTTTACTTTTTGCAGATGTAAGGAAATTGATGAGAGAGAAGAAGGATTGCATTAAGTTAACAGCGTGCAATATCATATTGTAAATTACAAGAACATTTTCAGATATTTGCAAACATATGACTGTATGAATCTATATTGTATATTACTAAATATTTACCGATGTGAGTATTTTATAGAAGTATTGGTCAGATATGTATTTATTGTTGTCGTTTTACTTTTTTTATAAAATCTACATTTTTCATTAACATTGCCATATCTTATTTGAAATACATGTACTTGTTGAATGATGGTTGAATGTTTTGTCAATAGGTAAACAAGAAAAGTATGAGCGTTTTCTGTCGTCTACATTTTATCATACCGAATGGCAGATTGTAATCGTATTACAGTGAAGCAAGTAGTGTGATTGATGTATATACGAATAATAAAATGAGCCGCGCCATGACAAAACCAACGTAATGCGTTTGCGACCAGCATGTATCCAGACCAGCCTGCGCATCCGCGCAGTCTGATCAGGACCCATGCTGTTCGCTATCAGTTTCTCTACTTGTTATAGGGTTTGAAGGCGAAAGCATGGATCCTGATCCGACTGCGCGGATGCGCAGGCTGGTCTAGATCCATGCTGGTCGCAAACGCATTATGTTGGTTTTGTCATGGCGCGGCTCATATATAAATTTATACATGGAGATCGGTGCGTGATTGTGCAGAGAAATTCGATAAATAACCAGTGAAACTGGGGAAGTGTGTCTTCTGACTTTGGTATCAAGGACCAAACTCATCTCATAGAATAAATCGTTAATTATGTTTAATTGTTAATTATTTAAAGACATGTTAAAGACTGGAATAGTGTAAAACATTGTTTTCGGAATAAAAAATATACTGCAAAGACTTTTGAATGATGACTTTTTTATCTATAAACTATTGCTTACATTTGATATGATATGAATATGAGTAAATATCAATTTTTAAAAATTGTTACATTTGTAACATGTTAGATCTGGCAGGAAAAGTGTCGGTTGAAGTTTGTAAATAACGGTGGTCCGTCAGGGCTACCGTAACACACAACGAATACGCGAAATAACGATGATCAAAAAATAACGAAACGACGATGATGAAAAGTGGGAGGTGCAATGTTGAAAGTCGCAAATGCAATGATAAAATGTCGAAACATCGATGGGGATAACTCGATATTATTTCGTGTTTTCACCATCGTACCTTCGACTGTTCACCATAGTGGTTCGTTATTTTGACTTTTCTCTATCATACTTTCGACATTTCATCATGGTCGTTTCGGCTTTTCATCATCGTAGTTTCGTATTTTCATCATCATACTTTCGATTTTTCACCATTGTATCTTCGACTTTTCACCGTCTTAGTGACATGAGCACGGAGACGGATGGCTACATAAATCAAAGCACTGAAAGTGCTGTATGCGGTAAGCCCGAGAATTGTAAAGCATATGTAGTCAGACTATTCTCCCCCTTACAAGCAGTTCCTTTCTTGACATTCCTATTGCCTGTCGTCTGCTAGTTCAGAAACTGTTTATCGGTTATTCAAATGCCATGAGAAATTCAGCACGACTCAATTGATATGAGGAATTCAGTGCCATCCAAATTCCATGTGAAATTCAATGTGCTTCATATTCCATGAGAAATTCAGTGCAATTCAGATTCCATGTATTATTCAGTGTAAATCAAATTCCATGAAAATTCAACACAATTTCAATCCATGTACAATTCTATTTAATTCAATATCAAATTTGTATTTATACCATGAGAGATTCAGTATGTTGCAAATCAATCCATCTCTGAAAATCTGAATACTGAACAAGGTTTGAATGTAGTCTATTGAGTTATACAATATGGAAAAGACGGCAGTCAAAAAATAAATTTACAGTCTTACAACTAGCAGCAAATGAAAAGGGCCTGCATGAAATAATTTACCAGCCACAGCAACTGAAAAAAGGCCTGCATGAAATACATTTACCAGCCACAGCAACTGAAAAAAGGCCTGCATGAAATACATTTACCAGCCACAGCAACTGAAAAAAGGCCTGCATGAAATACATTTACCAGCCACAGCAACTGAAAAAAGGCCTGCATGAAATACATTTACCAGCCACCGTCTAACCATGTATCAAACAGTAAAATGCAATCTAATATGCATGCGATTATACTGATATGTAAACAATATCAAAACATCCTTTATCCTTCATGTAAGCAAACAAGGCAAAAGTAAGTCTCGTACAAGGCAGTGATCGTTTTAATTCACTAAGATACCGCTAAAACAGCATTGCATAATCTTAAACATATAATAACAATGCAATTGATAAACTCACATTTATTCGTGGAAAATTGCACGCTTGTTGAAACCCTCTTTCTTCGTCATGCAAAAATAATGTATGCAGATATATTCATGCGCGATACTGCTAAACTCTCAATTCTCACTTCTTCATGACAAATACTTTATAAATACAAATACTTGCACTTTTTAATCACACGAAACCGCAAAAACACGATTGTTCACAAGCTCCACGCAGTGATCTCCCCTTTTTTCTTCGGCGTATACTAAACTGATAAAGGGAAGTAACCGCTGCGAGGAGTTTGGATTGTTCACCAGCGAAGCTACATCGGGCGTACTTATACAAGCATATGTTAATATTTTCAAAAATGTTTATTCTCACAATCTCATTCGAGTAATCAAAATCACATAAAATTACATTATGATGTTATGGCCCAGCACATGAAAAGTCTTCGAATCATTGGTAATTGTTTGTTACATTTTGAGAAATATTTTGTACTGCGCAACAGCAAATCAGAGTTAGTAATTTGGCTGTTTTCAGTCTCTCCAGAAGTTGTTATAATTGCTTACCGCAATTTTTTTTGGCAAGATTACAATGTTAATGACTTTGGATACGGTGTTCCACAAGAGCTTTTGGCGCGCATACGAACAAACGCACACACAAGCACGCGTAAATAAATCGTGTTTTAGAGGAACATACATTACACGTAAACATGTCTACTAAAATATAGATATACATGTAGTTGTAAATCATGCTCGATTGTAGTTTTACGATTTTTTTTAATTATTACAATATAAACATAATTTGTCAGATTATGAGTAAGATACAATCTGGAACGCACCTAATGTAGATCTTCTGTAGATCTCCTGTCTGTGGTGCTTCTAGATTGCTGATCGACCTCCATCATCAGCATGGTGCTCGCCGTCATTGATATTTCGGCCCTTATCCATGTATATCTGCTGGCGAGTGGGCCCACCGTCTTACGGTGTGGAGGTCGATTGCTTCCAGCTCTTCTCCTTTCGTCTCAGACACAGCCAGCTAGACGCACGCTCGGCAGCTTGGCTCAGTCTCTGGATTGTCCTACGTCTATTCCTTCCAGTAGTTCCTATCGCTGTCATTACAATATAAACATAATTTGTCAGATGCACTTGGATATTAAGAACGTGCATTTTTTCATTAAACGTTTATAATAATGTGTCACGTACAAAAAATCAATCGGTTGACTCTCAAGATTAAACGAGCTGCATTTAAAAAAAAAAGAATTTTCCATATATTAACACTTATAAATGATACTATTTTCTCTTACATATAAATTGAAATACACAATGTACAGAAATAATTATGTTTAAAATCTTTATTTTTTTAAAGCTGTATACATGTTCCTGAGGCGAATTAACATGAATTAACATCGACTAATTTACTTCCTAAAGAATAAGTTTTACTTAAACAAATATGTTGCCCTCGGTTTGTGGCTATTATTTTTATGTTAATTAAGGAATATGAACGACACATAACCTCTTTCAATATCAAGATAGACATGTGATTGTTGACACACGATCAGTACATTTTTGTTAATAAACAGACCGGTTTGAAACCATGTCAACATACTGTCACACTTATACACTATATATTCCCGACAACCCGCATGCTTATGATCAAGATGTAGAAAATACGCACGTCATCTATGAGAATGCCTCAGATTTCCTTTGTTTTGGCACATATTTAAATATAAAGAGTATATTTTGTATAACCATAGTTGTTAAGTTACATCACCTTCACATTGTCGTATTTTCGTGTGACAGGGCAAACAAACCAAAATGCCCTCCTCCCCCTCAACACAAACAAACATACGGAAAACCCAAGTTTTTATATTATTTATTTTATATTATATATTACATGTTATTTTGACCAGTCAGCCGTCATCCTTTCCAACCCACTGAGGAAATGAATTTACATAAGTCTTGGACTTGTTTTCAAATCCTCTTCCGAATTTAATTAAGTTAATAATTTCTTTAGCATTGTATATCATTAACTTATATCTTCAGTCTTTCATGTTTCTTATTATACAATGTCTTCTGGTTGTAATGTATAGCTATGTTTTGTAAATTCTGGAAATAAATATTGTTTAAACTAACAATTCGTTTTAAACCATGCAACTGTCATACTGTTTTGGCTTTTCGCTAGTACCGCAATACAAGAAGACATCAAACTATTTAAATTGCGTTGTTTGGCTTAGTGTTACTTTTTCTATAAATAACAAATAATTTGATTTGTTGTCGTGTCACGACGAGAAAAACGGCAGAAACAAAATGGTATGAATAAACCACCATATATCATGTATATGAGTCGCTTGCTATCTAAATTACAAATGCAATGATATTTACTGTATATTATTCTGCACATAAATGAATACATACTAATAAATATGCATATATACATGTACGTTTAGGTTTCCTATATTCGTGTAGCTTAGTTACTGAGTTTTTATGATAATATAAAGTTACATAGCGGACCTTATTATAAATGCAAGGAAACAAAAAATGAGTTTATCATAAATAATTGTTTCAAAATGTGACATGATATTGCCCTAAGCAAGTTATACGGACAAAAATATAGTTAAGATATCTTTACATTGTAAACTAAATTATTTTTGAATTAAAGGATATTTAAACTGAGATAAGACCGCATATCAAATATGTTTGTTTTGTTACGGGAGAGTTTTGAAGCTTAACAATTGGTGTTAGAGACAGATGTTAACTTTATTAGCTCTGGTGGCTCCGATGTCATGTAACTAAACAATCGTGTATGTCCGTTCACGTAATCATATAACGAGTCATGCAAAGTGAGCTTTTCTTAAAAATATACCGGAAAAAGCACCGCACTTCTAATCACAACATATCAAAAAGTGCCAATGGATTTACGAATATGCATGATTTGGATATGTATCAACGCATGGAGTTTTGTAAACAGTCTCAAAGAGGAAACAGGTATCGTAATGTAGATTTACTGTCGTTTTCTATAGAATAAATATGTGACTTAAATGCTTAAAGTGTCAATCTTCTTATAGGCGGTGTTACCATCAAATATCTAACTAAATAAATCATACACGAATTGCTTTAATAATTGTAAAGTTTCATTTGACGATACAATAGAAATGATTTAAAATATATCTGCTAAACTTTAATCTGAATACAACACCACCTGGCGGTGATTGGCGTAAGTCACTTCATCTGTCACATTCTTTGTCACTCATATATATTTATTATGTCACCACAGTCACATATTAACTAATATGCTTGAATATTAATTTCACGCTTCATACGCAACTCGCAACACTGTGTATGCATTCTTATAGTTATATAATTTGTGTCCAATATGTCGGACAAAAGTTCACATAAAGAGATATTAGTATACTTAATGTATACAGCGCTAATGGTAATAGCTGGAGATCTAATAAACCAGGCCATAATTCCCTTTCTGGGTTGCGAACAATTGTTGGTTAAAGAAAAAGAAAATAATTCATTCGTTTAATGTAAATGAATCCAGAAAATTACTAACAGATAAAATCTGTTTTCGTGAACCTTATCCTAAAGAAAGAAAAATAAAACAAAAATAGATGTTGACCAGTTGCTTGAAAATAGCCCCATAAAATTCCTTAAATAAATTCTCCAACAATGGGACTGTCTTTGGTATTTTAAAACTAATTTATTGCTTCAACAGGTATAGATATAGGTTACAGTTGTACTCATGATGCTGAATGTACGACAGGGAATGGTGGAGAATACTCAAAATGCAACAAAGATCTGAACATTTGTATATGTACAATTAATCATCTAGGTAAGTATCTCCGTTTCCTAGAGTTTAGTTATGAATATGAATTTATGTTCTCCTGTGCTTAGACAGCTAATAATAATAAAACAATTGGGAATTTTATACAGGTGATGCAAAAAATCAAATTATTATTGTAGTATATGTGACATTAATAAAACTTAAAGAGTATCGAACTGTTTCATAAAGTTGCCCGGGATGAGTACGTGTTTATTAGTGTACAATCAATGAATTGTATTACGACAAAACTGAATTTGTTTTTGGTATATGGATAACTTATGGCATATATCTTTACAATGTACGGCAGGAGGTATTTTATATGATCAGTAACTTATGACTTGCGATAAACATCTACATGACAATCATATACCTTATCTTTAAACACTGTCAGTCTTACAAGCATGTCCTCACCTGTCACTTTATTATTGTTTGTTATATCTTAAAATAAAGCAAACTAAAGCACATAAACTACAAAATTGCTGCAGGGGCAAGTTGTCATCAAAACACGTATAGACAAAATAAAAAACAAAACAAAAACAATGTTCGTACTGTAGAAAAGACAGCTTACGTGGTAAAATGTAATTATGCGATAATTTTTTTTACTATGTTCTATTGTATGCAAATATAGTTAATTATTGTAAATTGAAAATCGACAAAAGCTTTAAATCAAAACCATTATTTTATAGAAATAACTTTAATCTAGAAATCTAATATCAATTCTTGCTGAATTCGTATAACAGATATGTGTCCCTTTGATTTTAGTCAATAATTTTTTTAAGTGATTTCAATATCAAAGTACGAAAATTGGACTATGTACCAACAGTATAGAGCCTGGACCGACTACAAAGATGTGCCAGTTGGTCTGGCTGTATCTTGGTCACAAAGGCTTCAATTTCGACTCCAGCAAGATCAAAGGACTAATATTTTCCATGTCATAATGTATCAAAGAATCATAAAGGCCATACAATTAAACTAATAAATTGCTAAAATATAGAATTAAAATATTTGTGAAATGTACTGTATGGTTTACTGTTCCAAAGCTTTTATTTTTATAGTTATAAAGTTTACAAAAAAAATACCCGAACCATTGCTTCTGTTGCTTATTGGAATTAGTACAATTATATTGATTTAGTATTTTGTATGGAACATTTTAATTTCACTTCCTGTTCTTATTCATTCAAATGATAAGCATCTAACATGCCTTTAAACCGTTATTTAAATGTTATAAAATTCATGTTTGCGTTTCTAAGAGGAACCATTTTTATTTATTTCCCAAGCATAAAGTGCCTTTAAATAACGTAATCTACTAGATTATACATGTATATTTTGTTTATACTTTTGGTATTATTCTTGAGCGAGGTAAGTTATTGCTAGAACAATTTTATGTAGAGATATACAATGTATTCTTTATCATAAACTATTGTAGTCTGTGTTAGACATGTGTCACCATGTACAATAATATAATGATAATAATCAGATAGTGAGATAATTAATTTATAATATTTATCTTACGATATGTGTCACATGTTATTACGTAAAACTAACAACTGTAATTATATATAATCAAACAGAAATACAAGAGGAAAATATGGTACAGATTTTCTTACATTTTTGTCACCAAGAGCAATAATTTGCTGTGTAAAAAAAAAGTTTTAAAAAATCTTCCACGTTCCTACATCGTTCTAACGTATGGAAAGATATTTGGTTTAAACTATAATTGTTGAATAAAAAATACTAGAACAGTATTTTATTTAGAATTAATGTTACTATTGCTACGGCTATGAATCTTTGACAAAGATGTTAATTTACGGATGCGCAGTCTGGTCTGGATCCATGCTGGTCGCAAACGCACTATGTTGGTTTTGTCGTGACACGGCTCATATCATTATTATGTCTCATTTATTGTTGCTGGTGAAATATCTTTCTGTTACCTTTTATCCTGTTTTACGTTTTGATAATCGCGTATTGAAATATAATTAGCAATCTCAGTACATCTACATAAGTTTATGATATGATGTACATGTCACGAAGTGAGTCTTAGTTTGGCTTGGTCAAGTTACTAAACATAGACTCACTTTGCTTAAAACAAATCCCCGAAAGTATTTTATTAGGATGTTTAGCAACCCTCAAATAAAAGACAAGTGTACTTTCGTGTCTTAGAACATACATTTATGCCAGTATCAAACGATGCTATCTTTGTTTTAGCTTATTTAGCAGTGTATTGTTTATTGGTGTTGTAATGTTTTTATACATTGTAAAGGTGAAGATAAATGTCTTACAGACAGCGATCAGTATGTGAATGTTTGCAGACAACAAACACTGTATACGAAACCGGAAATGTGCACCATAGAATGTTCGCCAAAAGGTAATAAAAGAAAAGTGAACTTCACTAAACTGTTACTATACATTGTGGTCATTACTTATTAACACAAGCTACACTTATTGCAGGTATAGCAAATCTAACTCTTTCTTAATAATTATCTAATTAGCCACAGGTGCAACAGATACTCCTTGACTAACGATGTTTTGCATGTATTTGTACTGTATATAGAGATACAAATACAAATATCTTTATTTCTCTCAGGTCAAGACATTGACAACATGAGGTAAATAAGTATTAACAAAGTTTCGAGGCTCAATAGAATGCATACAAAAAATATAAGCATATATAATACATGAAAAGGGAGAGTACCTTGGGTACTTTTAACATACAAAGCTTGTGCATGTAATAAATTTACACTTGTTATATGCATTTAATTTTCATTATATAAATTTTTCAACTATATCCCTAATAAACATACATATTTTTTTATATTCAAAATTACTATGTTTGTTTATATTCATAAGTTTATCAAAAGAATAAATGTTTGTCTAATGTAATAATTGGGTCCTAAGTATTTTTTTCTTTGACGATCAAAATATTTACATTCTAGAAGGTAGTGAAATTCATCTCCAACTAAAGAATTACATAATGTACATTTTCTCATATTAAGTTCTATCACATGCCAAGATCCAGTTTCTACTGGTAATCTATGGTTTCTTGTTCTAAATTTAATCATATATCTAAGTAAATTAGGATGTGTATTTGTGATATACTTTTCAAATTCGAATTTGTGTTTAAATAACTTGTAATTTTTACACTTTCCAGAAGTTTCTAAGTTTGAATACCAGCCGTTAAGAAACAGGTCTATTAGCTTTTGTTTAACTGTTACGGTCAACCACTTTTGATTTGGAAAAAGATGTGTGTCCCAAATATTGTTCATGCCGCATTTGACGAGTATATCTCTAATACACGTTATCCACATAAAATTATTGCTTTGCTGTGTATTTAAAAAATTACTACTATAAAGAGCAAAATAATACATTATTTGCGTTAGTTTAAACGTCTTTGGGACAACTATATCTGCCCAAAAAGAAACTAATCTTGATTCTATATCTACTGAGAGCGGTGTTACACCTGTTTCACCATACACTATTGTATTTGAGGTAGAAGATTTTAATCCTAAAATATATTTTAAAAACTTAAGTTGAACTCTTTCTATCATGTCAATGTTTCCATAACCCCAAATTTCACATCCATAGAGCAAAATTGGTTTAACAGTTTTATTGAACAAATCTATTTGGATGTCAATTGGTAAGTATAGTGATTTAGCCTTTTTTATTAAATTATACATTGCTATTGTTCCTTGTTTGGCTATATGCTTTTTTGCATTTAAAAAAGATCCATTCCTACTAAAGATAATTCCAAGATATTTATATTCATTAACAATTTCGATATTTTCATTATTATAAGTGAAATTGTGTTGAACTTGTCTACCTCTTTTACGAAAACCATAACTTTTGTTTTTGAAGTGTTAAGAACCAATTTCCATTTATCACAATACGCTGCATAGACATTTAAAGCGTCTTGTAGATCTTTAGCAGATTCTGACAAAATAACAGTGTCATCTGCATACAATAAAATAAAAAGTTTTAAAAAGTACATAACATTTCCATCAAAATCATTATTATAGCAATTGACGCCTTCGACTAGACCACTGTTGGAAAAATAAGCATGTAAATCATTTAGAAATAATGAAAATAAAAGAGGCGATAAATTTTCACCTTGTCTTACACCGGCAGTGCATGAAAAATATATTGATTTGTTCCCATTTGCCCTAACACAAGATTTTGCATTTTCATATATATTTTTAACAACATTCAAAAATTTACCATTTATGTTAACAGCATATAGTTTACACCAAAGTCCTGAACGCCACACACTATCAAACGCACTTTTAAGGTCAACAAAGGCACAAAACAGTTTCTTTTTACTTTTTTTTAATAGATCAATCAAAGTATTTAGTACAAACATATTATCAAGTGTAGAAAATCCTTTTCGGAATCCAGCTTGGTATTCGTTAATCAAATTATAATTTTCAGTATATTTTTGCAGACGCATATTTAAAATTGCAGTGAAAAGTTTCCCCGTACAACTTAACAATGTTATGGGTCTATAATTTGACGGGTCACTAACATCCCCTTTATTTTTATGCATTGGGTTAATAATTCCAACTGTCCAATCATTTGGTACAATACCAGAATTGAAAACAACATTAAATAATTTAACATATACAGTTTTCATACTTGAAAAAGAATTTTTTATGTGTTCATTTATTACTTTATCAACACCATACGATTTGTTATTTTTCAGCGTTTTTACCGCTTTTTCAATTTCGTCACTTGTAATTGGCTTATTAATTTCAATATTTTCTTCATCGAACAAGTCTGTATCAACATTAATATCAGGGGCATTTTCAATGTTTTGACTTGAATTCAAATTTTTAAAATAAGTATATAAGTCATTCAAATCAGCATGAATTTTACTATTTTTCTTTCCATTAAGAATTGACCAGTATTGTTTCGGCTTTGTTTTATCTAAATTTCTTAATTTTGCTATGTTATTTCTCTTAAACTTTATAAAAAATTTATTCATCGTTTTCTTTTACACTTTGCTTTTAACACGTAATTCATTTTTGTTTATTTCAGTATTTCTTAATTTATACATATATTTCGCTCGAGCTTTTTTACACTCTAAATTAAACCAACTAGCAGGTCTAGTTTCAGTATGTTCGTTAATTCTTGTCTGACATACTCCAAAACTCTGTAACGAGCTATCTTTAAATATCTTAGCAATATTTCTAACAATAACATCTAAACTATCAGGGTTAACAACATTGCTATTTTCTAACACAGTCAAGTCATCTATAACTTTGTTAACATGTGACATATCAATATTGTTGACAAACAAATCACGTTTATCATTGTCCCACAATTTAACAAAGTCATCACATATAGTATTTTGCTCCTTTTTGTACTCCGTACTTTTAAAATTAAAATTTGTTTTAACAGGGTTATGCACATCGGACAATAATGGACAATAGTTCATTACACTCATACATTGTACATACTTAATTAATTTGTTGTGCAAACAAAATAGTCAACAGTACTTATATTTTTACATGTTGTACAACCACTCATATCACCGATAGTCCTACCATTTAAGATATATAGACTATTACGTTGTAAAAAATCTAAAAATTTATAGCCATAGTTATTTGCATGCTTATCTTAATTGTTTCTTTGATGCTTAACATTTCCATCAGAAAAATCTTTAAATTGCATTTGCATTTCATAAAATAAATCGTCTAAATTATTTTCATATAGAACTTCATAATCCGGATAAATATAATCATGTAACTGTTTAGTACGAGAATTCCAGTCTCCAAATAAACATATTTTATCATATCTGTGTGAAAAAATATCAATTTCAGATTGCAAGTCAGCAAAAGGATCATCACATATGCGTATTTATATGTTAATTACACGATAAAATATATTGTTTATTAGATTTTTTTCAAGATATGTCAGTTTGATTGCTCTTTCTACTTTGCGAGTAAGATGTGAAATTTGATAATTTATGACAAAATGTTTAATTATTTTATGTAAGTGGTCTAATTTAAACAACGGGAGAACAGATATAAACTGTGTGTTGGACTAACAGTTTCTCTGATTTTAATCATGCTAATACATCAATTTAAGGTACAAAAATATGGAAGAAAAACGAAGACTGGTTTGGGGAAATAACAGTCAAGTTTGCGTCATTAATTCTTGATAAAAAGGTATTTATTGATAAAATTATAATTTTATATAAAATATTGATATTTTCTTCGAAAATTCTTTTTAAAATGAAGTGCAAATGAGGCTCAAATTTGTCGGTTCAAACAGTGTTTCATTACCAAAAATGTTCGATAGGTTAAAATGATAAAATGTAATCATCACTTGAAAATCGTTATAAAAATAAAATTCAATTCCATAATATATGGTTTTGAAAAAAACATAAAATATAGTAATTAATGATAGTGTTCACACAAATCTGTAAAAAAACTGTATAACATATAAAGTTGCAATGTATTTAATCAAGTAAATGCAAACATGATTTAGTTCCTTTACATCTCTCCTTCATTTTTAAAAAAGATGGTAAATCTGACTGTGTCAGAAATAACCGCTTATTTTACAGTACGAATTATCTTTGTCTCGTTGAGTAAAGCAGATGTTCATTATTTACATATATTTTTTTTATCATTAAACTTAGTAAAATGCCTCGGTTAACTGTTTCAATGTATCGTTACATTTTTATTTCCTGTTGTATTGTAGACAAGTGTTTGTTACGACCCACGAAGAGCTTTAGACAGTGTTCCAGATGAATTTGAAATAAGAGAATCTACAATACCAAATGCAGGGTCAGGAATTTTTACAAAAACTTACATCGAGCAGGACACAATGTTTGGTCCTTATAAAGGTGCTTTTGATCCAGACACTGATAGTGCCTCGGAGTCAGGATATAGTTGGAAAGTAAGATATACGTATATTTTGTATTAAATTATTGAAATCTTACAAATCTGCTTTGCGAAATAACACTGCAAAATATTGTTTTCTTTTACTTAAAATTATGATTGCGTACTGACTATGGAAATATTATACTGCAATACAAAATATTCACAAATGGTAATACGTAAAATATAGATGGTTTGGATCATGTATAAAACCCGTTATTCTCTGAAGCATACATTGGTATATTGGATAGTGGTAAACAGTGAAAAACAAACAATAATTAATTTGAACACGGTTGTTAACGCATTTGTATATAACGATTGTTTGTTTAAATCATTAGCGAGTTATTTCTCTTTGCTCGTTAAATTCAATGATTATATATTAGTAGATCATTTTATTTCAAGTTTCAATAAATGTAAATTCTAATAGAGACTTTTTTTCTTCAAAATAGTTGTTTAAATGGGAATATTATATTTCAATATCATCAGAATATGTCGATTTGTATTATCATGTAATAAATCAATGAAAATATAATTGGTATTGTATGACTAATTCATTTTAATTTACAATGATTTCTATGTACAGATAGCATATCGTCAAGGTGAAGGGCGACGGGATGTGGAATGGGTGGATGCCAAAGACATTTATCTGTCTAACTGGTTGAGATACAGCAATTCACCTATATCACCAGAAGCAGAAAATATCATAGCCTTGCAATATCAGGGTAAACACGTCTTTATATTTGAAATCATTTTTGAAAATGAAATAAACTTTTAATGTGCATCAACATGAAATATTTTTCTTCTGTAACATCATAAAAGAAAAGTATTTGCTTACAATTATTTTTTTCTTCGAATGTTACTGTTATTAGTTTATTTGATACATATAACAACATAACTACAATGTTTTCTTTTCAAACGTGTAACAGTATGCTTCATAAGTGCTTCTCATTTCTCAGGTGAAATGTATTATATGGCATTTAAGTCCATCCAGCCAGGGACAGAACTACTTGTATGGTATGGTGACGAGTACGGTGACTTCCTTGAAATTGAGAAGTACGAATCTCCCAATTACTATCATGCAAACGGTAATTCTATAAATATTTAGATTTTTTTTTCATTCAACAATACGCTTTTATGAGCTCGGAAACATTTTCAAATTAAGATATATGGACATTTAAATGCAACTGTATTAATGCAAGTATGTAATTTGTTGTAGATATGGTATCCCTAAAAGTCTTTGTTTTTATTTGAAATAAGAGCTTGACAAAGTGTTGTGGTAGTATATTTTGTTTAACACGGTATGGTCTTTGGATATTGATCCTATCTACTGATAAATATGAAATTGAAAAGTTTTTTTCACTTTATGTTTATTATCAAAATAGGTAACATTTTTTGTATATTGCTTTATGAGAAAATATAACGTTTTAGATGAATACATTCTATTCTGTTTTTAACTGTCAGACCAGATCTTATTTTGATCTATGGATAGGATTATATGTGTTTTATCAGAATAGATTACATATTTGGTCTATGTATTTGTCTGCATGTGTGTCATTAGAACACAGTACATTTTGGTATATGTGTATTATTATGACATCAGGTCCCTGTGACATATAACATTTTTTTCTAATTTATACGCTTGATTTTGTTTTTATTATTAGAATAGACATCGTTTTCAGTTTATGTATTTTGCTCAAGTACGTCATCAGAACAGATTACTTTTTTAGATGAAATTATGTTTACGTTAAATGTCATAGTTATAAAGTAAATCTATACTAAGATCACTATATACTGTATCATTTATAGCGGGTTATGCCGGCGGATGGTGTGAGGAAGAGGAAGAAAGCTTGCCATGTATGAATGACAAAAATACTTTTTGCGCCGATAATATATGCTTGTGTGTACCAGGATCTCATTTAAGAGCAGGAAGATGTGCTTTAGGTAATTTATTTTTATAAGGCAAAAGTTGTGAGTATCTTTTTATGAATGTTGATAACAGATGTGTACTTTTAAATTCAGATCATTATCGATGAAAGTACAATTAGCCAATAGGCTGGTATAACATAAAGTAGTTTGTGCATTTTGAATACAGCTTGTTTTCACGCGCATTTTATTATTTTCAGATGAAACCCTTGATGGAATATGTGTCGGAGTTGATGGCAGCACGTGTAAAAAGGACAGAAATGCTGAATGTCAGAGAGGTGTTTGTGTGTGTAAAAATAACACAACTCCAGCTGACGGAGTTTGCAGATCCGGTACGGTATACAGACTTGAAATTCTAAATCCCGATAAGACATCAGTGAAATACTCTTCTATAAAATACATTTTAATTGATATAATTATAAGAATAGTGTACTACTTGTAAATATATTTGAAATTTTACAAGCACACATAAAAAATTATATGAACACCATTACGTCATGCATTTAATGTAAACTTCGGTCAATGCAAAAAAGTTTGTGATTTATACGAGTTTTGTTATCGAATATAAATAAGTGTTTTGATGATAGAAATTATTTCTCGCATAGATGAAATGTATGGCGGGCGATGTGCAGCCAAGAGCGGTCAGCCATGTTTAAAAGGAAATAACACAGAGTGTGTGCGTGGCTTTTGCAGGTGTATCTACGGTGCTAGCGCTATAGGAAATGTATGTGTATTAGGTGAGCATTTTATTTACTAAATAACGTTACTTCGTTTAAAATAAAAAAAATCAACTATATGTGTTTGTATGCGTGCAACGCAAAACAAGACTCTAGTCACATGTTTCGAAATTGGTGGTTTTCATCCGTCTACAGATGTTCTGTATTTCTTGATTTTTTTTCAACTCCCCAAACCAAATACATGTCAACTTTTTTAACGAGATGAGCGAAACCTCAAAAATATTTTACCTAAAAATACGAAAATTATTATGCTAAATAAACAATGCTTTGAACGTGATTCTTTTGTAGATGAAACATACCATGGAAGATGTTCCGGGGATCATGGTGACACGTGTGATCTTGATGACAATGCTGAGTGCTGGAATAAACTATGTATATGTAAAAATAATGCTAGTGTTATAAATGGAAAATGCGAAATTGGTAAGAATGGCCAAATCATGTGTTAAAGAGTAGGACAAACATAGCTTATATTACAGCAGCGGATTTGATAATGTTTGAATCACGTATAACATTCTAACACTTGCAATTGAATACGGATAGAAAATATATATCAAATATTAACAATTCTGTTATGTTTCGGTTATATTGAAGTTACTTTATAAAGTGAAACTTTATATCTAAAATTATTCATTATGGATTAAACTATACAATATGTTATCAGGAGCATTATCATTCGAAATGAAACAAACAATAACATATATGCAATGGACAATTAAACATTTTTCTCGAATTTTAACACGTATAATAACTACTGGCCGGCGGACTGTTTAAAAAATGAGTGAAAAATTTACTTTATTTGAAAGAGTACAACACATATTTTTCATTTTATGATACTGACATTGATAGTTCTCTAATTAGAACATTTATTGTAATTGAGACTGGGTTTTTTTAGTTTTAAATGTTTTGGCTCCGTGATTTATTGTATAAAATAAATTTAAGCATGTCATCGATTACTTTAAATAGTCATCTAAGGTAAATTGCCAAGTTACAGTTTATCTGAATTTCTGTCCTGGTTCCTTGAACTAACCATTTCTGGTGTCATTGTTTGGAAACATGGTCATTATTGGCACAATAAACCACTGCTCCCTTTGTGTACTCGATTAAAAACTAGCTTGTCCTTCTATAGAATTGATAAGATTAAAATGGGGTATTAACTGAGAATAAATTATATTTCGCTTTTTTCCATATCATCAGTAAAGCAAAAATATTATGACTCGATCATGATCATTGTGATTTAGTTCGTATCCTTTGAATTACAGCAAATCATTCACTTTCTTATCAATATTTAATAGTAGGAATCAAACATTATCTTAATTTAATGTTTCATAAACTGTTTTAACTTTTTACAGATGAAACTCTAGGTGGTAAATGTTTTTCTGAAGATGGTATTTCATGCAATGACGACAAGCTCGCAGTGTGCATGAAGGGAGTGTGTGTTTGCAAGAACGGCACTACTAATGTTGATGGAGAATGTATTACGGGTATATCTGTTTAAAGCATTTTTCAGTGTTGCTTTCTTTTTTCTTTTCTTTCGATCAAACTGAATCTGCAAATTTCAGGTAATTTTGTTGTTTTAATGCTTCCGAAGGATAACGCTTTTTTCCAGATTTTTTTGTGGACCAAAAGCAGTAAATTTCTTTTTTATTTGAATTCAACAGACGGGTCTTTCCAAGGTCAATGCATAGAAGGGAACTGCAGTGATAAGAATCTTGTATGCGAATCTAACATTTGTGTGTGAAGTAATACTATGTACAAGGGTAAGCTGCCATAAATGCTTATCAATATAAATTTCAACATTAATTTTCTTTATCTAAAATTCCAAATTGTTATCGAATTTGACTGTTTTACATGTATTAGTTTTTCTAAATATATTACAGTTTATTTTTTTTTTACAATTTTTCTCTTCAGATGATGTTTGTGTAGTTGTAGTATGAACATATTTATAATTGCCTCATTGTCAAATATGATAGTTGTAAGAAAGGAAAGAATTAAACTTTAAGTCATGAATGCTTATGGATATTTATTATTTTCTATTTGATTTTATTGACATTTTTATGACTACACACATTCATAGCTTGTAGATGACCTCTATTAGTGTTTGAGATCAATTTTAGGGTAACCATAACATTTTATGTGCATTCCTTGTCCCTATCAAGTAACAAAACGCATGGCTTATTCCTTCTCAAGTTATATCGATTGGACAAGAAATTTAAATTTATCGTCATTATGACCCTGATCTTTGACGCAATAATCTTAAAATCATTAAGTGCCATCTACTGATCAGGTGCAATGTCCAGATTAGGTAATATAATCCATGACTTATTCCTTCTCAAGTTATTTATCAGACAAGGATTTTCATGAAGTGTCATGCTTACCTTGACATTTGGTCTTTTGACCTTAAACATCTATAAAGGTCCTCTACTGGCTAAAGGCAATATCCCTAGCAAATGGTTTCTCGTACACACGAGATAAATAAAAAAACACACACACACGCTCGCACGCACACACACATGTCACATCTGTGCCACCGTACATCATCGTTGATAAGGTTATATCTTTTTCACAAGTATAGTTTTCTATCTTATACTTACATAGAGTCAAGTAGTTAAAAGATTGATATTACCCAATATTTTCTTTTCATATTAAATCATTTATAATAAACAATGTATTCATACTCAATAAGATTTCTTATTCTATTTCAGGTTGAGATGATACTATTTAAGAATGGCAATTTTAAATTTGAAAATGTGCAATAACAAGAATAATCTCTTTTGTCTCAGACTTTTTCCACTTACATATCAGATTCAATCAATAAAAAAATAATGTTCATTGCAACAATGGAAGCAAGTGGAATTCATCTAACAGTGTCACAATCTTTGACATTGAGACAAATGTTTGATATACAAACTTTATCAGGAAAAATATTCATATCACTTGAATCAAAATTATTCACTTTGATATGTATTTTATTTTGCATTTTTGTTTTATTTATTTTCTCCATTACTTATACTTATATGATGCGGAGTTTCTCGACATTAATGAAAAAAAATCATTCATTTTCAACTGGAATATACGGGCAATATTTAGTCATAATTATTTCACATAATAACCTAAACTGTTTACATTTTTGACATCCATGACAAAAATTATAAAATGTATAACATAATCAGTAAATATTGTGCAATTGTATGTGATCTTATTTTACGTGTTTCTTTCAATAAACAAATATGATAATTTACACTTTGTTTTATTTCGAACTTAGACCATCTTTATAGCCCGTTGAAATCCTTTCGGCGGCCACCACCTTTTCAAGCATTTTCATAGAGACCCCCTACCTCAAAGTGTCGCCTCTCAGTCCGTATAGGCAGTTACTGGTGATGTTTCAACCCTATGACATTCTGATTTAGTGGTGTGTGACATAAAAGCGCGCGTCAGAGCACGCGATTTCAGGACGTGACGACATGCGCAGGCTGTTATGGTGATGTATGCGCGGCTAACTTAAAAAAAAAAAAAAAAAAAAAAAAGAAACCGGAAGTATAAACGCAGTGCAGCTGTCTCCTACATGGTTAACTTTGTGTTTGTTCCCCACCTTGACCATTTATCTGTTCGAAAAATATAACATTTTGGCAGGAAAAGTCACGTGACACGCACCTGGTGAGAAACATGTGTTGGCGGTAGAATTCAAATTTCCAATTTTGTCAAATTCGCACGCAAACACGTCTTTAAATGGAAATAGCGGTGTTCGAAATTCGTCCTTGACCTTGATCACGTGACATCCTGTATTATGCCATGCATATGTTTCAATGTTGGAGCCTAATCCAAATTTGAGGAATTAATATGGAATCTACGCAAGCCCAAAAGTGCCACCTTCGCGAATACGTTTTATTACGTTACAGCTGCTGAAAGGATATATCTCGTATATAGCGCACATGTATAATTATGAAATAATAAGAAATAAATTAAACAGTACCAGTAGTACACCGATATTTGAAAGTGTCCACCAAATATCAACTATTCAAAATCTAAAAATTTCAGTGTCACTGAATTCATGTCTTACTAATTCTATAACACTTAACTTTGCCGTGTCGGGCTTTCTTTAGGGATTCTGCTTTTCTTTCTTTTAACTAAGCATAATCTATAGCTGAACTTATTTAATACTTTTTTTAAGTTAGTGTCTAAGGAAGTCAAACGTGCTCTTTCTACAATGGATACGAAATTAATTTCCTTGATATTTTGTAAATGTGATGATGCCATTCAAAGCTTTAAAAATGAAAAGCTATATCATATTTAATCAATAATTATAATGAAGTTAGATTTTTTAGTTAGATAGTTTTCCAGAAAATGGTGCTTTTACGAAATTTCATATACAATTTACATACAGAAAGAAAAATTAGCTGATCAAGAAAATCGTCATGCCATGCGGGTCCCTTGAGACCATTTGCCTTAGCTAATAACTTTGTACTTTATATTGATGTAAAAAAGGAATAAAACATGATGTAGTCTTTATTACGGGAACAATAAAATATTAGATTCTATAACGTACGAAATGAATCCAAGTTTGCAGAATGGCGTTGTTTGATTAATACTTTGTTTGTTTGCTTGTTTTAGTACGAAACTGATGAGGACATATGTCAGTCAAATGTCAGCATGAAGTTGGAACTTTCTTCTTTACTTGAATATGGTTTCTCTAGCACAAAAAAATCTAAGCATTTAATCGGTTATTAAAGATGATTGAACAAAAGGCGAGGAAAATAATCAATGTCAACAAAAAGCTGATATTTACTTCATTTCAACTATAGTGAAAGCCAGTTCTGAAGTAAATGACACAAATCAAACAAATATCTACAAAGTAATAGTCCCCCACTTAACGAATGTTTGCAGTGTCTATGTAGCAGATGTTACTTGTTCTGTGTAATATTGATACTGTAAACCCGTAAACTGAAGCACAAATAAACCCAACAAAAAGACCTTTGTTAAAGAATTTTCGTGCAATCAGAGAAGTTTTCCAGAGACCAGTAGGGTGTATGATAAGGTGAAGATTTTATCCTAAACATAGGTTTGAAAAAAAAGACAACCAAACGTCACATTTTGAATTTTGACAGATTTAATGGCCCTTTTCTTACCGACTGCTCTTTTATTTATTTTCAAAGACGGTGCTTGGGGGGACAGTAAGTATGATTTAACGAAAATACATGTACTCAAAACACCAAGTTTGTAATATTTTCATTTGGCCGTCTTGGACAATATCGTCTTGGACAATATTCAAGGTTTCTTTTTTTAATTTTTATAGACAGATGGCGATTGTTCAGTTTCTTAATCATTATATTATCAGCATCAACATAACACGGAAAGCGATACTAACATCACAAATTTATAACAATTATGCCGTGAAATGTATGATGAAACTTAAAATATGTATAGATTCTTTGAAACCATAAGAACTTGTGAAATTATTTCATAAAGATTAAATTTATTTCTATTTTGTCGTTTCATATAAAAGATACATGCCTGCCCTGGTCGTACCACCATTAGTTTCTGTAACATTGCATTGGATGTTGAACAGTAAAAATGATAATAATTTACTAAATCCCTGTTAAACAGTACGAAAAAAACATTTAAGATTCTACTGGATAACGGAGTGGCAATTTACCAACCGTAACACCACAGCTATTATTCATAATAACCTCGGACTTCATGACGGATGTAGAAAGTAGTTCTATAACCACGTTTTAATCTTCGAACATGCGTAAAGAATGAATATATTTAGTATCCAAAGGAAAATAAAGTCTGTGATTTGATTTAAACATATTTTATTGCCAAAAATAAGACATATACATACATGTAGACAGTTACAATACAGTGACATGACATATTTGGCAAAAGGGTTGACCCACAAGTTCTCTCAACATTAGCAACGGGTCTTCCCTGATGCAATAAATTACAATAACTTATTTTACAAGAATGATCAGTTAGATAGAAGTAACAAAACTCACACATATATAGTACTTGGCTTTAAAAATAATTTTAGGTAAGAAAGAACAATAAAAATGATTGGGTGTACATGTTCTCTAGCTTGAATGGTATTTAACGATGTTAACTGATTTGTATATATTTGCGTTACAATAACTTAGAAAACATGTTCATTTGCCGAATATAACAAAAACAAAAATAGATTTTGAGAAGATGAAATATAGAAGAAAAAAATAGAAGAATAAAGGAAAGAATCTTGTTTATTGTTTTGCAAAAATGAAAGAAAAATACATTAATATTTATTGGGATTGTGCTGGTTTGTTTTCAAAATCAAAAGCGATTGCTTACTTTTATGAAATGCTGAACAGTCAAAAATATTTTATTATTATTTTCTAAAGACAACTCTTTGTTACCAACTAAAAGTAATTGGACATTTAAAGGGTGAAATTGCCTTAATTCGTTAAAAAGATCAATTCTCTCATTTCGATATTTCGGACAAGTAAACAAAAAATGGTTAACATCTTCTATCTCATAACCGCACGAACAATTTGCATCCTGTGACAAATGATTGCAGAATAAGTGGAAATTTAAGTTACTGCATGCATTTCTCAGTCTGCAGTGTAAACCGAGAGTTTTCTTTCACCTGTAAGGTACCATTTTGGAGTGTCTGTAGATCGAAAGGTTGATTTCTTTAATAGAGATTTAAAATGTGACAGAGTTTCTACAGATCTTGTTTCAGGTTGCAAGTTGTTCCATAGCATTACGGACGAAGGCACAAAAGAAGAAGAAAATATATGAGTCCGTCTGTTTAAAGTTGCAAAGTCTTCTGAGTTTTCTAAGATTGTATGGTGTTGTATTATGAACTCTTTCTGGAAAAATATTACTTAAATAATCAGGAACGTCTCCATTATGAATTCTATATGTTAAAATAAGTTTTTGGTACGTTCTTCTATCAGATAGTGAGAGCCAATTAATTTCTTTATATAAATTTTGGAGAGAAACTGAACGGGTTAGGCCGCTTACGATTCTGGCTGCCTCATGCTGTATTTTATCTAACGTATCTTTTTCATAATTTGTACACCCATCCCAGACTACAGAAGCATATTCTAAAAGAGGTCTAAGAAATGAAATGTAAATTTGGTTTAGGGTTTCCCTGTTAAGGGAATATTTCAGTTTTCTCATTGTACCTAGTAATTTAGAAGCCGATAATGTTATACTTTTAATATAAAGTATGTTTCGGTAAGAGATTGATTAAAATTATGTCTGAAGTTCATCATCAATTAAAAAATACCAACAATTTTAGACAACATGTAGACATTTTGTATTTCGGTTTCTGCAACTACATGTACATGTATTATAATAGGTATATTAGATTATACACTGTTTATTTATATCTATATATTTAATTAATTTAGATGGACTCTTATCTATATTGGGTAAAACTTTGTGTAAAATTACTATTTATTTACGTGTATAGTTTCTCAGTGTAGGTTAAACCTAATTACTGTATCCGTTCAGTGTATCCTTAATATTATATACAAGGTCATTATCCAAAGTTTGACGAGAAGGGCCGATACTAAAGGACAAATTATATAGATGTGCATGTACATGCTAAAGTAAAAAATCCTTAAGTTATCTATGGAAGATAACATTTTTTATCCTTTATATGCATAGTCTTTTAAAACTTAAATGACAACTTTATCTTATAGTACGTTCTTTAATGTGTTTTTTTCTATGCCCCCGAAAGGTGGCATATTGAAATCGAACCGTCCGTCAGTCTCTCAGTCTGTCAGTCCGTCATTCCGTCCGGCTTTATACATATAGACAGGGGTGATCGTGTCCGCTCAGAAACTTTAGTATGCATGAATGGATTTACTTTTCTCTAACATATGAAATAACCATAGATGTATGGTGTGTCGCGAACAAGCCTTGGGTTTCTACGAGTTAGGTCAAGGTCACTATGGGGGTTCAAATTTTGTCATTTTTATGAAGGTGGTGGATGTGTCCGCTCTGAAACTTCGGCATTCATGAAAGGATTTTAATTTTTCTTTCACATATGAATTTACCATAGATGTATGGTGTGTCGCGAACAAGACACTGGGTTTCTACGACTAGGGTCAAGGTCACTGTGGGGGTTCAAACTTTGTCAATTTTGATGTTAATATACGCATATAATAGGCAGAGATGCTCTGAAACTAATATGCATGAAAGGATTATATTTTTTATTTCACATATGAAATTATCATAAATGTATGATGTGTTGCCCTAAAGACCCGTGTTTCTACGCCTTAGTTCAAGGTCAGTTCTTGGGTTTAAACTTTTTCAATACTTATGTTATATACATATAAATTGTGGTTGTTGTGTCCGCTCTGTAACTTCCATAATTATACATGAAAATTTTAATTTTTATTTATCTAACTATTTTCTTTGTCTAACTTAAAGGTCACTGCTGGGGTTCGAATTTTGTCAATTTTTACCACCACACTTTACATGTAACTAGAATCCTTCGGGGGCATTTGTCACGTTCTATGACAGCTCTTGTTTGAACCTTTAACACAAACCTGTTATTGCTAATTATGGCTGTAGTGTTGCTGTTTGAATGCAAATAAAAGCTATTTGCATTTAGTAAGTTATTGTAGTCTAAGTTCGCTCACATTACAGGTTTAACTAAAGAGTAATCACTACTTCGATGATCGATACATCATCAATGATCATTTATAAAGGACCAATATAGACTAGTACAACAAGTAAACTTTATTTATGTTTTAGACAGCTTATGGAAATACCGGCGGGCTTTTATAAAAAAAATTAAATGTTTTCATGGCAGGGATACCATTTCAAACGAAATGTTTTTGGTTTTTTTTCTGTAAAACGTTAGTAAGTGTAAGACTATTACAAAAATTACTTTTATGAATATGAAAGAATTCAATGCAGGAAAGTGGACTAGATCTTCTAACTCTTTTTGTTAAAGTTTGTTTGCATTTGTGGAGTCTGATTAGGGAATAAAGCAACTATAAACAGACGTAGGAATATGATATAAATTACTGAAGCTTCAGCGTAAACTTTACGAGGCGGCTTTCATTAGATCGCTAACATCAAATATTTCCAAATAAATATTCAAATTGGCTCCTGAAGAGAGTTGCTCTGCAGAACTTTAAATGTAGTAGCTTTCAATGAAAAAGATATCACTCTGATATTTTTATTTGATAAAATTTATAGAAAAAAATAGTTGCACATTTGATTGATAATATATAAAACAATGATACCTTTTTGCCGAAAGTAATGACTATTTGATCAATTTCAAAGATATTACAATCCCATAAAAACGATTTCTATGCAAATTTTTATAGCCTTTAGTAAGTTATAAATAATAGAATCTACTTTTATTTCAGATTTTTCTGTTTGCTTTTAGCTTTAAGAGCGTACTTTTAAATTGATTTATCTTTACACAAAAGTAATATACATTACATGATGAAAACTATAGTATAACTTAAATACACAGTTAACGCCTTCGTTTCCCTTCACTGGGAATGCATAATAATGCTCGTATTTATACAATTTATCAAATAAACTAAAATACCCGACGTTTTTGTAAAACATATTTGGCTAGTATGCATATTTATTACATGTATGTATCTTTACTATTCGTTAAGTGGTTGATATGGAATTGATGCATATATCTCTCATAACTATGAAGCATTAAATGAGTCAAATGAGTGAAAATCGTTATTAAGTCGAATATAAAGGTGCCTCTAAATCAATTGTATTAGTATTTATTAGGACCTAAACATCTTCGGTACGTATTTTCATTGTTAATTTCTTTTTCTTAAAATGAGAATGATAATGTAAAATGCTATATACAAAGTGTTATTAGTTCTACGAATACATTACTGTTATGTTTACACAAGACCTATTTGCTCATATAAAATAAATTCAATGCTGGTCATACAATAACCTCGATGGTCTGTTCTGGTTAGTTCAATAAATGTGCGACTTCCCTGAAGCCCCTACCTCCCTGGCTCTGGTCGTTCAATTTCAACACTGAAAATGTTGGTTTCAAAGAAATATTGATTTACATCGCGTCAAGTACTATTCTTAAGCTTATACAGTGGTAATTATTTCATATTAACAAATAGAATATTTCTTTGTTAAAACATACATTTTTTTTTCTGAACACCAAAAAAGCAGGTCGTCATTTTAATTTAGTTTGTTAACATTGGATAAATATATCTGATGCGGTTCATCAGTTTTGAGTGTAGTAAGAATAATGTCATGTTTGACACCACTTATCCAGTTTGAATAAGTAAAGATACCTCATAGATAAATAAAAAACCACTATCGTTTGGACTTCAAAATTGATACATTATATATTGCTATTATCATTAAAGTTAAATTCTTGTTGGTGAAATCTATTTTAAGTAGATGTTTAATGATTTAAGGTTTATGTTTGCAGAGAGGACAGGAATATTTTGTTGAGATTGCACTGCCTACAAGATCAACATAGCTTTTATTTTGATTTCCTGCTCGAGTAAACAACACAAGAAGGGTATATTTTTTATTAAAGTTATCGGTATTTAGTATAATCAAATAAATAAAAAATGTAACACGAGAACTCTATCTCTCCATGAGAATATGTTAATGTAATTTATATATTTACATTCACTTCCCCTCCATATTTAGATCATTAGATTTTGTAAAATGTATTGTGACAGGATTATGTTGTTTGACGACTGTATATGTTCATATGTATTTACATATTGTAAACTCAGACAATATATTTGAATTGCATTGGATTGATGAGTACTCGTACATTGTTTAATATAATATTCAATCATAAAATCTTTTTTACAGTGCAGAACCTTTGACAAAATGGACTTTAAATCAGGTTTAAATTCAATTCTGTGGATTTTCATTTTACCAAACATTTACGATGCACGTGACGAGGATCCTGGAGGTAATTGAATTTCTTAAATGTTTTGCTTGGTTATATAAAACATGAAACTTTAACATGTACATTGTATTTATTTATTATCATTCAGTAATTTAAATGTTGCCGTTGCTAGTGCAATTTCTTTCGACTAACTAAGAAAGATATTACATGAAGTCATCAAACGATGCTTATCTATAGCAATATAGTAATTATTTAGCTGTTAGTTACAAATGTATATGGAAACTAACTGAACCTCTTCTTTGCTTCGTAATGATAATTCATGACATCAACTGGATACATAATATTTCATTGATAGTGTAATATGTATATTTTGTTTATCAACAACTCGGAGTTTTAAATACTTAAAATCTAACAAAACTATTTATGGCGAGGAAACAAACAATTGATACACAATATATAAACTAGATTTACAAAGATATAGATAATAAAGTTCAGAAATCAAGTTAACAGTTTCATTTAGTGGGCCTCTAAGATCTGTGTTTTCTTTGTTCAAATCTCAAACAATTACACAATATCATTTACTGTTATTTCTAGAAGTTTATGTCATTATTTTACACATTTTGTAACATACACTATATCTGATAAGAGACAGTGTATTGCATTTAAGTAAAAAAAAATAGTTTTACACAGTTTATTTGGGAACTTTCAGATCTTTCTATAACATCTTTTCAAGGTATTGACATTGGATACAGCTGTAAATACGACGCAGAATGCAAGAAAGGAAACGAATGATTGTTTTCAAAATGTAACCAGGCATTGAATGTCTGTATATGCACAATAAATCATTTAGGTATGAATAAAGTTTGCCCCCAAGACTACGTAAAATAAATAAAATACTAAAAAGAAGAAAATATAAATGCGATGGTTTTGTCTCGTTAGAATCAGTCTGTGAACTGAGTAATTATTAACACAGTGCCGTAAATAAATTCCGTGAGGGAGTTTGCAAATCAGGTCCAGGAAAAGACTAAATGACCAATTTGTTTTCATTGACCTATTTTCATCGAAGTTAAAAATGAACGCTTTAATTCATGTGTGTTATATAATATTTCTTTGTAAGATTTTAGTATTTTAAACGTTTGCTATGTTTTGCTTCTGTTTTAATAAGAAGGAATCACTCGCTCGCTTACATTTTTCCGTAAAACTGGACAGATATCTCCAATCACAAGCAATCGTTTAAATTAGCATTTTATGTATGAATCTAACGCATGTATTGTATCATTTTCTAGGAGAAGATAAATGTATGCCCGACAGCGGTAAATATGAAGGCTTTTGCAGACCGAGAAGCCTTTATTCTAAACCAGGATTTTGTACACTAGAATGTTCACCTAAAAGTAAAACTGTTTATAAGTAACAAACAAAACTATTAATCAATCATTACTAAGAATCCCACCATTTGTATCAGATTTGGTGATGTATTACAGCTGTTTTCATAACTTTTGACTCGTGTTTTGAGTGTTCATCATTATCGTATTACAACCATTTACATTACACATTCGTTATGTTTCCACAGATCAGTACAAATGTTTTGATGCTCCTGTTATACCTGCTGAATTTGTCAACTAGTATCGCATCACAAATTCTTTCAGACAAAGTGTTAATCTATAGGGTAGGAGGTGATTGATCACTTCGTTTATAGGAGAATATAATCAGCACAAGTATGAAGTAATGCTCATGAAAGTAAACCTCTGACATTAATTGAACATTCTCTTGTCTTTCTATGACATTGCAGTTATAACTTAAACTACATAAAACAAAGAAATGTCCTCCAAAAACTTCAAGTGTAACGCAATAATGTTTTCATCTTAGTAGAATTTTGATAAATAAGATTGTAAATAAAATGTATTGCTGGTCACCTTTTACATGCTTCGTTATTCACTTTATTCAAATAATTAAACAGAAAAGTTATATACAAATGTGCAGAAGTAAGACTGTATGAAAAGTAGTTCTTCCTTCTGTGGAGTTTATAGCGATATTTTGTTTTAACATCTCCACATAGATAAATCCCCGTGAAGGTGAAGGTAGGGCCGACGTTGTATGGGTAGATGCTAAAGACGTAACACTGTCAAACTGGTTAAGATACGGTAACACTCCAATTAATGCCGAAATGGAAAACCTTGTAGCATTTCAGTATAAAGGTATAATAACATAAATTAAAAGTACATGTAATTAAATAGTTTGATATTCTTTTGGTACAAAGAAAAGCGAGAAGAGTATTATCATTTAAAAGTTTCAATTATTAACATCTGTAAACCGGAATATCCATTGGAAGCACTAATAGAGAGAAGGAAATTGTAAAACAGGCTATTACTTTGTTTCAATGGGTATGTTCAGTAGAGATAGTAGATAGTGTAACATTTCACACACACGCTAACACCGGCTTAATTGAGATATTAAATATCTTAAATTTCCCTACGATACCTTCAGTGATAATATGTTTATTCTATGTTCATGTCAAAATTATCAAACTGAGTCTTTTTTTCCCGAATATATAATTTTAGGTGAAATGTTTTATCAGGCGTTCAGACCTATACAACCTGGGTCAGAGCTGTTTGGTATGGAGACTCGTATGGTGAATTTTTAGAAACTGAACCATTCGATCCCCCGAGATATTATTATGCAAAATGTAAGTACAATAAGTTCATAACATTTAGCGGTTAATGTTTGTCAAATTAGCCTTGTATTTCAGGAATAAAAACAACAAAAGCAACAAAGCACAAAAAGCTATCATAACATTACATGGGATAATCTAAGAAATGCAAAAAATGTCATCATTTATGTTCTGCTCCGTTTGTATTTTTTTCAGTCATTTTCACTTGATCTGATTAAAGTGATATTATGTTTATTTGTTCGATATAAAGTTGAGCTTAATTAGTTAAGTATTTCAATAGAATGACTATAATGACCATGGCCAAATATTAATGGTAAGAATGAAATTTAAAAAACTGCCTTAAATAAAAAAGATTGTCCATATTTTTATACATGGAATGTTTCAGATACATTCTGAAGGATATTTCAACGAGTCACGTGGGTTATTGGTTATTTCTGAGAAGTCGAATACAAAATTTTAAAAATTATTGTACCTCTTAGATGGGCATAATGTCACTGTAAACTATTGTCTCGGTTGTATGTTAACGAGAATGATTATATTGAAATTTCTTCAGTTATTTTAAATAATAGATATCCAATATTTCAATTTATGTAACAGTCGGTTCATGTCATGACGAGGACGAAGGGCTTCCATGTGTTCATGATGATAACACAATTTGCGCAGATAAATCTTGTTTCTGCGTTTCTGGGACTCACGTGAGAGCGGGCAAATGTTTTAAAGGTAAACTCGGTTCAATTAAGATGGCGGACATAATATTACATGTACCGGTAAAATACATGTAAATATAAAGAATAGCTCGATGTCTGTAGGTTAAATCAGGATAGGAATAACACAAACATACGAATGAGTATATCTAATTCATATGTTATTGTTTGCACACATTTACATTTTAAGTGCCCAAATTAAAGTAGGAAACCCAAAATTCACCGTTTTAGGATTTGAACCTAAATGATATCTCTTTCAACAATATTTCGGACATTTTAATAGAAATGGTATAATTTATTAGATACTCTAAGTATCGTACATACATGCATTATGTTCAATTAAAGACTAGAAATGGTATAAGTGTAGAAACTTTATTGAATACTTACAACACACATATATCGTAATAACCCTCATGCATTTTTTAATATGAATATCCACATTTAGTAGTTTCTAATACGTTTGTTTTGTTGTTTTTTCGGTGAAGAATTGAACGTATACATATCATTGACATTTACTTTGAATTTACATCTCGGCACAGTTCGTTCTTATAAATAACAAAGTATTTTCAGATGGAACATTTGGTGGATTGTGTAGTGAGCTCAACGGTGAAACGTGCCAGCTCGATGCGAACGCTGAGTGTCAGAAAGGAGTTTGTGTTTGTAAGAAGGATTCTATCCCATCTAATGGAATTTGTACAGCAGGTATATTGTCAAAATAATATTCAAATCAAATTATAATGAAGTAAATAGCAATAAAAGTGTCATTGTTTGAATATTCACATTCTTGAGATCTTTTTATTACTTTTGACAGAAATTATTACCTTAACATTCTTTTGTTTGTTTCACGTTGGGCCCAACACAAAAATAAAATGTTACCTATTCTATCTTTGTATTTTAAGTCAAATTTTAATAAAAACATTCAGTATCACTATATTCATTTCCTAAGAGTCATGTTTATATGAAGCAAATGTAAACTTTCTTGATTACAATATTAGAGGAGATGTTTGGAGGACGGTGTCGAGGTAAAGATGGACAGACTTGTATGAAGGATGATAATGCAGAATGTGTGCACGGTTTATGTAGATGTAAATATGGTACAACTGCTATAGGGAAATTATGCCTGAAAGGTAAAATGATATTATTAAATGATATGTGCTGAATTTCCCATCAACATTTAAAATAAAAAATTAAGATTGCTGTAGTTTTGACAATAAAAATTGGATTAATTTTCTCTGCAAAAGACACTCAATGCTAAAAACCCTAAATAGTTGCAGATTTTATTCAAAGGTAAGAAAGTTTTTTTTTACCAAGCATTGGCTAAACTGGTGTTGACAGAATTGGAATATAAATGTTGTGAAGTCATGTACAAATCTATTTTGTAAGCAGTATTTCACCACAGCTTTGAAGAACAGAAACTAGCAAAACAATTTCAGGTGAACACAAACAGTGTTCTAAGCCATATCAACTTCCATCAGATTGTTCCTTAACATCGAAATATGAGCCAACCAAGAAATAAAATTCAAGAATTCATATATGTTCTATGTTATGTTTTTAATTATTTATTTCTCATGATAAAGATGAGAGCTATCAAGGTAGATGTATCGGGGATGATGGCGACGCATGTGTGAATGACCAACACGCTGAATGCTTGGACAAGGTCTGTGTTTGCAAGAAAGGGGCAAGTGCAGTCAATGGAAGTTGTGTTTTAGGTAAGACTAAAAAAAACATTTAAATTATAAATCAACTTTTGTAGTTTATTTTTCTACACAGATTGTTAAAATGATTTTAATATTAGTTTATTGTTAAAAAAAGAGTATTTCTGGATATAAATTGGATTTCTTTTCCATAACCTTAATAGTTTGCTTGTGATTTCATCAGATGAAAAATATGGTGGTAGATGTTGGAATGGCGAAGGCACACCTTGTAGACTCGACAAAAATGCTATTTGTATATCTGGTATGTGCACATGTAGATCTAATACCAGGATTATGAATGGCATATGCCGTATAGGTGAGTACATGGCAATAGATTTAATAATGATATAACAGTGATATTCGTTTGCTTTAAAGTATTCTTAGATTAGTTATGGTTGTAAGTAATACAGTTGCAGAAAAATATGCTTCCTGTAAAAAGAAATTACATTCCAACTGGATAAGAAAACCAACACTAATATAATAACCCGTTTCTTAAAATCTTTTACTGTTAAAATTATTTATAAATTGTCTTTGAGGTGGGAGGAGAGGTTTTTTCTTCCACATATATTTTATTAACATATACTTCATATAAAAGGCAATCTGACAATTTGACGAAAATGTTTACATATTACATGTCTTAGATGGTGCCCCGGAAGGTATGTGCGTAAAAGGCAATTGCCATGGGAAGAATGTTGACTGCGACTCTATGTCAAACACGTGCAAATGTAAGGTAACACATTTTCCGTACGCAGGGAAGTGTGTGAAAAAGTAAAAGGTATGATACTCATAATCAGAAAGTTCACAAATTTCCTCTGATTTTAACTTCGATGTTTTGGACATAATTCTTTTGCAAATTTGTTTTGGCTCAACTGTGTTGAAAACTTAAATATAGAAAAGATGAAGTTCAGTAATTGTCTCCTACATGAAAAACTATAAATATGATATTGTTGTATTATAACACTGTTATGACGATAAACTTTATATATAAAATATTCCGTTTAAATGTAAAAACGTCCAAAAAAAAGTTTGTATATTTAAATATAGAAACAAAGACATTAAATTCTAGGCTGCAAGAAATCCATAAAATAAGATGTGCAATACCATAGTTTCACAGGCACAGCATGATCTATTAATCATCTACGATTGACTAGAAAAAAGAGGAAAATGTTTGATGGAAAAAAGCTAAAGCAATGGGCATTCAATAATGGAAGACTCATGAATGAATGAAAGACGGACTTTTAAGAACTGCGTTTGTATATCAATGCATCAGGAACTGAGCAGAATATTCTATTCTTTATGTAGGAATTATCGTATGTAATATTCGCTAATTAATCAAATTTATTATTTTGAGGCCAAATGTTTGATGTCAAAACAAACATGAGTGCACTAACAAATGTATAATGATCTCTTTTTCACATCATAAGTTATTTAAACGTTTTAACACTATGTTTTTCTTTAAAAAAATGTTGAGCTTTTAAACATTTAGATTTAACCTTTTTAAATGTGAAATAAAGGAGAGTTTTTAATTTTTTATGAAATATAAAATTCAGTATCATTATGATGTTTAAATGAACACACTTGGTTTTTTACTTTAAAAATTAAAACCATTTTTCGTTGCCCAATTTTGAATTTTATCTAAATTTTGTTGAGGTTAAGATACTTTTGGTATATAGCATATGAGAAAATCGTTTAAAAATAAAGAGCGATCTACACAAGAATTAGGAACTATCGTCCAATTCAATCAAACCGAGTCTGCAGTATTTTCAGTTTTGCCGTGTTGGGTTTTCTATGGACATTCTGTTGTTGCTTTTTTCTTCTATTTTGATTTGTTTGTTCGGGACTCAGATACTGGAAACAAAGCGAGATAGAATACAATATAGATGGTAGCGAAATTTCAGACCCTGATGTGCTTATTTGCAAAAAACCGAAATTAGTCCAAACTCCTCGAAGCGGTTACTTCCCTTTATATGTACTAAAACGCCGAAAAATTAAGGGGAGATCACTGTGTAAAGATTGTCAAATGACAGGCTCATTAATTTTCAAGCATTCCCGGGGAAGATAAAATAGTTCCAGATTAGTCGAAGATTACTGATATTGTGTTATTCTTTATAGATATACATGTACATGCTTATATTAAGCTCCATGATTATTTACATCAGTGTTAAAACAACAGGTTTACCGTGAACAAAATATATCGAAATTAATAAGGGTTACAAACCCTAATTTAGAATAATGTGGTTTTCTTTAGGCCATTACCTTAAAACTTCTCCTTGGTCGAGGGGTTAACACGTTCGCATAGGAAGCGAGCGGTCTGGAGTTCAAATTCCAGTTAAGGCAACTCATGTTTTTTGTGTGTGTGTTTTTTTTAATTGTTTAAGCCAAATAAATATTGAATTGAACATCAGTGTTGCAATTAGTCTTAACGCATTCTTTGACTTGGGGACCATACGCCGCTTTTCATGAAATGACACTACTGTGTCACATTGAAGGTTCCATGATAACCGCCGTATGAACACATCTGCGGATGTTTCTAAATTCAAAATTCACCATTTTTTGTGTTAAAATGTTGAATTCTGCTTAAGCCGGTGCTAGGGGGCGTGGACGGTAACTTGCACTTTACAGTACCGTCCATGAACAGGCTCAATCCAACCGAGCCTGCAACATTTTCAATTTTGTTGTGTTGGACTTTCTTTAGGGATTCTGTTTTACTCTAATTTATAGCCAATTTACTATATTTATAACACTGGAAACTCAAAACCTTCAACTTTCTGACATTCTGAGACCCAAACAAATTCAGCGCCTTCTGTGATTTGATTATAATTGTGTCAGGAAATGATAAATGTATGCTCGACAGTGGTACCATTTTTATATTTTTGAAGACGAGCATGGATGTCTTATTAAACCACGATTCTGTAGACTTGAACCTTCAGCTAAATTTAACAATATCATTTGATAATTGCATTTGTAACATATTTATCTGAATCACATATGTAATCAGTACAGAACAGAACAAAACAGATACGTTTTTTTTGACTTGTACAATTAAATTATACATCGTCATACAAATATAATCAATTTTACAATACATATTAACATAAATCACAAGAGCAGATCTAAACATGTCCCTTTCATATCAATATAGAGGATGAATTTTTAATATGTTAAGTTGTATCTTCTATATCTAAGGTATTTCTATGAGACATCGCATCTCTTACATACAAGTATAAATTTAAAAGTATACTTTAATTTCAATTTATATTGTTTGATTTTAGTATATCAGTGAATTTAAGCATACTAGCTAGGTCTAGTATAATCATATATTTTTATATATATTCTTCTTATATCAATATAACAAGGACAAATTAAAATGAAATGGTATTCATCTTCGACGTCATGTAAATTACAACATAAACAATACTTTTCATTTCTAACAATTCTAATTCTATAATATTTACCAGTTTGCGCATGTAATGAATGAAAAGATATTCTAATTCTTGTCAGATACTTCTTTGGTATCGGGTATTATATCGAGATAATTTTCATAGGAATCTTTAACATGATTATACATATACAAAACAGGACTGCTCTCTTTACCAGAAACTAACTTTGTAAAAGAAACAGCCAATTACCCTTTGCTTAAATAGCGGTAAAAATATTTCACTTCTTAGGGAATCTGGAAAATCCCAAATATCATTAAAACCATGATTACATAATAACAATTTTTACCATTATGACAGTCTTCAAGAGCAATGTTATATACCTTTTTAAGAATGATATTATTTGTCTCAAGTAGTTTAGACCAAAATCTTATCATCTTGACATATCATAAAGGATAACGTGCAGGTTCACCATATACAGCAACATTACACGAATTAACTTTTTACATTTAATATCTTTTACAAAACTTCAGATGAATTGTTCCAATTTCCTCTGATTCAGTAAAGCCCGGCAGCGTAATTTAAACTGGAACGAACAAAAGAGTCAAAAAGCTTACATAACACTTTAGGGTTTTAACTGATATTTATTACAATTAATCAGTGGTACATTTAGAGCTTAATGAGCTTTACCAATCAATTGTTCTTGATTTAAATTAAAACTACCAGTATTACTAAATATTGTAATACCTCAGTGTATATAAAACAATTGTTTCCACAACAATCGTTATAAGGGCAATAATTGAAGAAGCCAGCGGTCCAAGCTATGATACAAAAATAATTAATCTATATATTCGTCCGTAAATTTCTGGCAATACAGGCGTCTCATGTAATAAGGGTGACGATGGATCTCCACGTGTTAGTTAGATTACACATGTGCAGATAACTGTGTTGCTGAAGTGGGAATATACATGTATCAAAGGTAAGTTATCGTTATAGAAAAGACACCAGACGCTTGCGACACTTATAAAATATTCATACCTTAAACCTAAGAATTACACATGATACTTTGATTTTTTAAAGTACTTTAAACTCCTTTGATATTATGGTTTCAAACGTTTTATAGTAAATCTAATTGATAAGAAAATATCAATAGTAATTCTACTGCATTAATACTTCCAGAATGGTAGTGGCACTTAATCCATAGTATTATTACAGGAGTGTTTGCTAGTCTAAGATATGGTTAGTTTCAGAATTAGAAGACACCCAATTTGAACTAAAATGATCAATAATAGATCATATGGTACAAGGCGTTTTATATATAAAAATGTGTGACAAATATTATTCTACTGAGACTCCATGTAGGTACTTACTCCCAACATTGCGTCATTTGGATTTTTAAGGGTATTTAAAAAAAACTATCATAGTTTATAAAGTGTTTGTAAATTTATATTCATCTTTTAAATCTATACAATTCATTAACATACTTATAAATAATAAAATGAAATTTCCTTTCATTCATATAATGTGTAATTATTAAGTGATTTTTTTTATTCAAAGTAAATGTGACTTTAACGCATGAGCTTTTGTGATACTAACAAGATAAGTATAGCTCTTATGTATTCATCTATATCACTGTCAGTATTATTGTTAACATTATTTATGTCGAGTAAAAAAAAACATTCAATTTATATCAACTTTCAAACTATATGTTTTGCAGAATCCCAGTATTTATGGTTAATGTAATTGTAAATACGCTCTGAAACTTCAGTATGCTATGCATGGAATGATTTTAATTTTTCTTTCACATATGAAATAACCATATATGTATGGTGTGTCGCAAACAAGACTCGGGTTTCTACGACTAAGGTCAAGGTCACCGTGGGGGTTCAAACTTTGTTATTTTTTATGTTATATAAATATAGAAGGTGGTAGTCGTGTCCGCTCTGAAACTTCAGTATGCATGGAAGGATTGCAATTTTTCTTTCACATATGAAATAACCATAGATGTATGGTGTGTCGCGAACAAGACTCGGGTTTCTACCACCAAGGTCAATGTCACTGTGGAGGTTCAAACTTTGTCATTTTTTATATTATATAAATATAGATCGTGGCGGTCGTGTCCGCTCTGAGACTTCAGTATGCATGAAAGGATATAATTTTTTTCCATATAAAATAACCATAGATATATGGTATGTCGCGAACAAGTCTTGGGTTTCTACGAGTTAGGTCAATGGGGGTTCACATTTTGTCATTTTTATGTTATAAAAATATAGAAGGTGGTGGTTGTGTCCGCTCTTAAACTTCGATATTCATGAAAGGATTGTATTTTTTCTTTCACATATGAATTTACCATAGATGTATAGTGTGTCGCGAACAAGACTCTTGGTTTCTACGACTAGGGTCAAGGTCACTGTGGGGGTTCAAACTTTGTCAATTTTGATGTTAATATAAATATAGGCAGAGCTGGTCTTGTCTGCTCTGAAACTAATATGCATGAAAGCATTATATTTTTTATTTCAAATATGAAATTATCATAAATGTATGATGTGTTGCCCTTAAGACCCGTGTTCCTACCTCTTAGATCAAGGTCAGTGCTTGGGTTTAAACTTTTTCAATACTTATGTTATATACATATAAATTGTGGTTGTTGTGTCCGATCTGTTACTTCCATATACATGAAAATTTTAATTTTTATTTATCTAACTATTTTCTTTGTCTAACTTAAAGGTCACTGCTGGGGTTCGAACTTTGTCAATTTTTACCACCACAGTTTACATGTAATAGGTGGTTTATAACTAGAATCCTTCGGGGGCATTTGTCACGTTCTATGACAGCTCTTGTTTGAACTTTTAACACAAACCTGTTATTGCTAATTATGGCTGTAGTGTTGCTGTTTGAATGCAAGTTAAAGCTATTTGCATTAAATAAGTTATTGTAGTCTAAGTTCGCTCACATTATAGTGCTAACTAAACAGTAATCAATACTTTGATGATCGATACGTCATCAATGATCATTTATCAAGGATCAATATAGACTTGTATAACAAGTAAACTTTATTTATGTTTTAGATTATTATTAGTTTACAGCTTATGGAAATACCGGCGGGGTTTTATAAAAAAAATGTTTTCATGGCAGGGATACCATTTCAAACGAAATGTTTTTTTGTTGTTTTTTTCTGTGATACGTTAGTAAGTGTAAGACTATTACAAAAATGACTTTTATGGATAGGAAAGAAATCAATGCAGGTAAGTGAACTAGATCTTCTAACTCTTTTTGTTAAAGTTTGTTTGCATTTATATGACTGTTTGAATATGGTACGTACGAGTATAGACATAATATTGATTAAAGTTGATAAATCTTGATTGATAAATAAGTACAATATTGTTCGCTACACAAGCTTCGTTAAAGAATGAATATAGATTTCTTTTCACTTCTGAACACATTTAATGTAAATGTGTTTTACATTTTCTTCTTTCCCAGAAGTGTTCGTGGAGTCTGATTAGGGAATAAATCAACTATAAACAGACGTAGGTATATGATATAAAAGACTGAAGCTTCAGCATAAACTTTACGAGGCGGCTTTCATTAGATCGCTAACATCAAATATTTCAAAATAAATATTCAAATTGGCTCCTGAAGAGAGCTGCTCTGCAGAATTTTAAATGCAGTAGCTTTCAATGAAAAAGATATCACTCTGATATGATAAAATTTATAAAAAAATTAGTTGCACATTTGACTGATGTACATATGTAATATAAAACCATGATATCTTTTTGCCGAAAGTAATGATAATTTTGATCATTTACAAAGATATTAAAATCCCATAACGAGTAAAAACGATATATATGCAAATTTGTATAGCCGTCAGTATGTTATAAATAATAGAATCTACTTTTATTTTAGATTTTTCTGTTTGCTTTTAGCTTGAACAGCGCACTTTAAATTTATTTATCTTTACACGAAAGTACTTTACATTACATGATGAAAACTACAGTATCACTTAAATACACAGACAACGCCTTCGTTTCCCTTCACTGAGAATGTATAATAATGACTCGTATTTATACAATTTATAAAATAACCTAAAATACCCGACGGTTTTGTAAAACATATTTGGCCAGTATGCATATGAATTGCGTGTTTGTATCTTTACTCGTGGTTAAGTGGTTTACATGGAATTAAAACATATAACACATATAAATATGAAACATTAAATGAGTGAAATGAGTGAAAATCGTTAGAACTATGGAATATCAAAGTGGTATTAGTATTTATTAGGACCTTAACATCTTCGGTAGGTATTTTCATTGTTATTTTCTTTTTCTTAAAATGAGAATGATTAAGTAAAGCACTATACAATGTGTTATAAGTTTTAGGAATGTATTATTGTAATGTTTACAGAAGACCAATTTGCTTATACCAAATATATTCAATGCTGGTCATGCAATAACCCCGATGGTATGTCCGGTTAGTTCAATAAAATGTGCAACTTCTCTGAAGCCCCACCTGGCTGTGGTTATTTAATTTCAACACTGAAAGTGTTGGCTTCAAAGAAATGCGTCAACTACTATTCTTATGCTTAAACAGTGGTAATTATTTCATAATAAAAATATAGTATTGCTTTGTAAAAATATACACACAGAATAGCAAATCGCCATTTTAATAGTTTGTTTAACAAACCATTATACATTGAATAAATATATCTGATACAGTTCATCAGTTTTGAGTGTAGTAAGAATAATGCCATGTTTGACACCACTTCACCAAAATACATTACAAATTTAAAAAAAACTATCGTCGCCAAATGGAATATTGTCTTTAAAAGTTCAGAAATATGTTTCTTTAAGAAATCATATTGTTTATTACATGCAGTAACGACACAGAAAAGTAGTATTTGCATAAGTATGTGTGTGATTATAGCGAGCTTTAACGTCAGGGACTGGTATGAAAGATAACACGCCAAGTTTAGTATCTTACAGAACATATTGCTGTTATCATTTAAGTTAAGTTCTTGTTGTTTTACACAGAAGTTGATTAAAATCTATGTTAAATAGATATTAAATGATTTATCTATGTTAAGTAGATATTAAATGATTTAAGGTTTATGTTTGCAGAGAGGACAGGAATATTGTGTTGAGATCGTACTGCCTACAAGATCAACATAGCTTTTATTTTGATTTCCTGCTAGAGCAAACAACACAAGCAGGTAACATTTTTATTAAAGTTATCGGTATTTAGTATAATCAAATAAATAAAAAAAATGTAACAAGAGGACTCTATCTCATCTTGAGATTATGTTAATGTAATTTATATCTTTACATTCACTTCCCCTCCATATTTAGATCATTAATTTTTGTAAAATGTTTTATGACAGGATTATATTGTTTGTAATGTCAGCTACTGCTTCTGGATTGACGACTGTATATGTTGATATGTATTTACATATTGTAAACTGTGACTCAGACAATAGTTTTGAATTGAATTGAATTGATGAGTACTCGTACATTGTTAAATATAATATTCAATCATAGAATCTTTTTTACAGTGCAGAATCTTTGACAAAATGGATTTAAAATCAGGTTTAAATCCAATACTGTGGATTTTTATTTTACCGAACATTTTCGAAGCACGTGATGAGGATCCTGAAGGTAATTTAATTTATTAAATAAAACATAAAACTTTAACATGTATTTATTTATTATCATTAAGAAATTTTACTTTTGCCGTTGCTAGTGCAATTTCTTTCGACTTACTAAGAAAGATATTACATGAAGTCATCAAACGATGCTTATCTATGACATATAGTTAAGTTATTATTTTAGCTGTTAGAAATATGAAAACCTAACTGAACCTGCATCTCTGCGTCTTAATGATAATTCATGACATCAACTGGATATTAAAAATCAACTCCACTATTCCATTGATGTGTAATATGTATATTTTGTTTATTATCAACTCAGAATTTTAAATACTTTAAATTTAACAAAACTATTTAAGGTGAGGAAACCAACTAGTGGTACACAATACATAATCTAGATTTCATACAATGTATGCGTGCATATTGTTTTTAATATTGTTGCTGTTGTTGCTGTTTAAATCCCAAACAATTACACAATAGCATTTATTGTTACTTCAAGAACTGTTTACACATTTTGTAAAATAAAGGATATCTGATAAGACAGAGTGAATTGCCTTTAAGAAAAAAGTAGTTTTATACAGTTTTACATCGCTTAAGATCTTTTTAAACATCTTTTTAAGGTATTGACATCGGCTATAGCTGTAAATACGATGCAGAATGCAAGAAAGGAAACGGAGAGATGTTCTCAAAATGTAACCAGGCATTAAATATCTGTATATGCACAATAAATCATTTAGGTATGAATAAAGTTTGCTTTCAATACTTAAGTAAATTAAATACTGAAAAGAAGAATATATAAATGCCATTGTTGTGTCTCGTTAGAATCAGTCTGTGAACTGAGTAATTATAAACACAGTGCCGTAGATAAATTCCGCGAGGGAGTTTGCAAAACAGGTCCAGCAAAAGACTAAATGACCAATATTTGTTTTCATTGACCTATTTTCATCGAAGTTAAAAATGAACGCTTTAATTCATGTGTGTTATATAATATTTCTTTGTAAGATTTTAGTATTTTAAACGTTTGCTATGTTTTGCTTCTGTTTTGATAAGAAGGAATCACTCGCTCGATTACATTTTTCCGTAAAATGGACATATATCTCCAATCCCAAACACTCGTTTAAATTAGCATTTTATGTATGAATCTAAGGCCTGTATTGTATCATTTTCTAGGAGAAGATAAATGTATGCCCGACAGCGGTAAATATGAAGGCTTTTGCAGACCGAGAAGCCTTTATTCTAAACCAGGATTTTGTACGCTAGAATGTTCACCTAAAGGTAACATTGTTTATAAGTAACAAACAAAATTATTACTCAATCATTACTTAGAATCCCATTTGTTTCAGATTTGGTGATGTATTACAGCTGTTTCCACAACTTTTGACTCGTGTTTTGTGTGTTCCTCATTATCGTATTACAACCATTTACATTACACATGGAACTTATTTGTCTACAGATATCTCAAGGGGACAACAAGATGAAAAGTAGTCAGTCAGTCAGCCGATAAAGCCGGTTAGACTGTATGAACTGTAGACTTTCACCATTATCATGATTAAATATTGAATTCTGCTTAAGCCGGTGCTAAGGTGGCGTGAACGGTAACTTGCATTTTTCCTGTACCGTTCAGCGTTAAGTTGAAACTTATCTCCGATCATGACGTTTCTTGGCTTTACTAACCATTCGTTATGTTCTCACAGATCATTACAAAATGTTTCGATTCTCCTGTTATACCTTTCATTTATAAACTGCTGAATTTGTCAACTTCTATTACATCACAAATTCTTTCACGGAGATTTTGAGACAAAGTGTGAATCTATAGGGTAGAATGTGATTGATTACTTCGTTTATAGGAGAAAACACGTTGTGAATATTATCAACACAAGTATGAAGTTATGCTCATGAAAGTAAACTTCTGACATTAATTTAACATTCTCTTGTCTTTCTATGGCATTGCAGTTATAACTTAAACTACATAAAACAAAGAAATGTCCTCCAAAAACTTCAAGTGTAACGCAATGTTTTTATCTAAGTAGAATTGTAGTAAATAAAATTGTAAAATCGGTTCGCGAACGTTTCAAGTTAAAAGTATATTGTATGTATCTTTTTTCATTTTTAAGGGACAATGAAGTGGACGAATCGAGATTGGTATGGAATTATATTAGACCCATTTTCTTCATATATCCACGATAAAAAGGTATGCTATAAAAATAATCATTAATTTTACGAATATTATTAAATACAAAACTTAAAAAAAATTCTGATCCCCACACATCTTCGGATGTTAAGTTAAAAAAATCATCATTGTCCTGTATAAATGTTGAACACTGCTTGACCGGTGTTAGAGGGAGTGGACGGTAGTTTGCAATTACAACTCCCGTTTAATCAATTTTCCGCTTTTAAGGGAGGTGTATTTTCCTTTTGGTGATACCCTTTTCTATTTTCTTTTATACTATTTATAAAGTTCGATTCATTCAATTTTTGAAAAGTCTGTTAAAGCAACTATTTAGAACTAATTCAGATAACATTGCTTATCTGAGTAGTTCATCAAAATCAGTGTTTTTTTTCAGACTTTTATTTGTTTTGAAACCTCGGGGGAGCCTTTTAAAAGTGTTCCGGAAAGGATTTTTAAAACAAAACCTTCGACCATATCGAAAGCCCGGGCCCAGGGGGGTTTTACAAAAAAATATAAAACCCAAAAAGAAAACAATTCTTGGGCCTTAAAAAAGGAAAATTTTTAAACCTGATACGGGGCGGGAAACAAAACTTGCAGGATATAGCTGGAAGGCAAGTTGTTATAACATTAACATTTACTTTTTGTTATTAATGTTTTCCTGCAAATAAAATGCATTGCTGATCACCTTTTACATGCTTCGTCATTTACTTTATTCAAATAATTAAACAGAAAGTTGCATTACAATTGTGCAGAAGTAAGACTGTATGAAAAGTGATTCTTCCGTCTGTAGAGTTTATAGCGATATTTTGTTTTAACATAATATTTTTTATCTCCATATAGATAAATCCCCGTGAAGGCGAAGGTAGGGCCGACGTTGTATGGGTCGATGCTAAAGACGTGACACTGTCAAACTGGTTGAGATACGGTAACACTCCAATAAATGCCGAAATGGAAAACCTTGTAGCATTTCAGTATAAAGGTATAATAACAAAAAGTACATGTAATTAAATATTTTGATATTCTTTCGGTACAAAGAAAAGCGATAAGAGTATTATCATTTAAAAGTTTCAATTATTTACATCTGTTAACCGGAATATCCATTGAAAGCACTAATAGAGAGAAGGAAAATTGGTAAAACAGGCTATTACTTTGTTTCAATGGGTATGTTCAGTAGAGATAGTGGATGGTGTAACATTTAACACACACACTAGCACCGGCTTAATTGAGAAATTAAATATCTTGAATTTCCCTACGATTCTTTCAGTGATAATATGTTTATTCTATGTTCATGTCAAAATTATCAAACTGAGTCTTTGTTTTTCCCGAATATATAATTTTAGGTGAAATGTTTTATCAGGCGTTCAGACCTATACAACCTGGGTCGGAGCTGTTTGTTTGGTATGGTGACTCGTATGGTGAATTTTTAGAAATTGAACCATTCGATCCCCCGAGATATTATTATGCAAAATGTAAGTACAATAAGTTCATAACATTTAGCGGTTAATGTTTGTCAAATTAGCCTTGTATTTCAGGAATAAAAATAACAAAAGAAACAAAGCACAAAAAGCTATCATAACATTACATGGGATAATCTAAGAAATGCAAAAAATGTCATCATTTATGTTCTGCTCCGTTTGTATTTTTTTCAGTCATTTTCACTTGATCTGATTTAAGTGATATTATGTTTATTTGTTCGTTATAAAGTTGAGCTTAATTAGTTAAGTATTTCAATAGAATGACTATAATGGCCATGGCCAAATATTAATGGTAAGAATGAAATTTAAAAAAAACTGCCTTAAATAAAAAAGATTGCCCATATTTTTATACATGGAACGTTTCAGATACACTCTGAAGGACATTTATATTTTCAATGAGTCTCGTGGGTTTTTGGTTATTTTTGCGAAGTCGAGTAAATTTTTTTTTTAAATTATTGTACCTCTTAGATGGGCATAATGTCACTGTAAACTATTGTCTCGATAGTATGTTAACGAGAATGATTATATTGAAATTTCTTCAGTTATTTTAAATATTAGATATCAAATATTTCAATTTATGTAACAGTCGGTTATGTGGGCGGTGAATGTCATGACGAGGACGAAGGGCTTCCATGTGTTAATGATGATAACACAATTTGTGCAGATAAATCTTGTTTCTGCGTTTCTGGGACTCACGTGAGAGCGGGCAAATGTTTTAAAGGTAAACTCGGTTCAATTAAGGTGACGGACATTATATTACATGTACCGGTAAAAATACATGTAAATATAAAAAATAGCTCGATGTCTTTAAGTTAAATCAGGATAGGAATAGCACAAACATACGAATGAGTATATCTAAATCATATGTTATCGTTTGCATACATTTACATTTTAAGTGTCTAAATTAAAGTGGGAAACCCAAAATTCACCGTTTTAGGATTTTAACCTAAATGATATCTCTTTCAACAATATTTCGGATATTTAAGAGAAATTGTATTATTTATAAACTACTCTAAGTATCGTACACACATGCATTATGTTCAATTAAAGACTAGAAATGGCATAAGTATAGAACCTTTATTGAATACTTACAATACACAGTTATCGTAACAACCCTCATGCATTTTTTAATATGACTATCCACATTTAGTAGATTCTAATACGTTTGTTTGTTTGTTTTTTTTCGGTGAAGAACTGAACGTATACATATCATTGACATTTCATTTTAATTTTATCTCGGCACAGTTCGTTCTTATAAATAACAAAGTATTTTCAGATGGAACATTAGGTGGATTGTGTACGGAGCTCAACGGTGTAACGTGCATGCTTGATAGGAACGCCGAGTGTCAGAAAGGAGTTTGTGTTTGTAAGAAGGATTCTATCCCATCTAATGGAATTTGTACAGCAGGTATATTGTCAAAATAATATTCAAATCAAATTAAAATGAAGTAAATAGCAACAAAAGTGCCATTGTTTGAATATTCACATTCTTGAGATCTTTGTATTACTTTTAACAGAAATTGTTACCCTAACAATTTTTTGTTTGTTTCACGTTGGACCCAACACAAAATTATAAATGTTAAGTCAAATTTGAATAAAAACATTCAGTATCACTATATTCATTTCCTAAGAGTCATGTTTATATGGAGCAAATGTAAACTTTCTTGATTACAATATCAGAGGAGATGTTTGGAGGAAGATGTCGAGGTAAAGATGGAAAGACTTGTATGAGAGATGATAATGCAGAATGTGTGCACGGTTTATGTAGATGTAAATATGGTACAACTGCTATAGGAAAATTATGCCTGAAAGGTAAAATGATATTCTTAAATGATATGTGCTGAATTTCCCATCAATATTTAAAATCAGAAATTAAGATATATCTATAGTTTTGACATTAAACCATGGATTAAGTTTCTCCGCAAAAAGATAAGCAAACATCAATCCCTACCTAATATGCTCAATGCTTTAAAAACCCTTAAATAGATTTATTCAAAAGAAACAAAGTTTTTTCTACCAGGCATTGCTTAACTGGTGTTGACAGAATATGTATGGTATATATGCAGTTTTTCATCACAGCTTTGAAGAAAACAACTCTTTAACATTGAAAAATGAACCAAGTAATAAAATTCAAGAAATTATATATATTCTAAGTTATGTTTTTTTATTAATTATGGTAAAGATGAGAGCTATCAAGGAAGATGTATCGGGGATGATGGCGACGCATGTGAGAATGACCAACACGCCGAGTGCTTGGACAAGATCTGTGTTTGCAAGAAAGGTGCTAGTGCAGTCAATGGAAGTTGTGTTTTAGGTAAATAAAACATTTAAATTATAAGTCAACTTTTGTAGTTTATTTTTCTACGCAGATTGTTAAAAGATCTAAATATTAATTTATTGTTAACAAAAGAGTATTTCTGGATATAAATTGGATTTCTTTTCCATAACCTTAATTGTTTGCTTGTGATTTCATCAGATGAAAAATATGGAGGTAGATGTTGGAATGGCGACGGCACACCTTGTAGACTCGACCAGAATGCTATTTGTATATCTGGCGTGTGCACATGTAAATCTAATACCAGGTTAATGAATGGCATATGCCGGACGGGTGAGTACATGGCAATAGATTTAATAATTATATAACAATGATATTCGTTTGCTTTAAAGTCTTCTTTGATTAATTATGGTTGTAAGCATTACGGTTAAAGAAAATTTGCGCCATTTAAAAAGAAAATGCATAACAACTGAATAAGTAAACCAACACTAATATAATAACAAACAGTTTCTTAAAAATGTTGTACGGTTAAAATTATTTTTAAATTGTCTTTAAGGTGGAAGGAGAGGTTATTTCATGCACATATATTTTATTTACATATAATTCATATAAAAGGCAATCATACAATTTGACGAAAATGTTTACTTATTGCATATTTTATAGTATTTTATTATTTTATCATAATTTCAACAGACTGCAAGTTTTCAATTAAATGTATATATCTTTCATGTTTAAGATGGTGCCCTAGAAGGTATGTGCGTAAAGGGCAATTGTAATGGGAAGAATGTTGACTGCGACTCCATGTCAAACACGTGCAAATGTAAGGTAACTCATTTTCCGTACGCTGGGAAATGTGTTAAAAAGTAACAGGTATGATACTTATGTTCAGAAAGTTCACAAATTTCCTCTGATTTTAATTTTAGTGTTTTGGACATTATATACTTGCAAATTTATTTTGGTTCAACTGTATTTAAAACATAAATATAGAAAGGATGAAGTTCAGTAATTGTCTCCTATATGAAAAACTATAAATATGATATTGTTGTATTATAACACTGTTATGACGATAAACTTTATATATAAAATATTCCGTTTAAATGTAAAAACATCCCAAAAGTTTGTATATTTAAAAATAGAAACAAATACATTAACATCTATTCCAGGTTGCAAGAAATCCAAAAATTAAATGTGCAATACCATAGTTTCACAGCCACAGCATGATCTATCAATCATCCATGATTGACCAAAAAAGAGGAAGATGTTTGATGGAGAAAAAATATAAAGCGGGTGCATTAAAGAATGGAAGACACGTGAATGAAAAACAGACTTTTTAAGAACTGCGTTTGTATATCAATGCATCAGAAACTGTGTAAAATATTCTATGCTTTATGTCGGATTATCGTATGTAATATTCGCTAATTAATGAAATTTTTTGGTATGATTTGAGGCCAAATTGATGATTAAAATGCTTTTAATATCAGGTTATACAATGATAAGCATGGGAAATCACTTCTCATCAATTATTGGCGTTTTGCAGCTGTGTATGAGCCAAAAGGAAACACAAGTGCACTCAGCAATATTTAATGATCTCTTTTTTACACCATAAGATATTTTAACATTTTGATAGAAACTATGGGTTCGTTTAAAAAATATTTTAAGCTTTTAAACATTAAGTTTTAATCTTTTTGTATGTGGAATAAATGATCAAGTATAAATACAAAAAAAATTGTTTCATTAACAACAAAACATTTGGAACTGATAAGTAATATTCGGATGTTTCCGTAATTGTCAAAAAAAATGAACACACTGAGTTTTTAACTTTAAAAAATTAAAACCATTTTCCGTTGCCCATTTTTGAATTTAATCAAAATTTTGTTGAAGCTAACATATTTTTGACAGATAGCGTATGAGAAAATCATTTACAAATAAGAGCAATCCACACAAGAATTAAGAGCTATCGTTTAAGCAGTATTTACATTTTTGCTGTGTTGCTTTATTTTTTTCTATTTCTATATGTTTTTTGGGACACAAAGCGAGATAGAATGCAATATAGATTTCGTATTGATTTTTTGATAAATGAAATCAAGGCTGTTAAAGTTGGACGAAATTATGACTTCATTGGAAGACAGCATAATAATTTTAAATGCTCAAAGTTCATTTGCTACATTTTTAAGTGGAGAAAAAATGGATATTTAAACAATCTATAGTTTTATTTGTGCGTTGATGCCAGCATGCAAGCGTGTGAGTATGTGCGTTTTTATTATAAGAATATATTTTTACATTTTTAAACCTATGAAAATATGCAATTATGATATGATTATCAATGTTATACTTTCAATTTGTTAAATAAAAATATCCACCTTCATACAATCTTTATATACTTCATACTTACTATATACGTGAAGGTGAAGGAAAGAGATAAAGTGTACTACTTCAATATAAGATTCAATATAAATTCTGTTTAAATGATTTAGCTCCTACAAAGATTTAAGAGTGTTATGCGACCATCTCCCTCAGAACTTGTCCACACATAAATTGAAGAAAGTTATGAAATATACAGACGATGCACGATGTAATACATTCAAGGAGACGTTGATCATAACTTCAGATACCTTTTTCAAAATTCCATTTTGTTAAATACCGCCCATTGTTCTCTCGTTTAGGGTACATCCATTCTATTCTTTTACTTGGAGACCATACGCCGCTTTTTGTGGAATTGCGCGTTTATGTCATACTGAATATCCCATAATAACAGCCGTATGAATAAATCTGCGATATCAAAATTTTACCATTTGTATGTCTATATGTTGAATTCTGTTTAAAATAATGATACGGGGCTAGAAATTATGACTGCCATCTATAAACAGGCTTAATCAAACCTAGCTTAAAACATGTTAAACCTTGCCATTTTGAACAATGTTAAGGGATTCCATTTAAGTCTTTTTTATGTTTGTTTAAATGTTATTTTCCAATTCATACAGAAATGATGAGAAATCAAGAAAAAAAGTAATAAATAAATCTGTAAGATTATATACTACAAACTCGCAAAAAAGCAAGAAACTCGTATATGTCATGTAAGGCTATATGCATCAAAATGAAAGATGTTGCATAGTGTAATTCAGCAATACACATACAAAGATTTAAGGAGGTTATTCAACAAACTCGTACAGAGGGTGCCAAATGTTGTGCCGAAAATCAACGCAAAAGTCGTAGGAGGTAATGAAAGAAATTCGCACATAGATGAAAACATCTTTTATGTTCCCTAGCACCAGAGTATGTACCTTTAGCAATTTTAATACGTTTGAAGACATTAAACCATGTAAACTGTCGACTTTTAAATCCATTATTGGAGGAACTGTTTATATATTTTATGAGGCGTTCAATATCTATATATGCAAAGTTATCCATTAAGTTACAGACATCCATAGAAAAAGTTGTGTACGCTTTGAGTAAGAAAAGCAAAGTCAAGCAATCACCAAGTTAGGATTGAACTAACAAAATGAAATTTAATTATATCACCCAATATAGGTGATAAAGGTAAAAGTTTGGATCTTATTCCGATTTGAAACCACAGCCTGATGTTTCTTACGGCAATACATCGACTTTATGAATCTAATCTAGTGTCAGCTCATATGTGCTTTGGTCAATGTAGACTAATTTATCTTAAAACCGAGTAAGTAACTACATGTATTTGTTTGTTTACTAAACTTATTTTTAATGATTGTACACTTATATTGACTTCACGTGCAATTTTTAATCTGAATCTTACTCCGAATAATATAAAAGTTGTTCTGGTTCATCTGTTAACGTAACCAGTTTAGTTAATGTAACAAAAAGACAAAAACAATCTTGCAAACATAACATGTTGTTTTTGAAATATAAATTGTAGTGGTTGCCCAGGTAACTTTATCATGCATTATTTGATTTCAAATTTTAAAACTATCTGGAGAAAGGTTGATTTTAATTTCCCTGATATAGAATACCCATTACATGTGTACCGTGTAGTAACTGGAGCGTAAATGTCTTATTCAATCTACTATGTTGAAAACTGAGCCACAGGGATTATACTAATATTGTTTGGCTATAATATTTATCCGTCAGGAAATGATAAATGTATGCTCGGCAGTGGAAGCATTTTACGGACGAAGTTTGCGGACAAAGATGCATTATTCTAAACCACGATTCTGTAAACTTGAACGTTCAGCTAAATATCATTTGATAATTAATTACCTTTGTAACTTAAAAAGAAACTGTTTAATCTATGCATGTAAACAGTTGTTAAAAGGGTAATAATTGTACAAGCCAGAGGTTTCAAGCTATAATACAAAGGTAATTAATTTAAATTTCCACCTCCAGGAAATTTCTGGTAATACAGGCGTCTCATGTTATGAGGTTAACGATGTATTCTTGATTACACGTTATGTACAGATAACTGTGATGAGAGCGTTAAAGTGCATACATATATCAAAGGTAAGTTCTCGTTGTAATAGAAAAGATACGAGACGCTTACGACACTTAAAACATATTCATACTTTAAACTTAAGAATTACAAATGACACTTTGATTTTTAAAGTACTTTAAACTCATTTGACATTATGATTTCAAACGTTTAAATATCAAGTAAATCTAATTGATAAGAAAATGCCGATAGTAGTTCTATTGCATTAATACTTCCAAACAGTACTTAAAAGTGGTACCTAATCCAAAGTATTATTTAGGGATTTTTTCTTAGATATGGTTTGTTTCAGAATTAGAAAGAAATCCCAATTTTAACTAAAATAATCAATATTAGATCATGTGATACAAGGCGTTCTATAGATATAAAAATATGTGACAAATATTATTCTACTGAGAATCCGTGTAGGTACATAGTCCTTAGATTTTAGACGCATTAAAAAACTATCATAGCTAATAAAGTATTGGTAAATTTATTTTTATCTTTTCAATCTATCCGATTCATTAACATAAATAATGAAATGAAATTCCCTTTGATCCATATAATATGTAATGAGAACCGTGACTTTTTTTATTCAAAGTGAACGTGGCATTAACTTTGATACTTACAAGATAAATATACCTCTTACGTATTCGTCTATATTACTGTCCCAATTTTAACTAAAATTATCAATATTAGATCATCTGATACAAAGCGTTCTATAGATATAAAAATATGTGACAAATATTATTCTACTATGAATCCGTGTAGGTACATAGTCCTTAGATTTTAGACGCATTAAAAAACTATCATAGCTAATAAGGTGTTGGTAAATTTATATTTATCTTTTCAATCTATCCGATTCATTAACATAAATAATGAAATGAAATTCCCTTTGATCCATATAATATGTAATGAGAACCGTGATTTTTTTTATTCAAAGTGAACGTGACATTAACTTTGATACTTACAAGATAAATATACCTCTTACGTTTTCATCTATATCACTGTCAGCTGTTGTTGTTGTTGTTGTTGTCATCGTCGTTGTTTTCAAGTCTTGATTTATATTCAAGAAATTTTAAGTGGACATCGAACAATCATTGAATAATTGATATTGAAACGTATAAAGTGACAACAAAAATTGCCAACTAAAATGTAGCTTGTTCAAGGAAGACATTTTTCTTTCACTTCTTGAGTGTATTACGATATCAACACAAATACCACCATTCAAGTAGGCGGAAATATTTATTGCAGTGTATTTCATTGAATTCAGACTTTTTTCAGAAACAATTAAGACATTAAGACATTATTACCAATATAACAACATATTTCTTGCTCTCAACGATTATAATCTAAGATGGTGTCATAGAAGTTAATTTTTTGCAAGAAATTGTGTAGGTTTAAATAATATTTTCGACTCCTGTTTAATTAGAGGATACTGAATGAGTATTAAGTTAAATACCGAATAAATTGCACGAGTTGAATAAAATTATATTAATCAGCCTCTGGCGAACATGATATTATTTTATTCAACGAGTTCAATAAATTCAGTAATGAACTTACACAAATTTAATATTCTATTTATCACATACCCCAAAAAAAAGAAAGTTTCAAGTGAAAAACAACCATTTTTCATTGACACGCATATATTATAACGCTTACCATTCTATTCAATACTAGCATTCTAAACAATACATTTCCTTAATCATTCAAAAATGCCAAAGTCATTCCTCTACATAAAAAGGGTTCTAAAAGTGATAAAAGAAATTATAGGCCAATTTCCATATCACTTATTCTTGAACGTCATGTCAGTTCACATTTAAAGCAATACCTTGAGAAAAATCAACTTCTATACCAACGTCAGTCTGGATTCAGGTCAAATCATTCATGTCAAACTGCATTGATTAGAATTATTGATGATTGGATTAATTACAGCTATTGACAAAAATGAAATAGTTAGTTCAATTTTCCTTGATCTCTCTAAAGCTTTTGACAATATGGATCACTCTATTATTATTGAATAGCTTAGACCCTTCATCAGTTCCTTGGTTTTCCTCCTATTTAGATTGCAGAACCCAACAAACTTACATATACAGTTTATATTCAGAGTCAAGTTCAGTAACTACTGGAGTTCTTACGGGCTCAGTGCTAGGTCCTATACTGTTTTTAAGCTATATCAATGACCTGCTGTTGTCTATGGAAAAATCAGAAACTGATATTTTTGCTGATGCCACTTCCCTTTCAACCTCTGATGTATCCCTTAAGAGAGTAGTTGAATCTCTTACTCATGATCTTTTAAATGCCAACAAATGGTGTGATTTGAATCGCATGTCTATCAATGTTAACAAAACTAAGGTCATGTTTATTTCCTCAAAACACAAGCAAACTTATATTCATGAAAGTAGTCCTTGTACTTCATATAAAACAGAGCAAATTTTTTGTAGCTCTGAAGAAAAATTATTGGGTATTACAATTAATAACACCTTGTCTTGGCAAAGCTATATTGATAATGTTCCTAAAAATGTAACACATTGTTACATTTATTATCACGTTTAAAATTATTCATATCTATTACTGTACGTAAAATGTTTTACAATGCATATATTTTACCACATCTTGATTATTGTTGCATAATTTACGGTAACTGTACATCTTTTCTAGAAGATAAACTCATTAAGTTCCAAAAGAGAGCTGCAAGACTAATTCTAGACAAAGATTATGACACCCCATCTGGTGAACTTGTTTCTGAACTCCGCTTGATGACCTTTTCACAGAGGGTTGTTTTTCAAAAAGCTATTATGATGTTTAAAATATTGAATAATCAGGCGCCTTCCTATTTATTGAATAATTTCATTTTATCGTCAGATGTTCACACTCGCATTTTGCGTCCATCGTCTGATTTTCAACTTTATACCCCTAGACCAAATACTGAACAATTTCGTAAGTCTTTTGTTTATTCTGGATCTTGTATTTGGAACGGCCTTCCTGATTATATTAAGTCTGCTACATCTGTGAACCATTTTAAAACCTTATACTTGAGGTATTATTACACATTGATGTATACAAATTGATAATCTCCTGTATGTTTTTACATTTATGTATTTTAATATATGAATATGTTAAATTTATATTGTTCCTTGTTGAGGGCCTCATGGAAGATTGATATGTTTGTTCAAATGTGTTCTCTCGGTAAATAAAGTCTTTATTATAACATTTTGCGCATTTTAACGCATTATTTTTATAACGCAAAGAACGTAACGTCAAAATACATGCACGGTGGTGCAGTACCAAATTTACGGAGTCGCAAAAGTGCTATGATGTGTGTGATAAAAAGTAATTATATTCTGGAACGTGCGCAGCAAAAAAAGTCTGTTTAAAAAGTAAAAGGTATGGTAAGTGATGAGAAACGTCGATTACTGAAGCGCGCTCAAATATACTTAAATTTTAATTTTGATAATTTTGATGTAATACACAAATACGTTTGGACTTCGCTTTATTCAAATTTTATATGGAGAGAATGTGAAGTTTAATTATTGTCTTAAATTAATGCATATCAAGTTAGAAGACTGTTATGCCGTAGACGATGCAAGAAAGAGTATAATATGCATTTGATAAAGATAATAATGATGATATATTAAAAGATAATTATAACAATTCTAAAGATGAAAATGAGGATATATGGGGTGTGATATGGATTTGATAAGAACATATTGGACTCTGGAAACGAAAACGAGGCTATATGAGTCTGATAAGATTTGAAATGGACGTTTTGGACACGATTGGTAATATTGGATCCAAAATCAATAATATGTATTTGAAAAATATTTCGTTCCAAATGATGAAAGAGCATCGATTATATTTTATAAGGTATAAAATAAAATTTCATATAAACGACAATTTGTTGTGAGATAGACTTTATAACAATTGATAATTTTATGACAATATGTTGCATTAACAGATGTTTGATCTTAAGTTAAAACATTAGATATAAACCTAATGTTGGGGCACATAGTGATTTTATTACAGCACAAATAAACAAGAAAAATGCAGATTTTCGTATTATTTTGGATTGTTAATACTTTTCTTTATCATGTAGCTAAGTGTCAGTCAAATATTAAAGGTAAATATATTTTTATTATAGAAATGCATTTCCCATGTGGTAGTCGTTTTTTTACATGAAATGTGTTTAGAATATCATTGACAATTTTATCATTTAATACTTTTTCTCTGGAAAAATATATTTTTCTTCATCTATTTTGTATTTATTATTTCTTTTAATTATAATTGTGAATTGGTTCTGAACGTTTGGAAATTTATCTAGCTTAAAAAGCTTGTTCAGGTTACTTTAATTGTGTTTATCTTGTTTTAATACTGTGCTATGCTTTAGAAAACTTGAGGGCTTTTATTATTTCAGTCTTGTAAAGTTTGTCATATGCAGTTATATGTTACAAATATAATGAAAAATGTATATATATTTTCTGTATTTTTATGTTTTATGAAAATGTGAATTTGTTTAAATGTCAGTTACAATTTCACGCTCTGATGTTTTGACAAACTAACATGTATAAATGAATGAACCACGAAAATTAATTTGTTAGAATGAATGGGCCACGAAAACTAAATTGTATATTGTATAAAGTTGTTGATAATTATCGTCATCAGTGACACTCGCAAAACTACACAGTTGTTAACGTATAACTTAACATCTGTTTGTAACATCTTGAAGTGTTCATATTGTACATTAAATTTAGATATTTTTAATTATATTGCATTTTTTCAAAGCGGGGAAATATATCATAAATATCAATCTTAGCCTTTAATTTTGCTATAACTTCCTATTTTTGTCCCAAAGTTTCGCTTCACCTGATGTAGTTTTTATTGCGAAGTTACTTAAAATAACGAATGTCTTATTGAGCTTTTACACTCAATTTAAACATAACCAATTTTGTTAAAGTAGCATGAGAACATTGGAACCGTTTATAAGGAAACGATTGTGTATATAAACGATTGTTATGTATCTAAATGAATGTTCATGTCAAAACTAATTGAACATAGGCATTGCAAATGGACATTTATCTTATTAGGATATAGTTCAATAAAATGGGTTGTCCAAAAATGCGTGTGTTTTTACTCTATTGTTTTGCAAGCTGTATTTTGTTCCATCAATAAAATCTTTTACGGCTGTTTTCATATCCTCCGATATGGCAGTCGTCTTTAATACTGGTTACGAAATCGTTGTCTAGTTGTTATTTTAGGCTATCTGTGTCTTTGCAATTTTTAACCACCAAAAAAATAATAGAACGAGCATCGAAATATGAAGCTATCTGATTTGTACAAGGGGACGTACCATAGGAATATATCAAAACAAGTTCCCTGTTGTCACAATATAAAACCCCAGAAATAAGTAACCAATGAACGAGCATCTGAATATGATATTTCTATCGTTATCCATTTCTCTGCCGTCACAGAAAGTAAACCCAAGGAAAGAATGAGCCAGTCCATGCGTATGCTTCGGGTGCGGGTAACTAATACCTGCACTTCAGTTAACGCACTGTGCATGCATTTATTTACGATTTAACTCTGACACAATATCAGCAGAAAGGTCCCCAAACTATGATACAATCTCTTTTATATGCCGAATCAATTTTTCGCGCATATGCAATCTACATAGGGCAAAAATATCGCCCTGCCGAGAATTACTGGAAGACGTTAATTTTGTTAAATAACATTTTTATTTTTCAACAACAAATAAAGGCGGATTGTACTTTCATAGTGTTGTAACAAATGAAAATGTTTTAAGTTTAATAAGAGATAGATAAATAACTAGAGCTTTAAAAAGACTTAATGTCAAATACCCATGAATAGCTTTCAGTTAAGAATAAATTAGGAACGACCAAGCTGCTCTCGATTAAACGGGATTCAAACATTTACAGTTGTAAAAAAACACAAATGGTTTTCTTTGAGAAAACTATTACATTATAATAGCAATGAATTTTGCAAAAATAAGATACAAAAATATTTATCAAAAATCACATAAAATGTTAAGTCAACGTTTTACAATGTCCTAAAATATAAGTCTGCCATAGTCTCCTTATACTTACTTACTAATAATTTATTTATTTTTTTATTCCAGGTATAGATATAGGGTATAACTGTATACATGATAGTCAGTGTACGACAGGTAATGGAGGAGAATACTCAAAATGCAACAAAGATCTCAACATTTGTATATGTACAATTAACCACCTAGGTCAGTAATTCTGATTACAGAAATATTTCGGCATGTTTATATTTCAAAAGATCATTGAGCAGCATAATTGTGTTGTTGGATAAGCCGGTGCTAGGTGGATTAAGATATGTTTCGTTGTTTTCCATGACCAGATTTTTTACTTCACTTTATTTCTCTTTTTATTGCTGTTGAGTAATTCATGTATTTCAAATTATTTATTGTCATAGCAACAGTTATTAACTTTTTGTTAAAGCTGTTACAGTCAGGTTATTTACAATATAGATTTTTCTTTCATGATATATTACTATAAAAAATCATGTACATGTAGTGAAATAAAACAATAATAACATAGCAATTAACTTGACAGCAAATTTCATTTAAATATTTTCTTCCCTTAAATGAAACTGTCTAGAAAACAGAGATACATTTAGAGTTGCTTTTGTTGTAGGCGAGGACAAGTGTCTTAAAGACAGTAATCAATTTTATGGCGTCTGTAGACGAAAAACGTTTTATACGGAAACACAGGTGTGTACTCTGGAATGCTCACCAAAAGGTATTTTTCTAGTACTCTCTTTACTGAAATATCAAGACATGTTTGGTCTTTATTTGAGATCAATTTATCTTTAAATAATTTCAAAAATTTTGACAATCAATTTGAAATACTAGTACCTATCATTCCAAAACAACAAGCATAGAAAAATCATTTTGGGACCTTAATAATAAAATATAAAAAGCCCAGATTTTTATCTATTTGTTTCCAAAGATGTCATACCCAGAACCTCTTTTTAAGAATTCTGAACTACATTTAATCTGACAAACGCAAACATAGAGAAACTACGCTAAAAGTATACAGTCATAATTTAATAGCTAATAACTGCAAAAACATGCCATTGAAACAAAAGTCAGCCAATCAATGTCAAAAGAAAATAAAGAAAAGAAAACACTTCATGCACTAAGCCAGAAAATAAATACTTACACGGGTTGGCTTGGAGGCTTTGATTTGAACAACTAGAATATGAGAGCAATGATAGACAAGGCATGCCGATGTTCTTAGATCGCAGTCATGGGCATAATCCAGCAACGCATGGCTATAAGAGGGCACCGAACAGAAGACAAGAAAATGAACAAAGGAAAGTGTGTTGAGAGTGCTTACCAATAAAGTTTGCTTAAAGAAAACCCTTAGAAAATTCAAAGTTTATTCTAGCGGTGCGAAAACAAAAAAATAAGAGTTGGTCAGCATTCATGCCTCAGTAATTTATCCATAGAACAACCTTTCGGATAAAAATATATCTAAATAAGGCAAATGTCTGGTGGAAAAAGTAAGTTCTAATAATAAATCATTTAATTCTTAATACGTTAACGTTTATTTAACTTTATTTTGAAAAAAAAACATTACTTATACAACTATATTTATAATAAGCACGTGTAAATTGATAGACTTTTCCTGTTTAGACAACAGTCCATTGCAGTTTTCTTGATGAAAATTAGACAGAAAACATATTCCTTAGGTAAAAAAGATGATTGAAAATACTATAATTTCATGTTTTGCTTCCATTATTATCATTATCGTAAACAAATGAGTATGAAGTTACTTAAGAAGGGGATAAATATCATTACAACATTGACAATTAAAGCATTTATTTTTTATATCAAGTTGATGCAAGCAACACCTGGCTCTAACTACCATCATAATCGATATCAAAACATCATTGTTTTTCTGCTATCAGTGTATATGATAAATGCTGTTTTTTGTACTGCATGCTCCGACAAAAATATCATATATTATTGTGCAAATGTATATCTTAATATTATATCATAATAATATCTATTAATATTATGATGATGATGAAAAGTTGAATCTTAAATACATTAGAAATAGCTGTACATCGTTAACGAATGTTGAATGCTAAAATATGTTAACTTTCATTTATCAGGTACACGTAGGTTGAGAAAGGGTCATGATTGGTACGGTGAAATTTTACACCCGTTTGCATCTTTTAAAGTGGATAAAACGGTATGTCAATTACAGAAAACACACATTATAATATGATTGTTATGATAGTTTTAATGCATTTATCAAATTATGAGATAAGAAAACGATCATGTTAATATGTAAAGATATCCCTCGTCGTGATCGAAATGATGCTTTTGCTGTTTACTACCAGTATCACAAATATTTGTCGGCTTTGTAGACTCTCACTACTAACTGGAATCTGAAAGTTTTTAAGGTTACATCTATAGATATATAGCAGATTGAAAATTACACAGCATGAAATATCTAAACTTTGCATGATTTTAGAATATTACAAGAGAAGCCTTTAAAGCTTTAAATTAGTTGAATACATTTCAACGGGGAATCATGTAATAAAACTCATATTTTGCATTTGAGTCATTTGATTTTGTACAATTGTAATACATAATAGAAATAAATAACAACATGATCTTTCAAAGAAAATGGTTGGTTTGGGAATGCTATGCTTCATTCATCCCATTTTTGCTGACAAAACATTATATTACTTGATAACGATAGGATCGTAATGAATACTGTAATTTATGTCCTTTCTAAAGTATAGCAATAAAATTCATGTCATTCTTAGAAGTTACCAATTAATTTCGTGAGTAAAAGATTGTCGTAACATAACTGATATAAAACTTTTATCATGAACCCCTGATTTCTCTAACAAGAATTTTAAATAGCCAATACAATAGTGGTTTGCCTTTGCAAAAGTGTATCTCGCAATATTTATTGATATCGCCCTATCATGAAAAACATTGTTGTATAACAATTTTGGTTTGCTATTTTTCTTTTCAAACAGACAAGTGCTTGTTATGATCCAAAGCGAGCATTTAACACTGTTCCAAGCGGATTCGAGATAAAACAATCAAGTTTGCCAGGGATTGGTTTAGGTGTATTCACGACATCCTACATTGAACAAGACGCAGTGTTTGGTCCATATAAAGGCACGTTTGATACTGATGATACTGACGAGGATCTTGATTATGCTTGGACGGTAAGACAAATCATTGATATAACATTTAAATCCAACATTGCAAATGGTTATTAATTGTTTAAAGTTAGATTTAACAGGTTGTAAAAAAGACAACATCTCGATAAAAACCAATTTTCGGAACAAGACTTTCTTAGGTTAAAGGTATATTAATACAGTAGGTTACAACATTTTAAATATTTGAATAACTTTCCCCACCAGATACAGTTGTAAGTTAAATGGAGATGACTTACAGTGCTGAAAGTACTGTATGTGAATAACAGGACTGCTGAATATACATTTTGATAGAATATTATGATAACCACTTAAGGAAAAAAAATGCGACGTTTCATATTAAATTGATGTATTGGGCATCTCTATTAGTATAATAAAATTGTCGCGAGAAAGTCTAGATGTTTATTGCTGCAACGATCGGTTAGGTTAGAAATTCCAAAGAAACATTTGCATTTTTTTACCACAATTTGTTGAACTTACAAGCTTAATTGTGTTATTTATAGCAACAGGTCCTCAGTTTTATGATAAAGTTCATCAAAAATGAAAATGTATTTAAAAGTAAATTATTTTTTATGTGAACAAAGAAAGTAATTGACACTTATGACCCCCGTAAATTACCCCCAAAAAAGGTCCAAAAATGCAAATCAATTCCCCTTACTGCGTAAGTAATGCAGTATAACTATGGTGATTAATACAAAATAATCAGTCATTAATTGAACATTACATGTAAATCTTTAATAATTAAATCTTGAATCTTTACCTTTTTTTCAAATCTAACAATATTTTTCTCACGTTTGATTTTCTTGACTTTTTTTTGGCTCATCTGGAGGCCTGCAGTTGTAACACCACATGCCTCATCGTCTGTTGTTAATAGTGTTAGATCTGTAAATTCCACAGTGACCCTACTTCATCAATCTTTGCAATAAATAAGTTATTACCTCTACTTTCAGTACAAACTAAAATAAAAGTCAGTGCATGTGGTCATTATTCAGCCTCTAGGTAAACGCGTGAGAGGTGTTATTATATTCATGGGTTACTGCAGAAAGACTAGTATATGGATGACAAAGTTCTTTTGAATGCGAAAGAATCTGCATATTTTGTAAATAATTATTTAACCAGATTCATGTCACAATAATGGTATTTTTGCTTGAAGTTATGTTTGGCAAAATTACTGGTTACTTGCATCTAGTATCGTTGTCTTACTTTTTCTTTTGCAGTACTTTGGTACGTTAAAAAAATAGCATATTTGCAGAATCTCTACAATTTTTAGACACATACTTCAATTAAACATATTTCGTTCACAATCTCTTAGTAGTTGCCCTTACAAATAAACTAAAACGTTTAACGTTCTTAATTCCTAATATTTTTTTACACGAAATAATATGCAATGACCACCCAACGTTGTTCTTTTAGTTGTCATATTCTATTCTGTCAAATGCATGTCGTGCATCGGTATCTCCCTTATAAAATGAAGAGAGTTGTCCGGATGAAAAGGGAGGGGAATTGTTTTCCCTGTAAAAGTAACGAGTGGAAAATTGTCCAAAAAATAAGTGACTTTTCAATGCAGAAAATTACCTAAAAATATTCTAATACTTGTCTATAATTAGATTTCTCCGCGTGAAGATGAAGGGCGTAAACAGCTCATATATGTAGATGCCATCGACATTGCTTTATCTAACTGGTTGAGATATGTTAACACCCCAATAAACGCGGAAATGGAAAATGTGGCTGCAGTACAATATAAAGGTAAAGGAACTTGTTCATCGATTAGAAAGCATATTTTTGAATTATATAGATACCCGGTAGTTCTCCTTATACAGATCTCTATTTATTTTATTTTGTGAACATACCTGTTGGTACTTTTACATTTATATGTGTTTTCCATTCGACGGTTCAACATCGTACTTTCGACTTTTTATCATGACCTTCGACTTTTACCTATTGTTTTCGTTATTTCGAATTTTCACCACTTTGATATTTTTTATGTAATCGTTATTTAGAGTTATGTGTGCGTGCGCGCATCGTGTATGTGTGTGCGTGCGTGCGTGCATGTTTGGGTGAGTGTGTGTCGCAAGGGCCCGAACGGGACATTCAAATTTGAAAGTGACTACAGATATGTTTAAAAAGTGGTGATTATAAAGATAAAATAAAAAGACACCGTATAAATTCACACAAGAATATGTTTTTAATTATAAAGTTCTTATAATCGGTCTGGGTAATACGATGCTGGTGTCGGAAAAATGTACTTAAATAACAATTGAAAACATCTGTAAATATGAAACAACAGTGTTATGAACACAAACATCATATCTCATCGTGTATAACACTTTTCACTCTTATACAGAAACAGTTTTAAATGATTTTGAAAAATAGCAAATTCTGAAGAAAAAAAAACTATCTATATCAACATCTAACGTTTCGAGGGGTTATATCCCTCTTTATCAAGAGTTATGCTTAACTATATCACGTCATATCTCGTATGTTCCTCCTTGTTAATTTGTATGTTAACACAAACATAAAATTTGATTGATAAAGTCTACGTGTATAAATGCATAAAACAGATGAAGTATAATATTGGAAAAAGTATATAACCATTTTATAATGGAATGTCTACGCAAAAGAACCTACGGAAATAATTAAATGTCGTATATATAATTTTTGCATTTAATCCAGATGGTGAAAACGTCTTTAGCTTATGAATCCGTGCGTTTCTCTACATAGACGCTCCATTGTGTCGCTGACAATCTCAAACGGTAAACATGAAAAGTCATTAAATGAATGATCAATTGAATTAAATTGCGTTGCAACAAATATTGGGACTTACTAAAGGTGTCAAAAAGTGAACTGTAAAATATGTTTATCAGACTTACAAACCTATTGTTGTGTTTAAGAGACCCAAAAATATCCATGATCATATTGTGCATTCTAGCTTTTAAAAGCAAATGTCAGTTCATTCATCTTCTCCTTGTAGCAGAAGTAGATGTTCTCATTGTAATCGAATTACTTCGGATGTATCTTTTGCAAGCAGTGTCACAGGCGAAAAATATACACTGAGAAACCCTACAAACTGTTGTACAAATAATGTTATTTATTTAATCTTCTTTCAAAAATGCAATATGCAATATGTTGGCCAGACATCACAACCGGTTTCACGTAGAATGAATAGTCATAAATTTGATATTACAAATTTCAAAGATCCAGCGTTTTCACTCTTGTTGCAACGGATTTTAATTCAATTGATCATTCATTTAATGACTTTTCATGTTTACCGTTTGAGATTGTCAGCGACACAATGGAGCGTCTATGTAGAGAAACCAACTGGATGATCAAATCATTCAATGAACGTTCGCCACTCTTTCTCTCAAAAAAGCGGAAGAAATATATTAAAAATTAATTAAGGAAAGTCAGTGTATTAAAGACACCTGGGGTTTCACCATAATTGGCCGTTATATCAACACAGCTTAATTGTGGAATTTCAAAGACGCCCTTAAAAGCAGGAAGTGTATGGAAGTGAATTGTACTGAAAGTGACGTTTCACGGTAAATATGTTAACATTATTTAATTTCATTGACAGATTGTTTAACCTTTCAGGGGAAATGTACTATAAAACAATTAAGTCAATAGCACCTGGAACTGAAATGTTTGTTTGGTATGGAGAAAGTTATGCCAGGTATTTAGGACTCAAGCCGTTTAAACACCCTCGATATAATCACGGAGAAGGTAACTAAAGAGAATTATAAACATTATATTAATGAAAGAAATGTATAAACAGTAGCTTATTTTGGCAATTTTGTCATTCAAACATATTCTTGTAAACACTTCTAGAAAAAAAATTTGACAGAAAGATTTTTTTTAGATTATAATATTAAGGATATTAAAACGAAGTAATACAAAAGTAAACATCTTCTGATTTCATCACTAGACACGTCACACACAGATGAGTAACTTATTATACATTCCACGCGTTGTCTAATTATTGACATAGCATTCAAAATTCAGTTCAGATACAAAAATGATATAAGTACACAAAAAATAATCATAATGATAATGATAATTACGGTGAATACTGTAAATACACACAGATAATCTAACATAAAATAACACTAATTTAACCACACTTCTGTCAAAATGATTCAAGAAATGGACATCATAACACTCAAAATCATTTTCAACAATAATGATATGTAGCCGCTCGTGTGACTTAGATGCATATTTTTATTTTCATATAAGGATGTATTACCGCTTCGATCTTTTGGTACAAATATTTCTTGATTACTTCCCTTAAACTTTCTGTACATAATTTTAAACAGAAAATAAATGAACGCAAATATTCTGTATATAACAGACATAAACAGGGTTCAGAAACCCAACGGCTCTTAAAGCATAAGCTTGGAACATGTAGTATATGCTTAATGAGGGTTCATCCGCCCATTAAGGCACAAAAAGCAGATTTCTTTGTCGAGTACGGACCCCGGACATGTCACTAGTCATGCCCTTAAAAAGTAATTTTGAAGCACAATGTGGTGATAATTCACTTCCATGCAATTTCCACGGAGTATTAGCCAAATACATGAATTTTGAGCCAAAGGTAGGTCACTGTACAGGACATCGGCAGTTAACTTCAAGGAAGCTAAGTCGTGCCGCCTTCTACTTAACTCCGAGCTGAAGAAAATGTGCGAACTTGTAGTGTTTGTTACACGTAGCTTTGGTTCTTCAATCATTTGCCGATGCCCTGTGTCTTCTCAACGACGTATATGTACCGAGGGGAAGAGAGAAGATATGTAATCATATTGTTCATATACTTTTGACCCTCAACCCGTTTACAAGATGCATTTATCACATACCCGTGCCGATTTTTCAACTCCGTAAAATTGTATGGCTAGATCATGCAAATATTTTGACTTGACGTCACTTAACAGTAAAGGTAAATGATAAATCGAATATTATATTCGTTTAGGTTCATTGCTAAATTTATTGAACTCTTCGAAAAAAAAAATATATTATGGTCGCCAGAGCCTCGCATAGTATTATTTTATCCAACTCGTTAAATAAATTTAATGTTTAACCCACTTTCATTCAATATCTTCTATGTATCTCCATTAAACATGACACGTTTGTTACTGTCATATCAGTGTGATATTTATTTTTTGTTTTTAAGCTGGTTATGCAGGTGGCAATTGCGACTATGAAGATGAAAGAAAGCCATGTTTACATGATAAGAACACTATTTGTGCAGAGCAATATTGCTTCTGCATGCGTGGATCTCATTACAGAGCTGGAATGTGCTATTTAGGTATCTCTCTAATAATATTTCCCCGTCGTACATTATTTTCTTTCACTTTTATATGATTATTTTAAGTCTAAGATAATTTGAACTAAGACACGATCAATATGCAGTAAATGAGAAAACAATGTTTGTTTCTTTATAATCAAGAACTAATCAGTAAATAAGAAGGAAAGTAACAGAAGGTCAAATTCTAGTTTTATCAATCAGAGAATTATTTGTCACACATAATCTGATATTGATGTGAATGAAAATACCAATTTTTATTAGCTTAGTGACAGCACAAGAAGCGTTTGTACTTGCAGGTTAACAAAAAGTAAATGTAATATGAAACTAGATCAGCACCTCATTAACTTAATAGATATAATATTTTTGATAAGCAGTCATAAAACCCTTGAGATTGCCATAACTTAAGTTTTTAGAATTATCGTCAATAACAAAAAGATCAAGATAATCTAAAATGTTTTAGTGTTTAATGTTTTTAAATGTTTAAAGAAGGAACATTGGGAGGGCGGTGTAATGGATTTGATGGAGAAACATGTACACGAGACAAAAACGCTGTTTGTCAGAGAGGTCTTTGTGTTTGTAAAAATAACACACTACCTGTAAATGGAGTATGTAGACAAGGTAAAAGCTGTTTGATATGCAATTTGTCATTCTTTCAATAATTAACTATAAGTCATTATAATGTTTAAACGTTTTGAATTCTAGTAATTTAATACTTTTATCATACAAATACCCGAATTGTAATGTAAATACTATGGGTTCATATAATATGGATTCACTAAAATAAAATTACATTCATCGTCGATCCCTGTAAAACACCAAGTTGGTGAACATCTTTCGTTATGTTATATTCTATTACGTCCAGTTCCGGTTTAAATCCTATCTTAATTTTAACTCTGCAAATGTTCCTTGCATTTCTTTTTGCAATTTATCGTTCATAAATATTGTTCCATACAAACAAAAGGGTATCTTCCTAATTTGCCATACACATCTTACAACAAGCACTTTGTTTTACTCCCAATATTGATTTCAATATCTTTAGATTTAGTAAAACGCAAAACAGTATATGCAATTAAGTATTGAGCCAACTTAGGCGTTAAATGATACTAGTGAAACTTTTGGATTTAATGAAATATGCTTTGTTCTTGTAAATTGCAATGCTCGTCTTTTTTAAACTATTTCCATTGCAGGCATTGTGAAATTAAAGCAAGAGATATCATAAGTTTATTAAAAGAACCCCTAAATAATTATAATCGTTAACAATAATACATGTACATAGTTCATATAGGTTGAAACCACAGGCCATTCGGTTTTGTAAAAACTGTTCATGGTCATCTAAAATAATGCAAATACTTCCGGACGATTAGTTTTCCTTGCCTTAAACCTATTGACTTTATTTTTATATAATCATTTTTCAATTTGTTTGAATATATTACCTAACACATTCTCGGAAATAAAATTTAGTATGAATTTGTATACAGAAAAAGTAAATCAACTTTTTCTTTTTTTTATGAAAGGATCCTCACTAAAATCCGATCTTTGCTAACTTGTGTACTATTTTTGTACACATATTAAATGTTGTGTTATTATTATTTTTTTGTTGTCGTTTTTTTTTGAGAAGTTTATGAAAAATAAAAATATTTGACTTACACAGTTTTATTTTCCATATCGATATGCAAAGATGAAACATTGGGTGGTCGATGTGCAGGAAGCAATGGTGAGACATGTGGTATAGATAACAATGCGGAGTGTGTTAATGGTTTGTGTAGATGTATGTATGGTACTACTGTTATAGATGGAGTTTGTGTCATGGGTATGTTAATGAGAGAGACAAATTTTGTTTAAGAATACGTATGAAATAGGAACGGCTACCCAAACCTACGTAAATAAAATGATGCATTCGAAGTACCAAGCAATTCATAATATTTTTGCTTTTCTAAAATTTGTTTCTTTGAATGTGAACATATATTCTGTAGAGTTTGTTCAAGCTACGTAAGTTAAACATATTTTAAACCAGGTTCTGGTCATTAGAAACTTTGCTCAATTTTAATTATATACGTATCCACTGAAATATAAGGTGAATATAGTGTTTCATTTATACAAGAATATTTAAAAAAAAATTTATATTGGAAATAATCTTCAATTTATTAGGTAATCATATGAAATTAATTAAATGGATTTGCTTAAGTTTGTTCAAAAACCCGACAGACATTATATCACAAGTTACTGTACATTTAAATTATATGCTATTATCCTTTTTATATGTTTTCTATCATTGTTTCGGAAAAAGTAAGGTGTTCGTTTACCATGACCATTAACTTTTATTCAACAGATGAAACATATAGAGGGAGATGTATAGGAAAAGATGGGGAGCCATGTGTGAAAGACCCAACTGCTGTTTGTTGGAATAAAGTCTGTAAATGTATTGAATTTTATAGTGATGTAAATGGAAAATGTACACGGGGTAAGCAAAATTTGTATCATAGTTTGGGGACCTTTCTGTTGAAAAAGTGTCAGAGTTAAATCGTATACATATACATGCACAGTGCGGTAACTGGAGTGCAGGTATCAGTTACCCGCACTCCAGATAATGCCCGTGGATTGGTTCATTTTTGCCGGGGTTTACATATAGTGACGGCAGAGAAAGGGAAAGGGGCTGAACTATCATATTCAAATGCTCGTTCATTGGTTATTTTTTTCTGGGATTTCATATTACGGGAACGTACTGTCATGTTTGACTATGATACAAAAGAGAAAGAACACCAAAACACTCGGCAATCTGATTTATACTCGGGGGCTACGCCCTCTCGTACAAATCAGATAGCCTTGTGTTTCGGTGCTCTTTCGGTGCATGTATATGTACAACGGGAATGAATCTCTTATTAAGAAAAACATATATTTGGAATTTAGAATTTTTATGTCAATGTTACTAGTTTTCATGCCTTTCATTATTTTTAGCTCCATTTTTTTTTATTTAAGATGGTATACTGCTTATAAAGGGGTAGCCCAGGCAAACAGGTTACAACTTTAACAGCCCTTTATAAGCAGTCTCAGTCAAGCTGATTGTGCGATTGTCTTTTTGTTATTCATTCAGCATAATGCGCCGAAAAAAAGTGCATTATGTCAAAGTGATTCATTTATGTTCAATAAGTAATTGTCCGTTTAGGTAGTGGTTTGAGACCACAAGCATCTGGCCGTAATGTTAATTTAAAAGATAAAATCGTGTAATATTTTAGTTAAGTCAATAGAAAGAAAGAGTATGCGAGACTTAATGACAATGTAATGAATATAAAGGGTGAAAATACCATTTATTCCTTTTTATCCCCACTTGTAACATATCATGCAGGCTGTTTTCAAATGCTGATTGCAGTTTCATTAAATTCATGATTTGTTTAAGATGGATATTTTGGAGGACAATGTGTAGAGAAAACATGCCTTGGAAAGAACGTGGTATGCGATAAAGTCACGAACACTTGCACGTGTAAAACACATTATCAACAAAAAGATGGAAAATGCGTTAAATCTAAAACTATCTGTTCATCAGGTAAACATATAAAGTTTCAATAAACATTATTATACAATATTTAAATGACATTTTCTTTGTTTAAACGAACATGGAATATATCTTAAGGTATTTTCTGTGGGTGAAGCACGGATAAATATATAAAAAAAGTTCTCATTTTGAACCGACGTATGTTCCATTTATAAAAATCTTAACCATTTTTATCTTCTTAAAACTGTTCCATTTTAACTGATCTGTTGTTAAACAAAACTTGCTTATTTGTATCATGATATAACATTATCAATGACGTTGTGAAATGCGTTCTTTTTATAATATGAATGTATAGAATATTTTTACAGAAGGTACTTCTCACGCAGCATAGTGACTATCTCACAGATGGTCTTTGATTTATCTCATCAAAAATCATAACATGAATTATATGTTTCTAATTTTAAACAATATTTCTTACTATTTCAAAAATCTCAGTATAGTGTATGCAGCTTACTTATTACATGTGTTTAACCTTTATTACAGCATCAAACAAAGAATAGGTTAGCTTTAACTCAAGCCACATGGTCATGATCAACACGGTATTGTGTGAAAGAATTAATGTATTTCCATGATATCAACAAAATACACAATGCTGTTGAAGTAATTGTTTATGCAAACAATCTTGTTCTCTAGGACTTGAATTGAATGAATCTGTCTGTTATGTTTAATTGAAATAATATGTGTTTACATCTTAGAGACTATAGAGAAATATGATTATCATGTACGTGATACTTGTTTATATGTTGGGTTGTATTTGCCTGTATTTGTATTTGGTTTTATTTTCATTTTGGAACAATAGAGTGCTTTTGGGTGTTTGTAACAACCCTTATTGAGTGAGGTTGAAATTTCTTCTTTTAAAGATTAAAAGATTTTTGTTGTGTTGTGAGTAGAACTCGTTTTAAAGAAATATAAGGCAATCGTTTTTGTTTTGTTATGGTACGGTACAGAATAGAATGTTACTAATGTTGGGTTGTATTATAATTACTACTTTTTGGGTGTATTTGTATTTATTTTCTTTTTTGGAACAGGCAAGTCCTTTTTGGCGTTTGCGTTGGTAAACAACAACTCTTATTGAGTGAGGTTGAAATTTCATTTTAAAAAATAAAAGAGTTTTGTTGTGTTTGGGCAGAACTCGTTTAAAGAAAGATAAGACAATCGTTTTTGTTTTGTAATGGTGCAGAAAAAGAGTTTTCAACAACAACAACAACAACAACATGTATGCAAACAGTTTTTGCACTTTCGCCCAAGCATACAAAGACTTTATAAAACAAACATGTTTCTTTGTTATATAAGAATTAGATTTTACTTTTCTTGTAACTTTTTTATTATAATAAAATGTGCTTATTGAGCACTGGTGCACTGTCTGTTGATGCTCAAACAAACATAAGTTTATGGTGCAACAATACTTAATTAGTTTTATCAATAATCATTAATACCATAAATGTTTATGTATGTATCTAAAAAGTATGAAGCTATATCTTGAGAAAGTTTTTTTCCAAGATTTATCAACAGAACGTTGTAAAATTGTATTGTTACTATAATATTATGGTCGATTTTCGAAAAAAAGTTAATTAATACTTCTGTTCTGTTCTATTCATATGAATATTGTACGTAAACAGAAAAGAATTATTCGGAACTAAATATTATGCTGATTTTTAAGTAGAGTTATAACTGTTTAGAAATTAATTCATGCATGCGCCATTCACTTTTAAGGCAATACTAGTATATTACATTTTTACTTTCATATTTGTATTCGTTTGTTTAATTCAAGCAATAATATTTTGCCACAGATATATGGCTTTAAAGCATGTGTAAGTTCTATGTGTCAATAATCATTTAATAGAATATTTTGCTTTAGCTTTGCAATTGTTTAGGCAGTATGTCACAATTTTTTCACCTAATGATATAGGTGTATCTTTAAATCATGTGATCTACATTTGCTATACATGCATTCATAATGCATAAAATGAGATTTTCGTTTAGCTTTGTATTCGTTTTGTCATTTTGTCACAAATTTATACCTTATGATTGTCTTCTAGTCAATTTTCCTACTTATTTGAGTGATGAATGTTTTGGTATATGCTCACCACATTATATATGAATGTACACAAATGATATGATCAGGGTGCTGAAATAAATGGATTTTTTTTACATTTTCTGTATTGTTTTGTATTGCATTTCAGTTTTGCATCATTCCAATAATTACCTTTCTTACGATTTATAATTATCAACGACAGTACTATACTTGTGACCTTGCGATGGTATTTACTCTTTATTTTCAGTTACCATACCATTCAAGGTGTCAATGGTACACTTTAAAAAAACATGAACGTTTATTTGGCGCATGAATTGAAAAGAAGAATAAAATCTTATTACAGGTATTTAGGGCGAACGAACTAAATTGCAGTGCGATTAATCGTTGATTAACATAACATTTACTTTTACTTATCTAATAAGTCATATATAACGTTACTCTCTATCTATTTTGAAAGCGAACATATTTGGCCTACGTCCTGAAGAATATATAGTTCCCTTGTACTTATTAGTGATTCATTAGTGATTCATTGTTAATTCAGATCATTCAAAATTTAGTACAAATAGCTCGTACGCATGAGGCGTTAAATGTTTGTTACGTGACTCGTCGTTAATAACGTTTGTCGCAAACTAATGTTTTGTAGCGAGGACAATAATATTTAAAATAATCATTTTAATTTCAAATATTCCAGTCAAATATATATCCTATGTTAACTTCGTTGCTCTTAATCTACTAAATAGCCGCGTCACGACAAAACCAACATAATGGATTTGCGACCAGAATGGATCCAGACCAGCCTGCGCATCCGCGCAGTCTGATCAGGATCCTTGCTGTCCGCTATTAGTTTCTCTACTTGTAATAGGGCTGGTAAGCGAACAGCATGGATCCAAAACCTGATGGTCAGTGTCAGTTAAAAGCATTATCAACGAATGTTTTGGGTAGAAAAAAATGCTTTTTAACAAATGAAATCAGGAGTTATGGACAGTTTTTTTAATATGCTCTTAAGCGTATAATAATAACAGAAAAACAAGAACTGTCGGAGGACAGTAACGCTCGACTATTCCAAAATTTGTCACAAGGGTGTTTCATTGAGTATAATAATGCTTACCTATATGAATACATAAAATTGTACGAAAAGGTACAAACCCTTCAAGTTTCAATACAATCACAGAGACCAAGTTTGTGAAGTTTCAATCCATTCCCTTCAGTAGTTATGGAGATACCAGCTTACACACAAAAACTTAACCACAAATTTATGAATCGAAAAAGGGGAATAATTATGCGAAAAAGTAAATCAGAGTTATGGGACTTGTGCCAATCATCTTAAATAATCACAGAGACCAAGTGTGTGAAGTTTCAATCCATTCCCTTCAGTAGTTATGGAGATACCAGCTTACATACAAAAACTTAACCAAGAATTTCTAAGATAAAAAAGGGGCATAATTATGTAAAAAAGCAAATCAGAGTTATGGGACTTGTGCCAATCATCTAAGATAATCACAGAGAACAAGTGTGTGAAGTTTCAATCCATTCCCTTCAGTAGTTATGGAGATACCCAGCTTACATACAAAAACTTAACCAAGAATTTCTAAGTCGAAAAAGGGGCATTTTTATGTAAAAAAGCAAACCAGAGTTATGGGCCTTGTGCCAATCATCTAAGATAATCGCAGAGAACAAGTGTGTGAAGTTTCAATCCATTCCCTTCAGTAGTTATGGAGATACCCAGCTTACACGCAAAAACTTAACCAAGAATTTCTAAGATAAAAAAGGGGCATAATTATGTAAAAAAGCAAATCAGAGTTATGGGACTTGTGCCAATCATCTAAGATAATCACAGAGAACAAGTGTGTGAAGTTTCAATCCATTCCCTTCAGTAGTTATGGAGATACCAGCTTACATACAAAAACTTAACCAAGAATTTCTAAGTCGAAAAAGGGGCATAATTATGTAAAAAAGCAAATCAGAGTTATGGGACTTGTGCCAATCATCTTAGATAATCACAGAGAACAAGTATTTGAAGTTTCAATCCATTCTCTTCAGTAGTTATGGAGATACCAGCTTACATACAAAAACTTAACCAAGAATTTCTAAGTCGAAAAAGGGGCATTATTATGTAAAAAAGCAAATAAGAGTTATGGGGCTTGTGCCAATCATCTTAGATAATCACAGAGAACAAGTGTGTGAAGTTTCAATCCATTCCCTTCAGTAGTTATGGAGATACCAGCTTACATACAAAAACTTAACCAAGAATTTCTAAGTCGAAAAAGGGGCATGATAATGTAAAAAAGCAAATCAGAGTTATGGGACTTGTGCCAATCATCTTAGATAATCACAGAGAACAAGTGTGTGAAGTTTCAATCCATTCCCTTCAGTAGTTATGGAGATACCAGCTTACATACAAAAACTTAACCACAGGGACGCCGACGCCGACAAATGGGTGACTGCATTAGCTCGATTATTCTACGAATAGTCGAGCTAACAATACTTGATGTGAAGTTTAACGAATGAACAGTATGATTTAAATAATAATATAATAAGAATTGAATTAGTTTGTAGTATATTCACTATCATATGTCATGAACAGACTCAAACAAACCGAGGCTGTAGTTTTACATTTTGCTCTTACTGATATCGAGGGCTTTCCCTTTTCTAACAATGGTGTTGAGTTCTGGCAGATATAAAAATACTCAGTACTTCATCTCAGTGTTATGTTATATTTTTCGGGTTATGCAATGATTCCAAAGCTTCTATTGTTGAAGATAAAATAAATCAAATACCACTTGCGTTGACTTAACTTGAGATTATAAAGCCGGTGCTAGTGGGCGTGCTAGATATGACGCCCATAGTTCTCTTGATGAATCTCAATAAAGACAGAGTCTACAATTTTCACTTTATTGTTTTTGTGTTTTTTTTTTACTATAGAACTTTCAAGACACAAACATATATGCTTTATTTAGTCTAATTCCTCCGTTTACGGGAGGCTTCATATATATATTTAATCAATTCTTTTCTATAATAGTATCTATAGCTTAATGATGTCTTGATATTTTATGATCAATAGCTATAGCTTCTTTTATTTACTCTAGAAATTTGCTGCATAAGGAAATTGTTGTCTTTGATCTCTGCGGAGGTTGCTGTAAAATTAAGTGAAAGACGGTGTTTTCATACACGCTTCATTTAAATTATTTAAATTGTATTATAAACGTATGTGATGCAAAATAGGAACTTTAACTATCACTGGTGAATATTTAATAACGTATGAATATTTGATAACGTATACACATACCATTGTTACTTCTAACAATTTATAACTACATTAATAATATTGTAAAACTAAACGGGTTTTTAATGAACCATCCATTGTATATTACTAACATAAATCATCCAAAAATAATAATGAAGTAGTTCTGACGCTCTCGTCATTGCGTTATGTAACATAGTTTTATTTGCCAAGTTTGCGTATAACATTTATGTCATGGATTCATGCCGTAATAAGAATTTCGTTTCCGGTCACGCCAAGTCGGAAAGATATTCCCAAACGTAATGTATAAAGTATGTTCATGCATATATATTTATAGTCATTTTCTGTATTTAAATGTGATGTATTTAGTAGTGAAATGTGTTTCCTACGGAAGAGTATACTGACCCCCCTTATATATTTTATATGCCTGTTTAAAATAGGACGACACGTGATAACAACATAGTTCGTAATGGTTTTTTAAAAGTTATTAATATAGTTCATATTGATCTTTTCTGTTTTTTGGCTACTATACTGTTAAAGATACGTATTATAAACTTAAGTCTTTCTTAAGACCTTACTTTTATTTATAAGAAATATGTTTTTTCTTCTTTTCATTGAAATTCTACCTCAAGAAGCAGACGTTTCCTTGGAGTAAACGCTTTTATTTATTTGAAAACAGTATGTTTTCGAGGCACTATTTGTTTGACAGATATAGAGATGATATAATCATATACAATATATATATTCTTTACCTGAGTTTTTAGCTTAGATGATATTTTATATGTTTCGTAAAAAAAGTTGATCGTTATGATAACACGCTTGCGGTACACGAGTACTTTGCCAGTATTATATATATAATTGTAATTTAACTTTTATATATTATTATTATATAAATGGCATTGAAACTTTGAGTAACTTATACTATAAATATTTCTTACATCAATTTCAATGATTATACATGTTTTTTTTTTATATCAAATCGAGAAAAGGGCCGTTAAATATTATAATAATAGATGCGACTTATTATACCAAGATAATCTAATTTAATTTATAAATTCATACATCTTTTTTCATGAGATTCATATGATAAAGGCTAAAGTGCACAACTACTGTATGTTAAGAAGAACATTCTGTTCTCTTAAATTTCCAAATATCATCGAAGAAACAATGCATATTTGTGATTTATGGTGTATAATAACAGATAAAACTCTGTAAGATCTATTTTAAATATCATATAACTTGTCAATTTTTTAAAGATATGTATTATACAAACGTTTTTTTTCTTGAAGGCATAAAAAATATATAAGGGGGGTCAGTATACTCTTCCGAAGTTTCCTCATACTTCTAATTAAAGAAACATATCAGGTAGGTCAAACATAAACATTATGTGAATATTATATTATTGTTAAATCAATTAAGATACAAAGTATAAAAACAAAACTTGAACTGAATGTAACGTTAACATGAGATGAAACTGAAACGTTCAGATACTATATACATAAATGTGCAGAGACTTATATAGCTCTGATATATTTGGTGTAAGATTTTATGTAAAGGCACACCTATATATAAACATCTTACGTAATATAGAACACCCTACGCGTGCATTATATTGTCACCTACAGTATATATATCAATATTAACCTTGCTCACAGCAAGTCATAAACACTAAAGGTAAGAGCACATTTTATATCATAATAAAAACGTCAACTGACATGCTTATCTTTGTAATTCATTTGCCCGTCAAAGCGTATACGTTTATAATGTTTCATCACATGACCTTATTAATAAAAAGATCATAAAAACATAAAATACAATTTCTTCCTTAATAATATAAGCATATAATTCTCGTTTAATTTGTGTTTTTATTCATTTAACTTCATAACTTCGGATTATTGCAGATAAAGAAACTGTTTTGAAAGGAGTTTGCGGCATCAATGTCTAGTTAAGATGCGGCATGTAAGTACCTTTTTTAACTCTTGTTTCTGCTAACTAGCATTTCAAATTTTCCAAGACAGCGTCACAAAATAGCAAGGAAAACTATCAACTTTGTCATTTTAAGATTTTTTCAAAGAGTTATCTTAACTTTGGCGTTTCTGCACGCACTTCTGCCAATTCACTTAACGATGCTAAATCGACTGAAAAGTTTATGCTCCATGATAATTCATATAGGTGTTTCTATGAAAACGACATACTATAAATAGAAAATGTTTTAATAAAATGGCAAACGTGCTTTAAGTAGCAGGCGCTTAAGATTGGGTGCTATTTTTATCTTAGTTTTAAAATAGATGACAAATGTTTAGAAATTTTCTGATGTATGTGCTGTTTAAAATAAAAATACCTTTCACAAGTTACTGACTTGGTAATATTAAAATAAAACGACATGTATGTGCTGTTTTAAATAATTACCTTATTACAAGTAATTGACTTGGTAATATTACAATAAAAAACGACCAGTTGTGTGAATACTGATTTAAGTTGACAGTTTAGTGATATATTGTCTGTTTTAGTGATAAATAACTTGTCAAGAAAGTGTGGGGTCATGTTATATATACATTTGAGCCGCGTCACGACAAAACCAACATAGTGCGTTTGCGACCAGCATGGATCCAGACCAGCCTGCGCATCCGTGCAGTCTGATCAGGATCCATGCTGTCCGCTATCAGTTTCTCTACTTGTAATAGAGATGCGCAGGCTGGTCTGGATCCATGCTGGTCGCAAACGCACTATGTTGGTTTTGTCGTGACGCGGCTCATTTATGTTATAACAACAATCTTAAGTTGTGGTCTTCTTATAAATTAAAACCCGCGGAAAAATGAAATCGTGTTCTGCCTCATCATAAATGACTTTGATTACATGTTTCATCATTAAAATATCTTAATTTACATTTTGTGAATCCCATCTATGTATATCGTAGTTGATGATTTATGTGCAAAGCTTAAATAATATTTATTCTGTGCTGTTACTTTTCAAAAAAAAAAAAAAAAACTGCAACACTAAAATGAAGTATTGATAAAATGTCATCATGCCAGGGATTTATAACTAATTGTATAAAATGACAAATTTGTCACACCCCGGGGCAGACACGTGTTGCCATATTGTGATATGTATGTAAATATATACATTTCAGAGATACGGATGAGATAGTCATGGTTCTAGGAGCGTTTACGAGCGTTTGGCTCTATGTGTTGCTATTAAAGAATTATGCCGCGGCAAGTTGTATAGGTGGAGAAACAGGTATTCATAGCAGTTGTTTTGGTCCTTAATCTATTCACCTATTCACAGTTATATAATTATTGAACTTTTCACTTATTAATGAATTAACGTTGTGCATCATTTTTTCATTTTCTTTTCTTTTCTTTTATATATATTGTGTCGATGCAAAAGATAATATCACATGGAATATGCGCAAGGTAGGTAATTGCATAGTATTTTAGCCTTTCTAGGGTACATTTCATGTTTTTGTTTGTTTGTTTGTTTGTTTCATTTTACGCCTTTTTCCAACAGTATTTCAGTCATATAGGCGGGTAGTTTCCTATCCATCGTTCCTGGAGAGTTACACCAGTACTAGACTACCTTCCTCCGCGCTAAACTACCAAAGCATTCATGTAAGCAGTAGTAAATTTTTTAAGTCACCAGTTTGACAATATCATATTTTATTGTGTAAAATAATTTCATGAATCGATAACATCACGCCAATATGTTGCATAATGACCTTGGCAATAAGTTGATTGTCATGCAAGTTATAGGTGAAAGAAATATACAATAATGTACAAATATACTTACATTTATAATATATTCTATTTTGATACTTATTGTGTTGTTTTTCTTTTAGGTTATGAGTGTTATAGTGATGTATATAACCAAGGTAAGTTTTCTGCTCTTCATTTCACTTGTCATCAATTCAACAACATTAATGAAATGTTTGGCAAATTTATACAAGCAATTATCATCTTTGGTTGATACTATATTCACGTCAGTATAATTTAATTTGACATAAATGTAGAAAATAAAATGTATCAATGTAAACTGCAACGTATAAGATGTTTTTTAATTGTTTATCTATTCTTTTGCTTTGTTTCGTTAACGGTGTCCAAAAAATGTAACATGTATGAACTGACCCCACAACTATTTCTTTTTTTATGATTATACAAAGATAAGGCTCCTAATTCTACTAAAGGCGGTGCTGGGTGGGGTGGACTATAGATTGTACTTGACAGTACCGTCCATGAACAGGTTCAATGCAACATTTTCAATTTTACAGTTTTGGACTTTCTTTAGGGATTCTTATTTTCTCTATTTTGACAAATATACCAGTTAAGCAGCTAGTTATTTTGTGTGTCTTCCAGAGGTTAAAGAATTTATATGTTTTATTCCAGGTATAGATATCGGATACAGTTGTACTCATGATGTTCAATGTACGGCAGGAAATGGAGGAGAATACTCAAAGTGCAACAAAGATCTGAACATTTGTATATGTACAATAACTCATCTAGGTGAGTAATACTGATTACAGAACTATTTTGAAGGTACTAAGTGTTGTATAACAGCTGTATAATGTCGTTTGAATATAAAACTAATTTCAAATTGAGTAAAAAGTGAAGTAAAACACTTCCTCTGTTAATTCTTATACAAGATTTGTAAATTATGAAAATATAAAAATCTAAAGTATAATCGTAGCTGAAAAATGTTTTAACATAAGTAATTACAATATCAAATGTCTGCTTAGAGTTTGTTTCATATTTAAAGTTCATTTTTGAAAATAAATGATATTTACAGGCGAGGACAAATGCATGCCCGACAGTGATAAATATTTTGGTGTATGTAGGAAACCCCTGCGACATATAAAGCCGGGTTTCTGCACTTTAGAATGTTCACCTAAAGGTAAATATTTTTTTACATAACACAGATGAAAGTTTAACTTCTTTATAAAATTATTTCATATAATTGTAAGGTATAAGAAACGTTTCAAACCCTGAGAAAAAAATATGTATTTCCTTAATCAATTTGATACTTCCTGTATAAAAATTATTATTTCTTTTATGTATATTACTCAGTATAAGAATTGAAGTTATAAATTTATCTAAAATGATCATTTTATATGATTTAGGCGACATATAAAACTGCGCGATCGTAGTAATGAATCATTGTCAAACTAATACAGTAGAACTTCTATGAACTTCAATAAGTCGATTTTCTCGATGTGTCGAAGTAAAATAAAGTCCCAATTTCACCCTTTAAGTATATATTCTTTATAAAAAAACCTGTATATGAGTCGAAATTTATGAGTCGAATTTTTCGATGTGTCGGAGATTTTTTCGCGGGCCGTGTAGAATAAATCGAGTACAATTTACAATAAATAAGTCGAAGTTCATTTACCAAAGTTCTACTGTATGCCGTACGTGTCTTGTAAATATTTGTATAAATATTATAGGGACCACAAAGTGGCAAGCGACACAAGATTGGTATGGGTTTACCTACGAGCCATTCGCAGCATTCATTCATGATAAAAAGGTGTGACTTGTTATATTTTCGAATGAAAATTATTCAAATTAATTATTTCTTAAAAATGCAATTCATTAAATTTTAATTCGTTACAACATTAATTTTTTTTACAAATGCATAAGTAATGTTTCATATATTTATATAGTAAGTTTTGATTCATCGTCGGATACGATTGATAAACATGTCACATAACCTGCAATCAATGATAAATGTTAATGGTTCGGCCGTGGGACTATCCGACGATGGTTTTGATTCTGACAACAATATATACCGTCTTTCAGACCTTTCGCATAATTCATTTTCTTAGACGTACAGACTATAATCAAATTAAGTACTTTATTTTTTTTCAATACACCTCCTTTCTGTAGAATATTTCAACACTGATATTTTTTCTATTGTTTCTATACATACAGACATCAGTTTGTTATGATCCACTCAGAGCTGTTAACAGCGCTCCGGATGAAATCGAGATAAAGCCGTCAACGATTCCAAATGCAGGTTTTGGGGCGTTTGCAAAGATGTTTATAGAACAAGACACAGTATTTGCACCTTACAAAGGTACATTTGAACCAGAAAGTGATGTTGCAGGCCAGTCAGGTTATAGTTGGAAGGTACAGTTTGCTTCAAATGCATCAATGATACCATTGCATTGTATTGTAGAGATTGCCCTAACAATTGACTCATTTCTGTAGCAAAATATTACTGGATTAACAAGCTGTCAGTAATGAAGAAATGTAATTTAATAAACGATTTCATACAGAAGACGCAGAAAATAATTAAGTAAGTAATGATTCGGATGATTTTGTTTGTAACAAAATAACTTAATATTTTTCCTCGTCGTGGTAAGAATTGCTATATACAATAAGACTTCTTTTTGTTCTTGTGGTAAAAATCTTATGTTTATTTATGACGATTATACGAGTTGTATGCATTGTTTTCAAATTCAATTTTCAGCAAAAAAAACTGTACTTAAAATACTGAATAATAATAATAATAATAATAATGATAACAGTAATAGTTATAATAATAATAATATTAATGATGAAAAATAACATTACTAAGGCTTTATACATACTAGATCTTTGTTGAAATATTGATGTATCTCATTCCAAATAAACGTACAGATTTTAGAAAATTTAATACATTGATGTCATTACCTTAGATAGATACGCGGACAGGTGAGGGCCGAGCTAATACTATATGGATAGACGCCAAGGATGTAACATTGTCCAACTGGTTAAGATATGTTAACACTCCAACATCCGCCGAGTCGGAGAATGTTTTCGCATTTCAATATAAAGGTATGTGCACGTAAATATAAGTGTGTAATAGTTATTACTTTTTTAAATAAAATATTTATTGTCTATGAAACATTATTTATGGGCGTTATAAAGGACAAAATATTGATGATATATGGACAATCTATATACAGTAAACTTCACTTGTAGCGGACACGGTTATAGCGAACTCCCGGTTATAAGGAACAACTGTTTTTGGCCTGAATTTTACCGTTTTTATTAAATATAAAAAATACGATTATAGCGAACACGTTATAAGGAATTATCGCTTATAAGGAACTCATTTTTTTTAGTCCAAGTTTATGTTAAACGTACAGAAAATGACACTTTTATAACTGTATATTTTACATTTAACATATTTAAATCAGGTGAAATGTACTACCAGGCATTCAAGTCGATACAACCTGGCACGGAATTACTTGTTTGGTATGGCGACTCATACGGTGAATTCTTGGAAATTGAACGCTTTAATCCGCCAAAATATTACAGCGCACAATGTAAGTCTGAATGTATACAATTTACAAAAAAAATATTCTAGAATAGTCTATTTTCTAGCTAACATTTTAGTTTATGTCGAAACTTGATAATGTATACTGTAAACTAATATAAAAAAAGAAATGCGGGCTGAAGAAGTGAAACCTAGCTTGTAACTATGTATATTTATTTGTATCTTTAGTCTTGACTCCGCTGCCCAAACGATTTTGCCACCAGTAGAGAGCAAAGCCAGTCTGGACGTCTTCTAGTCTAACCGTGCTCTATACTTATGATTTACTAACTCAAATTTTAAATCTTTATATCCCAAAATTGACGATGGACAGTCCCGAAGGTGGAAGCTGGTCAAGTAAAGTTGGTCCTTTCTTTAAATAAAATGCCAGTTTTTTAATGGCAGTATAAATTCATATTGTGACCACATATAGTGTGTAGATGTAAACATATAACAAATCTACTTTTGTGTTTAGTCAAAAATGTTTATTTTATATTTACAAAGAGACTGTGTAGCAATTATCAATTTTTTTGTATAAAATTTGAGCATAGTTTATCTTTAAGAAAATATCAGCTGGTTAATTGTTAAGCTCTCCAGTTAAGACTGTTTTTTTTTCTCAATATTTTCATTTTATCATCGACAGCGGGATATGCGGGTGGCCCGTGTCATGAGGATGAAGAAGGTCTTTCATGTTTTCATGATGATCATGCAGTTTGTGCAGACAAGACATGTTTTTGTATGGCTGGTACTCATATAAGAGCGGGAAAATGTATACCAGGTAAACTGAATCAAACAAGGTTATATGACACAGTAATTTGTTTAGCGAAGCAAAGGGGGACCACTGCGTAGTTTGATATACGAAAATAAATGAAAATGCTCTAAAAATGGTGGAAAAGAAGAGAAAAAATATAAGTAAGTTTTTATGAAGGTAATATAAGGTTTCAAATGCATTGAACCGAAGTGTAGAGTGTAGTACATTATAACAAGGGTTTATGATTGTTAGTGTTTGTTCATACATGTAATAGAAATTGTTTTCTATAACTTTAATGTCTGTCACAACACAGATGAACATAAATAGCTCTTGTTCGGACTATTTTTATTATCTTCCATTTTTCGGACGTTGACTGTTCCCCCTTCGCGAAAATACAATACATGTATGTATTGAATGAAATATGCATTGCACAGTTTGAACAGTTTTCTTCTGTTTTTGTAGACGAGACATTGGGTGGCGTTTGTTCAGGATTAGATGGGGAAACGTGTAGATATGATATAAATGCTGAATGTCGTGGAGGTGTATGTGTTTGTCGCAATAATTCTAGTCCTGCTAATGGAGCATGTAGGCAAGGTAACGAATGAAAAATTTCTAATTTCGTTAAAATGGTAGCCGATTTTATAAAATATTTTGATACAAAACTGTATTTTCGTAGATGTTTCATTTTGTTATTTACTAAAATACACAAATTAAAAATAACTCGTTAATTTGCCGGTTAGTGGGGTCTTTTTCATTCGTTCCCTTTAAAAGTTTCTTTTTATGATCTCTATGACAACATTTGTTTCCTTTTCAACTATTTAGATGAATCATTTGGAGGACGGTGTCGAGGTAAAGATGGACAGACTTGTATGAGGGATGATAATGCAGAATGTGTGCATGGTTTATGTAGATGTAAATATGGTACAACTGCTATAGGGAAAACATGCCTAAAAGGTATATACGTACTCGCGATTTCTAAATTTGAAGACATTTGGAAAAACATACTCTTATGTTGCTGAATATGTTTAAAGCAAAATATTGCCAAGTTTATCTGTTCCATAATACTTCCATGATACTACCAAAGTAAGGTCTAATGTCTATTAAAGCATATATCTAAGTTAAACATGTAGGCTTTGGTTCAGTTTTTTACAATGTTTTTTAGAATCCGCTTTTTTCTACATTTTCATAAACAATAGCAAGAATCTGGAGAAGAACTCTTATATGCTTTGTTATATGATTTCTGTTGCATTTATTTGATAAAAAACGTGAGCATTCTACCTTGTTGACGGGATATACAGGAGAATATAATCTGAATTACATGAATATGACCCGATGTCTTTGCACGTAAATAAATTACATCAGACGTCCAACGCCTTCCTATTTCAAGTTTAAAGTCATCATTACGGTGTAACTTTTAACTTTTATTGAGTAATGATATTGGAATCCGGAAATATACCATAAAGAAAAAAACGAAACAATAAATTTTATGGGCATATGTAGTCAACCGTCTGTGATGTAAAAAAAACAATGTTATTTGTGTGTGCGGTATATACAGCGTCGTACATACAAAGTTTTTTAGCCAATCAAAATTCAAGATTTTTATTTGCATAATAATAAGAAAGCATTTTTCATATAAAGATGAAACATACGGAGGTAGATGTTCAGGTGCAGATGGTGACGACTGTGAACAAGACAGCCTGGCCAAATGTTTGAATACTAGATGTGTGTGCAAGGTCAATTCAACACTTATAAATGGAAAATGTACTTTAGGTAACCATTCACGTTTGAAACTTTAAAGTCAATCGCAACTTTCGACCTTCGGATGAGGACCTCGAACACAATAGTAAGAATACACAGAACGGATACGGTATTTCGGTCTAACTTACAATAAGAAACTAAACATGTAAACACATATTAATGCTGGTGGTTGTTGACAAGTTTTTTCCCCCAATTAATCAAATAAAAATACTCCTTAAATAAGTAAATTCATAAATATATAGAGGATATTGAATGAGTGTAAGTTTAATACTGAATTTATTGCACGAGTTGAATAAAATTATATTATGCGAGCCTTTGGCTCAAGTTCAGTAATGAACTTACACGAATTTAATATTCTCTTTATCACATACCCAAAATAAAGACCGTTAAAAGTGAAATAAGAGTCATTTTTCATTGACGCGCCTGTAGTATAGCGCTAACATTAAGCGCGTCTTTACACTATGTTTGTATAACGCTAATGACGTCACGTCAAAATATATGCACGGCCGTGCAATACCATTTTTACGGAGTCGCAAAATCGGCACGGGTGTGTGATAAATAAGTAAACAGTACATTGTTTTCAATATTTCTATCTAATAAATAAAAGTAATAAGTTGTGTGTTATTTTGGAAAACTTATTAAAGACAGAAGTATTGTTAAGAAAAAAAACCTGGTACTGGTTTGAGTAAGGTAAACCTATCCAGGCAAGTACAATGTACTGTTAAAGTTATTATGACGAACATACTGTTTATTGAAAATGCATTTTATCTTACGAATACAATAAATTTAAAACTATCTTTGTTAGATGAGAAGGTTGGTGGGAGATGTAGAGGTGGTGAAGGCAGTCAATGTATGTTAGAAATTAACGGGGTGTGTAAAGATGGACTCTGTAGTTGTAAAGCCGACTCAACATATATAAATGGAACCTGTCGTTCAGGTAAGTTTGCAAGTGAAATAAATGCTCATTTACGTTTATATGAAATTTTTTTAACAGCTGTTTTAAATGAAATAAATCATGTAGTTGTGTGATACAGTCTGTATTGGGATAACAAGAGACAACGTTATCAGACGCTTTACCAATTCATATAAGACTAGGCGGATGCACTCAAATCAGATGCACTTATTGCTTTGGTACATGGAGACGGACAGACACTTAATTTCAATCAAATAAGGCCTATAAAGCCACGATGACAGAAAAACAGCATATTTACAAGATAACGAACAGTGCATATGTTTATGTACAAAACATTATCACAATATAGTTATGACTTTACATGTAACTATGTTATAAATAATAACACAATATTTTATATTATCATATTTAAGATGGTGCATTGGAAGGAATATGTATAAACGGTAGTTGTCGTGGAAACAATGTAAAATGTGACACAATAACAAACATATGTGGGTGTAAATCTACTCACTTTATAAACGCCGGGAAATGTGTGAAAAAATAAACAGGTACAATATATACAACTCGGAAAAAAATGGTTAAAAACAATTTAACAGATCTAGCAATACTTGTTATAAATTTAAGATTTATGTTTAATTTCCCTTCAAATCAAGTTTTATTTCGGCATGCTTAAAACAATATTCCGTCATTTAAATAGTTAATCAAATATGCCCATGTTTTACAGAGAATAATTATAAATCATACATGTTTATATCGTCTGCTGTACATTCTACATGACAATAAAATTGTAGATATTACAAAATATTACAAAACATCGACCTTTTTATTCTTTCAGAAAAAAAAACGCTTCAGAACCAATTGGTGCCAAACGGAAGAATTTCTGTGTAAGCCTATCACCAGAAAAAAGGATAAAATACGTGTCTTCGTCGGATTACACAACATGAAATTGTTATAACTACCATATACACATATCTAGGATATATGCAAAGTTTAGTGCTAACTGAAAGACTCACGATTGAAGCTTTGAATTTGTTAGTGCCAAAAAGAGATTTTGTATCAGAAATTTCAGGAATAATTTTATAAACTCTCGTGATTACATTACCAAACATATTGAGTGAATACAAGTTACCGCTTTTGTTATAAAAAGTTGAATTCACTTATTTTTGGATATCAGGTTTCTGCAATCAGGAATGTGACCAATGTGACCAGTGACATCAGCTCTCTTTGGAATGTTTCGGATATAATTGTGCTCTTATGTGTTATGAGACCCTTCTTCATAATGTCATGTGTTAATCATATTTCATACACTCACATGAATATCATCATCAAAGTTTGAGCCGCGTCACGACAACATAATGGGTTTGCGACCAGCATGGATCCAGACCAGCCTGCGCATCCGCGCAGTCTGATCAGGATCCATGCTGTTCGCTTTCCAACCCTATTACAAGTAAAGAAACTGATGGCGGACAGCATGGATCCTGATCAGACTGCGCAGGCTGGTCTGGATCCATGCTGGTCGCAAACGCACTATGTTGGTTTTGTCGTGACGCGGCTCAAATACAAAGTAAAATATGTCTCTAAATGCTGCCAAAATAAAAATGAAATACTATTCTTAGTGATTTTGATATAATTGTAATACATGAAAGGCGAATAGAGGGACTTTATTTACGCGTTTTTTTCTAGTATAATTTACATTGACGGCCACACGTATAAAATACCCTATTGGTTGTGTGTAATTCAAATTGTCATAGGCAAGTCTACCAAAATTTCGAAAATAAGACTTTCTGCTCGATGACATATTATGAATGAACAAAATTTAATTTAATATAAGCAATAGAGCATCTTGAGAATAACATGATTTATTTTTTTCCAATGGAGAGCAGGGGATACCTTATCAAGCCACAGCTTAAATTAACCGTGATCAAACCAACCCCTTCACAGATATCATTTAACAAGAGCTGTCGGTAGGACAGTATGCTCAACTATTTTCAGTGCTTGATAGTAAAACAAAAGCCTGTATAATGTAGAATTGTCTGTTTAAAAAGGACCATACTTCAGTCAAAATCCATGTTAGTCATGGGCACTGAAAAGTGACTTCCTTTTATGCTCTCAAATGAGTGTGAAGTATATACTCGACCACTTCAATAGTTTTGGAGTTACCAACTTGCACACACACAAAAAAACTAAACCAAAATGTGCAGGTGACGGCAACACCGACGCCCTGGTGAATAGCTTTCCTTATCCTTGGAATAGTCGAGCGCAAGATAAGGATTGTGATCGAAGATTCCCAGCAAACACATGACGTTAAAATAACATCGGATTACCGTTAGATTTTGGTCACAACGTCGGCGACCAAAATACGACGTAAATCTGACGTCCAAAAACCGATGTCTATTAGACGTTTCTGTTTGACGTCGTACTAACGTCAGGTTCTGGTCGGTGTCCTAACGGTAGGTAAAAAATTAACAAAAATAATCGTTATTCGCCGTTGTAATCATTTAAACTTTTTTTTCAAATGTTATTTGGCTTACAAATTAAGTATGCAGCGCCGCTAACTTGGTCTTCGAAAGGCACTTGAATATATAAAAAAAATACTTAAAAAATCTTCTTATTAAGAACTCAAAGAGCTAGAGCTAAGATATTTAGCATAAAACATGTTCTAATGGGTGTCTACCAAGTTTGTTCAAATAAAAGCCCTGGTGTCAAAATTGGCCCCGCCCCGGGGGTCATTGATTTTCCTAATATGTGTATAGCAAAAACTTGAAAATCTTCTTTGAAAATACCCAAATAGCTGGAGTATAGATATTAAGCATGAAACATCTTCTAGTGAGTGTCTACAAAGTTTGTTCAAATAAAAGCCCTGGGGTCAAAATTGGCCCCGCCCCAGGGTGTCTTTGATTTTCCCTATATGCATATTGTAAAAACTTAAAAAATCTTCTTTTAAAGAACTCAAAGAGCTAGAGCTAAGATATTAAGCATTAAACATGTTCTAATGGGTGTCTACAAGTTTGTTCAAATAAAAGCCCTTGGGTCAAAATTGGCCCCGCCCGGGGGGTCATTGATTTTCCTTATATGTGTATAGCAAAAACTTAAAAATCTTTTTTGAAAAAACCCAAATAGCTGGAGTTTAGATATTAAGCATGAAACACCTTCTAATGAGTGTCTACAAAGTTTGTTCAAATAAAAGCCCTGGGGTCAAAACTGGCCCCGCCTCGGGTGTCATTGATTTTCCTTATATGTGTATAGCAAAAACTTAAAAATCTTCTTTGAAAAAAAACAAATAGCTGGAGTTTAGATATTAAGCATGAAACATCTTCTAGTAAGTGTCTACAAAGTTTGTTCAAATAAAAGCCCTGGGGTCAAAACTGGCCCCGCCCCAGGGGTGTCATTGTTTTTAACTATATTGTGTATAGTAAAAACTTAAAAAATCTTCTTTTAAAAAACCCAATGAGCTAGAGCTTAGATGTTTAGCATGAAACATCTTCTTATTGGTGTCTACCAAGTTTGTTCAAATAAAAGCCCCTGGATTAAAATTGGCCCTGACGGGGGGACGGGGAGTAGATCATTTTTTTTTCATTATATGTGTGTAGTAAAAACTTAACATTGTGAAACATCTTCTAATGGGTGTCTTCCAAGTTTGTTCAAATAAAAGCCCTGGTGTTTAAACTGGCCCTGCTCCGGGTGCCTTTATACAGGTGAGCGACCTCAGGGCCATCATGGCCCTCTTGTTTTTTAATGCAATAATAGTGTTATTAATATGATTTTATTTTTAAACTTAGTTATATGTTTAGCAGTGTTGTGTTTAGGAAAAATCTAAACAATTGAAATATTATCAAACTAGCATGTACACAGGGGTTGTAAAATGGGCACAAAAGAAATTTATTGACTTAATTTGCTTTTAACAATTTATAAAGTATGTCTTCTTCATAACTTTGATAAAGAAATATTTCCAAAATCAAACCTGGATCATTTTGTACTGTACACCGAGCTATGGTACAATTTCAAATAAACCGCACCTGTTTATCCAGACTATATTAGCTTCTGCCAAATATGTCATTTAATTTCATGCTTTCCAGTGTTTTATTGTAATATATCAGATGATTAAATTCTGATAAACCACTAGTGAAATTTATAAAATATAATTTTCACTGTAGCCGGACTATATCTGAATGCAGATGAAAAGAAAATCATAACTAAATGTAATAACAGGCAGAAATAAATGACGTCATACGTAAATTTTGCTTCTTTAGGAAAAGAAAGTGTATGTCATCGTACATCATGCTAAAAGTGTAACAAAATTAGAGAAATTTAACAGAACTATACTATATTTTTAAAATTGATGATGTGACGTCATGATGTGATGACGGTACAAAGGAGAATGCGCGACGTTACACGGCAAAAGCTGCAAAAAATACTTAAAATCACTTAAAAAGCATGAAATAAAAAGAAAATTTATTTGTTTTACATATAAGATTGAAATATGTTTCATTCTTGAACACCAGCTATTCTATATTCTTACATATATTGCTGCTTTGCATCTGGTGTTCACTCAGTGAAATTATATTTCAATCTTACATGCAAAACAAACAAATAACCTCTATATGTGATATTAGCGAAATATAAACAATGCCAATTTTTTTTTTAAACTAAAAAATTGTTTTTTACGCCTAGCATTGGTCCACCCACTCTAAAGCTATACAAAATAATGAAAAATGAATTTTAAAGCTAAAAAATATAAAATATCAAAATATTGTCTCACTAGAAAATATTCTCATAATTTTTAAAATTATTTCTAAATATTCATATTATTTATTTATTTATTCATAAACATTATTTCATCAGTGAGAAAAAACTTAACTGATTGATAAAGCAGAAGATAAAACAATTAAAAAAAGTATATCATTCAATCTGTGTATTCATACAATTGTGTTCGAGGTCCCAATATCTGAAGACTGACAGAAAAGGCTGTAAGACAGTAAGACAAACTTTATTTGTAGTCGGTTATGGTTAACAGTACAAAACATAAGCTTTAAGCTTGTATCCGACATGAACAAAATATAGAAAATAATTATATGATTAAGCTAGACTTACCTGTAAGGTGAAGGTTAATCATGATTTCATCCACATAAAACTCACTAAGGGCTCACACAGAGAGAGAAGACGCAGCTATCAGCAGCCAGTGGTCATATTTTAGAGTAAGTAATGTCGAATAATATCGGCAAAAAGAATCACGAACAGTTTAAACGGGGAGGAAGCGGGTTGGGTGTGTGAGCCCTTAGTGAGTTTTATGTGGATGAAATCATGATTAACATTAACCTTACAGGTAAGTCTAGCTTAATCATATAATTTCATCCTACATATAAACTCACTAATGGGCCCCACAGAGATTTTAGAGTCCTTTTTGACGCTATTATGGAAACGACATTACGTCCCGTTTTACTCCATAATTAATATCTATTATGCTATTATGGAGAACATGCAACGCTTTAATTTCATGTCAGAAAAAGTCTTTATGTATTTAGTAATTATTAATTTTACAGAATGTCAATGTCGAATACTACGACATAGAATGTAAATAATTTTTATATATGTTAACGCAAATTAACGATATCTATGCTACCCTGCATAGAACTTCCATCGGTATTTGACAGTGGTTTATCATAGTATTTAGCGAATGTCTTAGCATTTTTCCATCCCGCTGATTTAATTATCGTCTGTAACGGGACTCCACGCATGTGTGCGATTGAAGACGCAGCAGCGCACATGCTATGTGGTTTGAATGATTTATGCACCTTAGCACTGTGCATAATTAGTTTAATTCAGCGATAAATAGGCCCAATGCATGGGGCTTAATGGTGGATGGTGTCCATGTAAATTTTAAAATGGAGATTCGGTGTTTTTTCAAGGGCAACAAAGGCCGTATTTGACACACTTAATTCTAACACTTTGATGTGTTGCTTTTGTTCTTCCGCTTGTTCACCTATTTCTGTTTTATCATACGCGCCTGACATATGTCCCGAAGAATCAGTGAACATATAACTTTATTCGGGGCAGGCGATGTAATATTATTAAACATTGATGTATATCGCAAATGTTCCGAAATATCTAGCGTTATAATAAAAAAACATTTTTTTTGTTGTTTTTTTTTGTCAGCCAATAATTTTTGAAAATTTTTAAATCGTTATTCGCCGGTATGCTATTATGTTAGTGCACAGCACACATTTCCTCTTTTTCGACGGAATCAAGACAGATTTACTCATTGAAATCGGCAAACATAACTTGTCAAATAAATCAATTGTTTTACTGATATTTAGAGCAATAAACATGTGTCGTCGATATGAATGATTGAACTTAAATGACCCCGCGCTCTTAGATAAAATACTTGCTTCAACAGTTTAGTAAAAATTATAGGGCTTTTTTTTTTTTTTTGGAAAATCACATCACAAGCGATTGGAAAAGAAACGGAAATGGTTCTTATCCGGTTCGTTTATAGGTATAGTGTAAAAAGCATCCCAAATGTCAACCTTGCCAAAGTAACAATTTTATCTCATTTCTGTGGTTACTGACCCCAAAGTTTCTATTTTAAATGTATTGTGTTGACGAAATTGCTATTAATTTCAAAATGGTTCTAATTCGTCCGTCTGATTTTAGTCTTATGTTCGAAATGTATTCTTCGTCCAAGTTTTCGTTTGCAACTTATATTATTCCTTGATTTTTCAAACTGCATTGCTTGTTGCACACGATAACCGCCTACAGTTTCTCGAATTCATTTATCCTTGGTTATTCTTCCCCTAATTCACCGCCATTCTGATCTTCGCCGCCCGTAAATTATTTGAGAATTAATCCGGGTAAAGGAATATTTCATATTATAGCATAAAATCGGCTATTTTTCCCTCTTTTGCCCATGTTATAACGGGGCCAAAACCATGCGTTAACATAGTCACGCGCTCTTGTTATAGCCCGGTTTTACCTATGCGCAATACATACAGGGCCCAGTAAAGAAACAAAAAATGACGATTAAGCCTGTTTGCCAGAGTCATGCGCTCTTGTTATATTGGAATTATTAATTCGAAGGCCTCAGTAGGACTCGGCCCGGTGAATTTTCGTACTATTAGTTCTATAGTAAATCAGTCAAATTTGAGGTTTAATTCTGGATTCCAATGTTCTTGATGAATTATATACTGTCTTCAACTTTAAACATTAACACTATCTAAGTCAAATGATGCCCAAAATATAATAGGTTAGCCATCTACTTTTTTCAGAAATCTTCATTCTGTTGTAACACTGTTTAAATTCACCACTTTAAAAACTCCTGACAGCTGGTGGGTAGTACATCTTTAATCCTTCCACCAACAAATGAGTTCCTGGAGAATACACAAAAAACAACTTTTAAAGTCATCATATAACACACAAAAACTACACACATGCAATAAATACACTTTAATTATGAACAATCTAACTAGAGATGACTTAAATTGGGCCCATTTCATAATTTTAAAGAACTACTTTCTAGACTACAATGGGCTGGGTCTAATTCCGTACCGGGTTGAGACCTAAATGAATCCAAAATTTAAGTTAAGCCAAACTTTATACTCATTTCCTAGTAATTTAGTGTTATACAAATACAGTCATATAGGTTTAACATGTCTCTAACAAATTACATTAATGCGGTACAATTTCTTAAATATTGAACCTTCATGCGAAAAGTCAGGCTCGGCCAATAGAATTTTTACGCAAAAATTTATATTACAAATTCTGTCATATCTTTTGATTCTGTAAATGGATTTTCTTTGAATAAAGTTTAATGTTACCGGCTAATGTCATACAGTTACTTCTATGAAAGAATAAGACCTTATTGCTTAAAAATTGCAATAGAAACTCAATTTAATTAAATGAGAGCATGAAATTTTGGGTTAAAATACAAGTAATCACAATTAAATGTGCTTTTTTCATAACTTTTTCCTTCAATATTGTAATAAAACTTACTGATTATGATTTTTACCTATATACCATGGTAAATAAAGTAAAGAACCAACATACACACCCTACATTGTTTGCTTAAGATATCAATAAAGACAAACAGAGGTAATCTTAAGGTTAGCAAAGATGTTACCATATCACCATGGGCTATGTCTTCCGACAAAGTAAGATTAGCCAACTCTCACACAAATAAGGCTTTAAAAAGATGACACATACCGTCTCCCACTTTAAATCATAAAGAAGTCTTAATATAGTCAGAATTAGAGAAATTTTCTCCTGAAATACATCAAAATAACTACCAAATATTGCCCGAGCATTGGGAGGCGCTACCGTCAATAGCTGAAGTTTCAAACTAGACATAAGTTGTTACCTTCTCAATGTGTCCTGACAAAGCTGCTGCCAAACAGAGCTGAAGGAGTCCTTCTATAGATCTTTACCAGGAAAAGGTAAGGTCATATACTCAAACCCAGGCTTTGGTAACTGCATGGTCTGAAAAAGTATGCAACACTAGTACATGCTTAAGAAAATTATAAGGGGCATTTATGCTGTAATTCTAATATCTGAAAAAGAAAGAAAATAATGTCTTAATTAATAAATGGCTAGAATTGCTAATTCACACAGGAGAGCTTATATAAATATTGTGTTCTGAAAAATGCATGCCTGCATGAAAATAGCAGTTTAGACATTATAAACCTAACCTAATTTAACTGCTGTAGCAGCTACAACAACAACAACAACAATTATATCAACTGTGTTATTCTAAATGAGCCAATTATCCATAAAATACACTGTTTAATGACTAGAAAATCTTTATGTGTATATATTACTAGCAAATACATTCTGCAACACAGCAAAACATCAAGTTTCACTACATTGAAAATGCCTATATTTCCAAAATATAAATCACTTTTGTCCTGTTCAATTGTTAGTTCTTCTTCATTTAAATACAGGACAATAGTGAATATTTACATACTGATTACTACAGCATCAATCCTTTGCTGAAACATCAAAACATATAATGTGTGGTCCATATGAGCAATAGGCTACTATGGTGCTTGTTCGAATCCCATGTCCGGTGAATCTTAAGCCCCTTAGAGATCTCTGGAATGAGCTTGCCAATCACTTTTTTTACCAATGTAACCAATCTGAAACCACACACTCCCCAAATTCCTTCAATGCATAATTTATCCATAATTTAAGATGCATTTCTCTAAAAATTATCATTTTCTATATAAATCTTATAAAAATAAGCTAGATTTATAGCATATTGCTTAACACAGGGTGCAAAAATAAAATTTATCAATTTATAAACTGCTTTTTACAAAATTTAAATTTCATTTTTTTAATTCTAAATTTATTTTTACAGTTTAAATTCAATAAAATGTGGTTAATCTTTCATGCAAAAGCTCTGTACCCTTCTCCCTGCTTACTGACACAGTAGCAGACATCTACATTTGAAGGGGAGATAACAACAACAACATATGTCCCAATTTAAAATGTCAAATTTTAAAATTTGAAAAAAAATTTAAAAATTTTTCAAACCTGTCAGTAATCCTTTATTTTCCTGACTTCTATTCATAAACACAACACTGATGCAAAGTTTCATCCATATCCATCAACCAGTTCCCATTTTTTGACATTTCTTATCTTTGGACTCGGCCCGGTGAATTTTTCGTACTATTAGTTCTATAGTAAATCAGTCAAATTTGAGTTTAATTCTGGATTCCAATGTTCTTGATGAATTATATACTGTCTTCAACTTTAAACATTAACACTATCTAAGTCAAATGATGCCCAAAATATAATAGTTAGCCATCTACTTTTTTTCAGAAATCTTCATTCTGTTGTAACACTGTTTAAATTCACCACTTTAAAAAACTCCTGACAGCTGGTGGGTAGTACATCTTTAATCCTTCCACCAACAAATGAGTTTCCTGGAGAATACACAAAAAACAACTTTTAAAGTCATCATATAACACACAAAAACTACACACATGCAATAAATACACTTTAATTATGAACAATCTAACTAGAGATGACTTAAATTGGGCCATTTCATAATTTTAAAGAACTACTTTCTAGACTACAATGGGCTGGGTCTAATTCCGTACCGGGTTGAGACCTCAAGTAATTACATGTATGCCGGCAATACGGCGTATAGACATCGCCGCTACTGTAATCTTGGTTGTCGCCCTTTCTTAGAAACGGACAGTTGTCAATGTAAACAAATAGAATCTGTCATTCAGTGTAATCCCCCGATTAACTTACAAAAATGGAAAGCACAAAATGAATATAAGAACACGTTGTTTTATTGACGTTTATATTGATAAATGTTCTGTATGTTTCTTTGAGAGAATAATGTTTTATGCCTGATTTTTTTTTAAACTTGCGTGCTTAAAAAAACCGAATCTGATGCCACTGATCTTTTTCCTACCGCCAATCTGTAGTCATTCTAGGAATTTCTGAGGCGTCTGTTTTGTCTTGGGTAGAGTAATGTTATGTTTTTCTTAAGTTAATATATCTCCAAAGTTAAACTTTGTTAAATCAATTAAAATTCGAAATTTCGTTCGGTTCTCAAGTTGTTGGCCCCGGAAAAAATAAAACGCATACGTAAAACATGTAGAGTTGGATAAATACCGTTCAAGCACAAGGATTTAATGTTTGTGTTTTATATATAATATACATCATGAATCTGTTTTAAAATTTTATGCTATAATAGCGTCAACGCCACGTTTATTTCGTGTTATAAAGTCTGCAGAGTCCTCGGAACTGTTGGAGCCAACCGTTCCTCGGGACTCTGCAGACGTTATAACACGGAAAAACGTGCGTTAAGCCGTTAACCCTATATAATGGTAAATTACTTCAAATATTATTTTTTATGTGCTCTTGAAAGGAAAGTATTTTTTTTCTTCTGAATTTTGTTCTGTAGGTTTGTTGTTAACGTCCGTCGCTGTTGATTAAGATTCAAATTGGCCTGTGAGTTGAGCGCATGCCATTTTCGTTTGTTACCAGGGACGACATGTCCTGGCATTTCCCTAAAAAGTCCGCCTGGAAATAAGCTGTTGTTAATTGTCCGAAACCTTTTTAAGTTCTTCATTTACTTCATCGCCAAAACAGATGAGTGGCTAAAGGATTTGCTGTACAAATTGGTCAATAAAGCGGGAGGAGTTCTTTCTTTATCCTGTCACGTAGCACCTTCAGGAGAAGTGGCGAGAAAGGCGTTGGTAAACAGTTTGAAAATGTCTCAAATCAACTCTTTCAGTTTTTGGTTGCCCATCTGTTTTTTAACTCATCAATAGCCTTTAATACTGGTACCAAAGCAGACGAAAAATGTTTCTGCGTACTTTGCAACAGACAATCCTTCGCTTTGACTTGACTTGGCAAGTGTTGCCACACTGATAATTCGACAAAGGTACCTGTAGACAATAGGCATTGTTAGGCCTCCTATATCATCAAAAAAATTTCCTTTAA